ATTCCCCATCTATTGTTGTTTTTTTTCAAGGGATAAAATGTCTGCGCAATCCAGCCTTATTCTGCTTTCTTAGACAAATTCAACACCGCCAAATAATTTTCATGGAAGGTGTGAACAGCTTCAGCAGCAACTGATTCCTCTAAATGTTTTCATCACCACCATGGTGACAGCCCCGAATCAAAATGGTATGCAAGAAGAAATTTGACTGGAGAGGCATGCAATCTTCTTCAAAGGTCCCATGGACCATAGAGATTGGGGGGGGGCAAAATTAGAGGGAAGAATTTCACATCAATTTCCTGGAGTACCACCAGGTGCTATTGCCAGCTTGGAAGTGGGAAGTTACATGTATGATAAACATCAACAGTGTGAGACAAAACGGGGGAATCTGGAACAATCGAAAGCAAAAATATAGAAAAGGTCCTCCCGTGAACCAAATACAATCTTAATGAAACCTAGATCCCAAACATGCATATGTACTTGATCAAACAGACAGGCTTATGAAGGTGGAGAAGAGGGATCTCACAAATTAGAAGTATGACAAGCAGACGCCAATTTTCATCTGTAAGGAACGGGGGGAAATGATACAAGGGCGAGCATCTGATGAATCTACTTCAACTTTTCCTTCAACTTAGAGAAGAGCCCGCTAAGACGATTCTTTTTCTTTTTCGGTGTCTGTCCTGGCTGCGTCGCTGGTGGCTGCTCGGCTTGGGTCCCGGTGGGTTGGCTCTGAGCTTGCTGCGACCCCGGCGCAGTGGTCTCTGGGGCTGTCGTCTTCGTCGGGCCAGTTGCTGTGGTTTGCTGTTGAGGCGGTGCAGCTGTGGAGCCCTCAGCACGCTCTTTGGTCTTTGGCGACACATCTCCAGCTTCACCCTTCGCAAGGGGTGCTGTGCTAGCTGGAGCCTTTGCGGACGATCCTGCAGCTATTACAGGCGCAGGTTCACCGGTTGACTCGTCTCGCTTAACGTCTCGAAGCAACTCTTGCTCGACCTCCTTCTTTTCCATAACCGCTTCTTCATTGCAGGCAGCTTCGGGGTCTTTGTGGGCATCGCTGAGGGATCTTCTCACAACTTCTGGCACATCTGGAGCTGGTTGGTGGGGATCCTTGGTTCCAGATGCTTTGGACTTTTCCAGAGGAACATTGGCGGCTAAAGCAGCAGTAGTCGAGGTCGGGGCCGCAGATTGAATGAAGGCAGAACCACCGGATGTCGGCGGGTTGACCTTGACAGGCTGAGAACCAACGAAGCCTCGAGAGGTCGCCATGGCCGCCATGGTGGGATCGCTGGCATCCCCTTCATATCCAGCTTTATCTGTCTTGATGCCAGAATTCACTGTATTGTCAGTTAAACTCGATGGATGTGGCACTTTCTGGCCCGGTGGCAAGTGAATCGGGTTGCCGATGCCGTCTGTGGCTGGAAGAGGGCTGATGAACGCCTGATCATCCCCTGCCGGTGACTGTACATCGGGCGTTTCTGGAAATCCACCGGGAGCACTTCCTTTGGGTTCTAATGGAACGTCCTTGGCGAGATGTACAGTTGTAGACTCTGGGGCAAGTGACGACATAGTGAACGGCATTGGGCCAGCCTCTTCGGACTGGGATACTCTCCGCGCCGCAGATTTGTGGGTTTCGGAAAATTCCTGCGACATCTCTTCAAAAACACCTCCGGCTGTATCCTCCGGTGTCACCGCAGACATTGTGGCGGCTTTCTCGGTTGGCGCGACGGCACTCGTCGATGTGGTGGTGGTAGGACGGAAAGGGTTGATGTGATCAGGGAGCAGGACGCTGTTTATGTTGTGATTCCCGTCGTCTTCTTGGGGAGCGGTGGGATCTACTGTCCAGCGACCGTCGACGACGAACTGCGGTTGCACGAGAGATTGATAAGTAAAATCAACTTTGCAAAAAAAAAAAGAAAAAAAAATATCTGATGCAGCACCGGAAGCCAAAGCAGGTGGGGGATTAAAAAAAAAAAAAGATATAAAAGGGAGGGGTAGGAACGAGGTCAAAGGAGCTCGGAGTGCGGACTCCTTCCCTTCCAACAATTGCGTTCTTGCTTATTTGGGTGGGCCTGGGACGTTTTAAAGCAAGAGCGCCGATGCGGAAGGCAGGATTGGCTCCCACATCAGAGTATGACGTCAGGGACTGATGGGCGCACCAAGCTTGGAAGGTACCGGGCCCCAACTGCATACTGTAGAGAGACGCGCGCGCGGGCAAAACACGCTTTAGTGTGGGGTAGTTCGTTACTTAGTTAGTTAGCTGCTGGGTACCCTGCGTAGTTCTGATCACAATCCAGGCCAGCGAAACCGCTGTTTCTCCAGGCACGACGAGCGGCCACGAGGGAAGGCCGAAGAACGCTATCCGGCTTCCACGCACATACACACACACAGAGACACGCGCGCAGAGCCGAGGGAGATGCGCGCTGCAACCTGGATTGTTGTCGGTAACGAAGGGTGCAACGTCGAGCCCCAAGGCAGCTGCATTTCTCCTCCTGCGCCTCCATATGCTGCGTTTTCGACCCGATGTCTCGCTAGCCAAAACTCTAAGGCACCATCATATGACTCTTTGCAGGTTCCAGCTCCTTTCCGGGAGGAGGGGAACGGCGGGTGAGGACAGACGAGGAGAGAGCGGGGAAGGGAAGACGGAGGCAAGGAGAGAACAGGACAAAGAAGCGAACGGCTTGCCGGCCAGTCATACCTTGTAGAGCACTTTTTCGTTGCTCTCTGGGAGCTCGACTGCTTTTCTGAAGTGGCCATCTGCCGACTTATCCAGCTTAACACTCCGGCTCCAATTATCAAATGTTCCGGTGACATACACCTCGTTCGCCGGGCGCAACCTACATTGCCGGGATCGAAGAATAGGTCAGTTTCCCTTTGCAAAGGACGCCGTACGCTTTAATTCATGCAGACAGCTTGCATAACTGGCTCAGAGGGAATACAGCCATTGTGCTACCAAAGAGGCGTGCAGGGGGTCCAGATCGAGAATCCAGCACCACAGGTATCCTGTAAAATTTCTGGGCCATCATAACTGTCTTCTGCTCTTCACTCCGTTCTCAAATAACCATTATTTGCCGGTCTCAGCCTCTTTGACGTACCACTGAAACGTGTACACTCCCATGTTCAATCTTGCTCTGAACGGTACCATTCCCCGGTCGCCTTTACTTCCTCGAAACACCCTAGCTCGAGAATAGATATCACGAACGGGCGACCTGCTGGCGCGTGCGAAAGTTGGTCGGAGAATCGTGCCGTTCCAGTATATGTCAAGTAAGTGACAGGGCGACCAAGGTGTGCGCTTCGACTCCTGGAGCCCGAGAAAGCTTGTATTTGGGAAGGCTGGCACAAAGAGGGGGCGCAACAGGCTATGTCCGTGGACGTATTCCCGTCACCGATTGAGGGCGTCTGGTTGGTGCTCGGGGATAGTACACCGCAAGGGGGGTAGAGAATATGGACGGTAGGGCCTTGACCGCTGCGGTAATGATGGTAGGAAAGGGCGATGTCGCACAGCTGCGTGCTTTTCTTTTCTTTTCTTTTCTTTCTTTCTTTCTTTCTTTTCTTTATTTTCTTTCTTTTCTGGAGTTGGTTGGGATTTCAAGCAATGGTCCACCTGAGTCTTGCCACAGTTTTGCTTCCGTCCAACGGGATCACAAATAGCTCCGGACGGTTGCTTGGGGCAAATATATTTAACCTCAGGTTGGTGTTCACATCACTCAGATGACGATTTCTGATCACAAAATGGCCACCTTTGCCATTGTTTGGGATCTGTCGGAAAGGTGGTCGACCACTCACAAAGCTCACAGCTACCCCATGGAACGGATGCAGTTTGGGCAACCAGCGTTGCTTCTTGGATCTTCGAACAGCTCGCAAGCTTCCCTTCATTCGCCTTCAAACATCAATTAAATCACATTTAGTACTCCGTTTGTACACTACACACATACCATACATAAGGATCTCAGTTTCGTAGCTGTACCAAATGCGCTTGCTCACCGAATGCGGAGTAGAATTCTCCGTTGCTCATTCAAGACACCCTGAACGGAGAAATAACTACTCTGCATGGAGTAGATGACTAGCCAACTAACTCTTAGTTAACCTCATTGACCGAGTTTAGTTCCTTCAAGCCTAAATCGTTACATCTTAAGCATGCCGACTTGGCTTGGCCGCCCCAAAAAAAAAAAAAAATAAAAATAAAAATAAAAATAAGAAAAAAGAAGAAAAAATTTTATAGATGACTGGGGGGATGAAACGGTGCGCATCATTAGCTCGCCCACCCGTCGGCAGCCAAAATGTGGATTTCGACTAAAGCAATCCATGACGTTTTCTAGAAAACAACTGGAATAGTTCTGGAGCTCCCAACGGAAGCTTCCACGCAGCACCCGCAACAGCTCAGAGCAGTTGGGCACTCCGCCACTCACCCATCATAACCAACCACGCTCCCTTGCGAGTGCAATAGAAAACGAGTTCTGTCCCCGGGTTCTCCTGATGACGGGTGCCTGGCAGCTGACCCTCGCCGATATGGCGCCAGGTTGGCCCGCAGCTTGGAGGAAAAATGGAGGGTGTTGGGGTGCAGCCCGTCCCCATTGCATAAGTGACAACTGTCCTCCGGCAACATGGACACAATCTTCCCGCCCACGGGTTGAATAGTTAAGCCTTACAGAAATGCAGGCAACAAGGATCAGAGTGCATCATTTGAGCACCTTGACCGCTACAGATCGCCCAAGTCTCGAAGTGATCTTGCAGAGTAGGCTTTCTTGTACCCCAAAGGAATATAAATCGTATGAATGACCCGTAAGGCAGCAAGTCACGAGAGTTGGTTTAGATGAAGTGCTCCTACATATAGCCCGGCGGTCAGGGAAAACCAGCTTTGGGGGAGTGAGCGTGTCCGTATTGCGGATGCGCGTGAAGCAAACATAAGCTTCTCCCGCTAAATTCAGCCCATACATCATCACCTCCAAGGCCCCTCCTCGCCCTCGTCTTTTCCCCCCTCCCGCCCCAAACACCTTTTCTCTCTCTCATGACCATGCTGTGAGCTCTCGGCCTCAATTCGACCCAATTGCCCTCATAACCTACACATAGCAATTTATGCTTTAATTGTCAGTTCGCTCAGCCTCCCGGTATTCGGACCTCGTTCCGTTTGAGACTGGTTACAGATCATCCTCCCGGGTCACACATTGTTTTCTAGAACGCTTCCAAGGAAACCAGGACCCCTTGTTTCTCTCCCACGCCCTCTCTTTATCCAATAATTAATTCAAAAAGGGCGACGAAACCACCATAATCTATCCTTCTTCAAGCCTCGATCCCACAGAAGATTCAACTTTTCCATCATTGCAGGCGACTCTCGACGGAAGGAGGATCCCCGCAACTGTATGCCATCACTTCGGTGAGCCTCGCCTCTCTTCTTCGAAAAACCTCCCATCGCCCAAATATCCACTGACCTCCCGCCCACCCCCCTCCTCCTAGTCAGCCTGGAATCCCGTTCACGGACTCTCTGTATCTCGTCTCGGCTACTCCCCACGTTGCTGCGTTTAAAAAATAGTACTCGACTGCACTGCCGCCAAGTCGTACCAAGCACTTCACCCCTCCTCGCGAAGGCAGCGGCGTCCTGACGCCTTAAAGAACAGATACCATATACCGTGATGTCTGAGTCCAATGCCTTTCCCGGAAGCCATGCAGGCCATGGCGAAAGACACGCGGGTGGCGGAGCGGCACCCTTCAACAGAATAGTAGAAGAGGATGAGAATGTGACTTCTCCAACGACGTCGACGTTCCACAGAGCCGACGTTTCCCGACAGAGAGCCCACATACACCATGTCCTCAGTCCATTCCAAAGTGGTGATGGAGTGGGCACGTTTGGGGAATTCGGGGCATTTGGCCCCAACCCGTTTGGGGGGAGAGGCGAACAGGAACATGGTACTTTCCGACCGGCAGCGGGCCCGAGCGACTCCGGATTTCCCAACCACTACGCCCTGGGCCGTCGCACCTCGGTGTCGGCAGAATCGTTGAACCCTACCAGCTCCGATTCGGATTCCTGGACACCGCCGTATCACCCTAAGCCTCCGGAACAACTTGATCGGCTGAAGACAGCGGTTGCTGGGAACTTTCTCTTCTCTCATCTTGAGGAGGACCAGTTCAAGACCGTTCTGAATGCTCTCGTGGAGAAACCTGTTCCGGCTAAGGATATCAAGGTCATCACCCAAGGTGATGCTGGAGATTACTTCTATATTGTTGAGCAAGGGCACTTCGATGTCTTCATCCATCCGTCGGGATCGGCCCAACCCGGGCACAACGGCATGGGAAGCAAGGTTAATGAGATCGGGCCAGGAGGATCCTTCGGCGAACTCGCTCTTATGTACAATGCTCCTCGGGCCGCCACGGTCGTGTCGACCGAGCCATCGACCGTCTGGGCGCTTGACCGTGTCACGTTTCGAAGAATCCTGATGGACTCCGCCTTTAAACGGCGACGTATGTATGAATCGTTCTTGGAGGAGGTTCCGCTACTGTCGTCTTTAAAACCTTATGAGCGCTCGAAGATCGCTGATGCTCTGGACACGATTAAGCACCCTGCTGGGCATACGATTATTGAGGAAGGTGATCCTGGCGATGCGTTTTATCTCCTTGAATCCGGTGAAGCTGCTGCTTATAAACGTGGCATTGACGGCGCGGTTAAGCACTACAGACGAGGTGACTACTTCGGCGAGCTAGCCTTACTCGATGACAAACCGAGACAGGCGAGTGTGATTGCAAAAACGGATGTGAAAGTTGCACAACTGGGGAGAGATGGCTTCAAGAGACTACTGGGCCCTGTGGAGGACATCATGCGACGGACGGAGTACGGCGTCCCAGAAAGCCAGCCTAAGCCAGAAGCATCCGAATAAACCTTTTTTTTTTTTTTTCTCTAAATGTTTTTATTTATTTATTGTGCCTCCAGATGTTCTCCCCTGTCCTTGTTTGGTTCTGTTCTCATGAGATAAATTGCTTGACTCTCTTGTCTGCAATCAGGCATCAAAAAACAAAATATGCTATTAGCAGCAAAACTGTCAAAGGAAAAGCCCTACTCCACTTATGGCAGCATTGGATGCAATACATACATCATATATTAAAGGAAGAAATGCTATCAGCCAATATATATGGGTGTCCCCTTTTTTCTTCTCCTGTCCTCCCCTGTCCCGTCTCCAGTTTAATGGGCGCAGTCCTGCAGGCTGCACCCCTCTTGGGTCCATTTATCATAGCCTATCATTATTTACGTTTCAGAACCATCGATCCACATTAAAATTTCGTAGGTAAAGAGGTGGTTGAAATTCTGTTGCCTCTATTGGCGAGGGAGGGGGTGGAGCGAAAATTCCGGGGTAAAAACCAGCTCCTGTACGGAGTACTCCGTACTCCGTATTAGTTAACTAACTAGCTGGTTACCATCCTCGATAGCCGATTTGATGCATCTTTCAGAAACACATTTTCTCTCTCCTCCAGGATGATTCCCCCAGGGCTCCAAACTAAACTCAATCATGCCGCCAAAATCTAAGCCCAAAGCTACTAATAACCCAAAGTCCAAGTCGTCCTCCGAACCCACCAAGAGCCATCGACAAGAACCGGCCACGCCGAACTGGCCGCCGCTCAAGCCATTGATCCCGTCCTCCGACCTCGCGCTCGAGACAGTCCTTTCAGATCAAATCTACGTTGTTAGAAATTTATTTACTTCCACCCTCTGCAAGAACTACGTGTCTTTCCTCTCCACCCTGCCATTGGTTACGACCCCCGGACGACCGAAAAGGGGAGATGCAGTAAGGGTGAATGATCGCTTCCAGGTTGATGACCTGATGTTTGCAGAGAGATTGTGGAAGGAGACGGCATTGAGCCAGGTAGTTTTGGGACAATCGGCAGACGCTGACAGTGCCGAGGGGAAGGACTTGTGGGGTGGGGAAGTTCTTGGATTGAATCCAAATATCAGGGTGTATAGATATTCGAAGGGGCAGTTTTTTGGACAGCATTGTGAGTCAACTAACCTGTCCACAGGACGAGAGTGGTAAATGACATGCTAATGGACGGATCTTGATCGCAGATGATGACTCGGTATCACTTCACCTCCCTTCCTTAGCGGACCGGTCTCTCCCAGGTAAAACGACCTGGACGCTTCTGATTTATTTGACTACCTGCACAGGTGGAGAGACGGTGTTCTATCCCGAACCGGTTCTTTCCTCGAAGAAGAATGGCTCAAAATCTAAGCCTTTGAAAGACAACAATGTTGATATGGACCCAATCGCCGTGGAGTTGGAGGTTGGTATGGCGCTGCTCCACCGTCATGGTGATAAATGTCTGCTTCATGAAGGTAGAGAGGTCAAGCAAGGCGAGAAGTGGGTGATAAGGAGTGATTTAGTTGTCAGGAGATGAGAGATATTCTGCGGGGGTACCCAAAGAAGGCTATGATGAGGGTAGACAAATGTCCACTAGATATATGGGAAGTATATCGGGCGATCCCAGAAAAAAAGGAGGAAGTGAAATATCTCATTTTCGTTCTCATCGTTACCCGTTCGGCACGGAAACTGAAAGAGCCGCTTGAGGCTGGATCCGTTTACCGTTGCTGCCCAACCCTGCATTTAGGCGTGGTTTTAGTGGAATCCAGCCCAAGCGTCCATGCTGGGAGCTGGCTATGCCACCACAAAAGAGGCCAAAGCTCCTCCAAAGCCGCGCTGATCCGTGGCTGCGCCGTCAGGCGGACACTGACCGCTGCCTGCAAGATACGTTTTTTGGGAACCGAAGGAGCCGAATTTATGGCCGAAGTATACCCGAAAGGCTGTATATATACATACCCAGGCGGATGAATGCCTCTCGACGCTGAGGTGTATTTATTTTGGAATCATGAAAGAATGATTTTTGCGCAGAATACCTGCGAGTTTTGAAATTGTTTCTGCCATTCGTTGGTGCTTGTGTGTATGTATGTACATTTTGTTGACTCTTTTGGAGAAAATTATTGTACAGCAAAAAAAAGGGAGGGGGGGGGCAGAGAAAAGAAAAGTTAACAAAATCGAATGATGGAGTATCCTCTCGCTTTATTGCGCAGACGCAGGCAAACCCCGGCATTATCGTGCAGCGAAATATGTACTCAAATGCTGCGTCCCGTCGGTGCCGACAATTTCCACAGAAACAAGGCATAGTCTCCTCAGTGGACTCTACCAAGGGGAATCGGAGAGAAAAGGATATCTGCCGCCGGATTCCGATTGCAACGCATATTTTTAGGATACATCCGTGGAATTCAGATCTGCATGTGGGCATTGTGGAATCGGTCACCGTTATACGGGAGTCGTCTCTCCAGCCGGACACATTGTACTGGCCGAAGCGTGCAAGGGCTGTCTCCCTCGATGAGTCGTCGAGACGCGGATATGTTGACACTATACCGCATATTTTGCATTTACCGGTCGATTCTGGTAGATGATATGGTTTATGTCACCATTTCTTCCTCGACTGTAGTTTGATGGTGTCCATGATTTCACGATACATCCTCCGATGACGGTCGTCTTTGAGTGTGAATTTTACACCTCGCTCCTTTAACATTCTGACCAGCGGCACTTGGGATGGGTGAGTGCTTTTGCCCTGGCACACGGCGATATCGACAAGAGTTCGTCCATGGGAATCTATCGTGTGGATAAGAGTTCCTGTGACGTCTTCCTGCAGCAATCGTTCGACGAGATGCATATCCAGATTCCGAGTTGCCCTCTCAATATCTGTAGTCTGGCTTAGGCTGGAGATATTCGAGAATTTCCTGCCGCCCGGCGTGATTTTGATATCGCTGAGGCCTGGCGACGGAGGCGGAGTAGGAAAGTTGGGAAGTGTGGATGACGCTGCATTCAGTGGGCGAGGTGGCACTGGAGGTTCCCTGATTTGAACATTAGCAACTGTCTTATTTACAATGCTTGTTCGGATGGGCATGATGAAAACTTACTGGAGGGTAAGTTGGATACATTGCATCGAACGCAACATGCTGGAGAGGTACTGTTCTATTCTATCCTGAACGTGCCTTATTCTTGGGAGTGCATCGTCTGTGTCAATCTGCAGAATCGCTCTTCCTAGCCAAGTCGTAGCACTTGATCTGGTGAGATCGCCCAGCTCCTCGTCAAATTCACTGAGGAGCCTGGTCAGGCCTTGTAGTCTGGTGCACAGGACGTATAGCGGACTCCCTCTTCCGTGGAACGATGGATCTGTGATTGCTTGGATGCGGTCTGCCTGCCCGGCAATCATCTCTGAATCACCTTTAACCATTCTACAGTAATCCAGCAAGCCATCGACTATGGTTGGGCGGTCATTCATTCGCTTTTTGAAAGCCCTCACTTTGATAGCGAGTTCGGTCGCTGCGGCCACCAGTGCAACCGCGAGGCCTGCGGGATCCATCGCTCGGCTTTACGGGACTTTTTGGGAATAATTTTTATCACCTTTTATTGCTAGTGATCTTTTCTTGAAAAGGACGGTGGAATCGAGCATCGTATAGTGGTGTGGGGAAGCCAGAGGGATGGTGCATGGCTGAACCACATGGAGGAAAGGGGAAAACGGCCTATGAAAGCTCAAAGGCGCTAAAGAGGTGCAACAAGCATGGGCGTATTTTTTTTTGGAAGTACGACAAGTTATATGGGAAGAAAGGAAAAGGGTATCCTTTTGCAAGGCAACGGCCAGGATGCCTCACTGCGGTCACGCATGGAGAGCAGCATCGTTGCTCCGCAGCTAATCATAAGTCAGCGACTGACTTAGCAGCACAGCTAACTAGTCATAACAAGTTCATTACTCCATAGTTAGGGGGCACGGGAATGCTTCGAAATACGAGAACAGACACGAAACCATGCGGCCCCACTGACATTCCAAGACGGAACTGGTGGCTGAGGAGGTCAAATGTCACGGAGCGCCATGGCCCTTTTACAGCCTTGGGATTTTGGCGACGGAATGAGGCTCTAAATGTTCCACAGCTCTGTATCCTGAATACCGACGGGCGAACGTTACGTATTGAACAACATCCTGGTTTTTCGCCCGATGAGTCGCTGTGTCTAACCACTCAGCAGGGTATCTCGGATTCGACCGGGCAGTCACGGACGACGATGTGGACGTGTTTCCTTCGTCCATACTGGTAACTGGGCATGGAGTAAAGAGGTCAGATCTGTCGGTGACTTTTAGGAGTTTGTCAGAAAACGTGGAGTCGCCCCCCAGGTTTTCCCCAAGCGTCCTCTACACTCTGTCAGTGGGGGCAGTCGAGATTGCAGGTTGTCCTATTTCTGTGTTCTGGACGCCGGAGTTGAGGGCGAGGCAGCCAGTCATATTCGTCCCATCTGCATAGCCCCCGTCGCCAACAGCCGCTAAATCTCGATACCAGCCAGTTGAAGTCGACCTGCGGGAACTCCAGGGAAAGCTGAGCCTCATGATAGTGTCAAACTTGGGGCATAGCGAAAGACAGTGTCACAGCTATATCCAAGCATTTAGACGCAGCGAGAAATTGTTTTTTGACGGATAGTTAAGCTGTCGCTCATCTTTTCTTGCAAGAATATCAACTCGATATTTTCCGTCTCGATACCCCGATGTTGTCAAACATGAGCGCGGATGATGACCAGGAAGTTGGCCGATGGCCTTCCTTTGAAGGCAGGAATAGGTGGCCATCTGATGCTAGCCACCAAGACCTAGGACGACGATTGAACGGAAATGGATTCAGGTGGGCAGAAGAGTTCGATGACGAGATACACATAGCGGAAACACCAAGGGCGACTGAAGAAGTTCAATCCGAAAAGTTTGAGGACATTCTCGTGAATGGAGTTCGCGGCAATGGAGCGTTTGATGACGCACCACATAATGCCATAGATGAACCTAATTTGGACAACCCATTTGCATTGTTCGAATCTGTGGAGACGTTAGATGAAGGGGTGGAATGCTTTGCTTCCCAGCATGGTCTTCTATCGGAGGTTGATGGCGTGAAGCGGGCAGCTCGTTTTGAGAGAGATGATATGGAGGCTTTCGGCGACCCCGATTTTCCGGAGGAGGAAAAAATTGCCTTGCAGGACGAACGCAAAGCTACATTCTGGCAGCAGACGCGAAGTCTTCGTTCTGCTGTTCTCATCATTGGCGGACTATCAGGTGTCTGCCAGGGATGGACACAGAGCACGTTAAACGGAACAAGTATTTGCTCGGGGCTAAAATGCGACTATCGTGCTGGCTAACGTTGGCTCTTAGATATACCCCTGGGAGAAGCCTTCCACCTGGACGTTGCGCCGGGATCAAGCAACACTAGAGACCAATTTCTCCTTGGTGCACTATCTGCTTCTGTAACACTTGCATCAGGTATCTTGTGAGTCTAGCTATTGATGTTGAAGAAGGGCCGGGTCCTGATTTATCATGATAGAGGTCTACTCATTGCCGACCCTATTCAGAACCACTGGCTGGGAAGACGTGGTGCCGTCGCAATTTCTGCAGCCATAAGCATGGGAGCGACGATTGGTGCTGTTTGCTCGCGGACTCCAGCGGAGCTCATTGGCTGCAGAATACTGATCGGGGCTGCGCTTGGGGCCAAAGCAAGTGTGATCGCACCATTTTTGGCGGAACTTGCGCCAGTGCATATGCGAGGTGCTCTGCTATCCACATGGTGAGCCACACTCCTGCATCTTCACAGGAAACTTGATTTGACCGAATTCCTAGGCAAGTTTCAGACGCTCTTGGCATCTTCCTTGGGGATGTATCTTGGAAAGTGGTGGACTCATTCAACCTGGAGCCTGACACGGCATGGCGATTCCTGAGCGCTACCACTCTGATACCTACCATTCCCTTAATGATGTCTTCCTACATGATCCCAGAAAGTTGGATGTTTTTAATGAAGACGGGGGAATATTCCAAAGCAACCGAGGCGGCTTGCCTCTACCGAAAATACCCCATCCAAGGATTCCGAGATATCATCTCTAGCCATTTCCAAATGGAAGCAGAAGGAGAGCTCATGGAGATCCGGAAGGTTGCTAAAAAAGGGGAATCCAAAGGCAAATGTTCTGATGAAGAAAGTAAACCTGCTCCAGGGAGGAATGTTTTTGCGGATGAGACCAAACCGTTATCAGAGCGTCTCGCCCACTTTCCACCAGGATTGTGTTTGCGTTCCCAACGAGGCCAGAACAACGAAATTTGTACTCACAGTTACCATATGAAAGAGGCGCACTTTTTTCGAAGACTGGCGCAAATCATTCAAGACCCTCGCTGTCGCCATGCTCTCGTATCTGGAGGAACAATAATGTTGACACAGTCACTGTGCGGAATCAACGCACTCGCTTTCTTTTCTTCCTCTCTTTTGGATGCTGGAATCAGTCCTGAATATTCTTTGATTCTGGCCCTTTGCTTTGGCGCAGTGTGCTTTAGCTTTGGACTATTGACTCCATTACTCAGTGATAGACTCGGCAGAACCAATCTAGTGCTTCTCGGGTTGCCAGTTATGGCTGTTTTTATGTTTATATTGGCCTCGCTCTTTGAGCTGGACAACAGCGCGAGAACACCCACAATCATGCTTGTAAGTCAAGCTTTTAGGAATGGATTGTTTCTACAGAATTTGCTAACAACCAGTCAGTTTACAATGCTGTTTACTGCTGTGTATGCGTTCACTGTGGGACCTGCGGCGTTCAGCCTCTCCGCTGAATCCTTTCCAAGCACCGTTCGCGAGGCAGGCATGGCTATGTGTGTTTTTATCAATTTAACATCCCTTGGAATCCAGCTCCTGATGTACCCATTCATAACAACGCCCATTGGTTTCACAACGAGCCTTTCCATATATGTGAGATTCCAGTCGCAACCAACCACCATGAGAAAACGCTAATAAGTTTCAGGGCTGCGTCAATATCGTTGGCTTTGTCGCATGCTTCCTGTTTTGTGTTGATACTAGAGATCGGTAAGTTAAAAAAAATAAAATAAAATAAAATAAAAAATAAAAAATAAAATTGGATCCCAACGCAGAAAACTAATAAAGGAAAACAGGACATTGGAGCAACTGCAATTTAGCTTTGATCTGCCGTTGTCGTAAGTATTTCCTTTCCCGTACGGTCGCCGCCGATGCTGATCGTCTGAAACATAGGGTGCACTGCGAGTATCGTATATTTTATGTGCTCCCTGAGGTATGCAGAAGATGTCGTATATTTGTCGCTCGAAGGATTCGAAGGAAGGAAGGCGAAGCGGAAGCGGGGGATGGTGAAAGCATCGGTAGCGACGGTGGGACCAAATGGGAACTGATCCCGTTTTATCGGTGGGCAAGAATCCAAGATCCCAATCGCCCATCGGTGTACGCACAACTTCTCAGTGTTGTCCACAGAATGCTCCCTACCAAAGCACGCCAATGGATGAAAGTGGAAAAGGTCGCAGACCGGAGTGGCCCGGTGACCCCAGACTCCCAGTATACCGTTGGACAGGGAACGAGAGAGTTTTGACCGGCGATAATGTGTAATCTGGACCATAGGTACATAAATGAACAGTCATGTGTATTAACTCTGGATGTGTGCATCGTTGAAACCCAAACTTGGTGGAGGGCGCTTGTGGTGACGAAGAGGTGAGCGAAGCATGGGAACAGGTTACTGGCCTAAGTTAGTTAGTTAGCCTCAGTAGGCGAGCACCTGCATCGGGGTAAGGCCCCTTGTGCATATCTCCTGGAGCATCCTCCACGAACACAAAGCTCCGGACGCCTTTTCCGCAGTTTTTACAGGGTCGCGCAACAGGCTGGTCGAACGGAAGTGCGTTCTTGATACTTACATAAGGCAGCCGAGGCGATCTAGATTCAGCGCTAGACCCAAAGAGGGAAGGCGTGCGGTACGGGGATCCAGAGCAACCAGCCATAACGCCGACAAAATCATCCCGACCATTATTTCATCGTCCTACCGCCCCGGACCCTCGTTGGATGGTGCACCCGCATGCAATGTCATCATCCCAGACCATGGCGGCGTCGCTGCTGGGGCAAAGACCTCATGATGCGGCGTCAGAGAGGTCTGCGATGGACCTCCAGGTCGACCGGTGCGAGCAGTCGAAGCCGCCAGCCGCCAGCGACGTCACCCCCAAGCTCGAAGCATCCAATAATGCGACGGCCGATCAACTCAAAGCCGTTTCCGAATCTGCTTTTCTAGCGTTATCTGGTATGTAATTGTTGGGCTGGTCCGGCTACTTGACTGACAAGCTGGCCCTAGATGACTACAAGAAACAGACTGAGCGTGAAAAGCAAAATGCGGCCAGCGCTCTCTTGGCACAACTCTTGTCAAGCAAACCGTTGAATAACTCCCCCGAACCCGACCAAAACCAATCGTCTACTGAAATGGAACTCGATGAAAAAATTCCTCAGTCCCGGAACCCTTCACCTCGTCCGTCACCGCAAACCCAACTGAACGGCGACAACCCTCCCATCGAACAAGCTCCACCGCCAACATGTGCCCAGGCCGACGCCACATTGGATACAAGTGAAGCACAAAAGGCCACCGAAGATAATTTGATGCCTGAGGCTTCGCAGGAAGACAGCATCGAAAGGGAACACAATCTAATTCTGGATGCAATTCAGAGCAACGCAAAAGCCAACCCAGATTTTATCCCGATGTTCTCGGACTTCACGCCACTCCCGGCTGCTAGATCCGCGAAGGAAGCCCTTTTGCAAAGCGAAATTCTTACGGATGCATACTTTGGCGCAGTTGGTGGTCCTACACCCAGAATCGTTGGCTATCCGGAGCTCCCTACTCAAAAGGATGCCAAAGGTACAACAAATGACTCTGGATCTGTCTCTGGGTCTGAACCTAGAATCCAGGCTTATGCTAAGCTGGAATTTGATGATGGCCACTTCTACGTCAATACCTATTCTTTTATCCTCGGTCGTGATGTTCGTGCTGCTCGCGCTGCTTTTCAGCGAGAATTGCAGCTAAAGCAGCAAAAAGCTCAGAATGGGAATGGCGTCCGAACCCCAAAACGGATAAAACCGGATAATAACCACACGATCATGGGCAGTGTGATCAGTGATACCGGTGGCATCATGGGCTTTGACCCCGATGTTCCCCAACATTGCCCACCTCAGATGAGCTGGAAGTCCTCCAATTCTTCGAATGGTCACCATAGCCACCCCATGTTGCATATGACCCAAGCGGAACCTGACATGTCAACTCCAGTTGAACCTCCTCGAGTGATGAAGGATTACAATGCCCTCGCCATGGAGTCGTTACAGAATGGAAATGAGCCAAAGAGAGTAGATACACTTGCTTTGCTACCGACACCGGATTCTTGTCCAATCATACCGATACATCCTCCAGCTTCAGCCAACGGAGTTCCCTCATCTCATCGTGGTATATCAAGAAAACATGTCAAGATCGCGTACAATTTTCACAGAAATGTATTTGAAATGGAGGTAATGGGAAGAAATGGTGCCTTTATGGGCGCAGATTGGCTTGCACCAGGCCAGGTCCGCCCTCTTCATAGCGGTGATTTTATACAAATAGGTGGAGTGAGGGTGAGATTTCTACTCCCAGATGTCCCGATCGGAGGGACCGGTTCGGAGGCAACGGAATCGCCAGTACCCGAGTCTAATGAAGCCGCCCGTTCCCGCCCTGAAGGAGGCAGTGCTAAGATCGAGAGTGAAGGAGAAGCCGATAATTCTGGTGGAGAGGACTCCGCGCGTAACAAAGAAGCTGGTAAAGTGAAAGTCAAGAAGCTCACAGTGACGGTATCCGGACAAAAGCCATCAACAGAAGAAAGTCAGACTCCTCAGCCTGCTCGTCGTCGTGGCCCTGGTCGCCCGCCAAAGGATGGCATCATGTCAAAGCGTGAGCGGGCAGAGATAGCGCGTGAGCAGAAACTAGCTGCTCGCCGTGAAGCCAATGGTGGAGTGACGCCGCCTCCAACGACCAAATCTAAGGCGTCCAAATCCGGGAAAGACGGGGAAGCTGAAGACCAACCCGCAGTCAAACCGGAAAAGAGAAAATATACAAAAAGGAAACGACCTGATTCTGCTCCTGGTGATTCGGTTGTGCAGTCGATAGAGGGGGGCGATGGAAACATTGCGCCAGGACAAGAAGAGCCTATCAAGCCGGCGCCTGTCAAGAAGCGCAAGCCTTCCAGGTCACCTTCACCTGACTACCCTCCAGAAAGCTTTTACACGCCCAAAGAACTAGCGAAACCACCATATAATTACGCCGTATTGATCTACGATGCGCTATCTGAATCTCCAACTCCCATGACGCTGAAGCAAATTTATCGTGCATTAAAACTAAAATATCCATACTTTCGCTTTAGGTGTGAAACTGAAGGTTGGACTTCAAGTGTGCGGCATAATCTGAACGGCAATAACCATCTCTTTATGCACGCTGAACGAGATGGCAAAGGATGGTCATGGAAACTGATTCCGGGGGCGTCAGTGGACAAAGAAAAGAAGCGTCGTCCATCTCCGCCTCCCCAGGACATAACCAACCACAACAACCAGCCTTTCCTCCCGCCCTCAGCGGTTCCGCAGTATACTATTCCCCACGGAATGCCTGCACAGCATCCCCCGCCACAATATCCGTATCAGCCAATTACCCAACATCCAACCCCCATGGCTCCTCCACCTCTCCCTCCACCTCCACCTGCCCGCCGAGCCAACCCGTTTCCTTTCACCCTGCCTCATCTGCCACAGACTGTATTGCCAGAGCATGACTTACCTCGACCGTTTTCTCTCTTACGATCTCCGGTGTACAGCTCACCCTATTCTTCGACTCCTCCGCCGCCTCACTTTCCGCATCCACGACATCGTCGAGCTCCACCGCAACCACCGCCCCAACGTCGACAACCTCCGCCATCGGCGCCAGTGGCACCGCCGCCACAAAATTATAATGCTCCAAGCATTATAAAATTTCAATCTCAACCGTACAATGCAGTTCCCCATCCCAGCCAGCCTCCTCCACAAGCCCCTCCTCCACCCCCTCCCGCTGTTCCTATACATCCCATGCCGCCGGCGCCACCTCCACCGCCTCAGAACACTTCACCGATTTCATCGTTATCTCTCATTAACCAAGACCCGGCATTCCTTTCCCGAGCCAACCAGGCAATCGATAATTTCGAGGCAGTTCTTATGGAAGATTATGAAGATCAGGAGTACATCAAGAAGGTTCTAAGGAGTGCCCGTGATCGCGTCCTCAATGGCGCAAAGGAGAGTTCTTTCCCTGGTGGAGAGCCGAAAGATGAAGCCGTAATCATCAATGCCCTTCGCGGAATTATCGGCCAGTTGACGGGAGACCAGAGCCAAGCAGGGATACCTTAAGTATCCTGCCTCAAGCTGGCTATGTTGTCTGCTCTATTAATACCTTTCTGCCCTGATTTATTTCACGACAATGAACGAGCAGCAAGGGAAGGGGAAAAAAAGTCAGATTAAACTATAAATCGCCTTTCTTTTAGGTTCGTTCTTTTTCTTCATTTGGCATGGCATGGTTTGGAAGGGTTTTGGCTCTTTTCTGTTAATTTACACCCCCCCAAAACACACACACACAAAACGGCGCTATATATGGAAAATCGGGATGCGGGTTGGCTCGGGCAAGGAATCCTCTTTTTGGCATACGCGTGATGAGTGAAATGAAAAGGGCCGATGATAGCCCCGTGGAAGATTTATGATTATTTAATCCTTTACCTGGGTACATAGGTTTTTTATTTTCCCCCTCTATTTACTGTCGCAATGTGCTTTACTTCCTCACTGGTTTCTCCCACCTGCATCGGGTCTACACATCTTTCATTCACAAGTGTTTTATGATATCCAAAGACCAGAGCATGGCGTTTCTGTCACGTCTTTTTCATATTCATTTCATATATTTTTACTTTTGATTTTTGTCTTCTACCTCCCTTTCCCTTCATATAGTAGCGCAGGGCTATGATCATGGCCGCATGAGATTCCGAATCCAAATCCACATGTAATTGATCTCTCTTCCAGGCCGCTTGGCCTGCTCCTTTTTCTTTTTCCCTTTTTCCCGGGCGCCATAGCTCCAGCATTGAAGTTTGCCCAGTTTAAAAACACCTCGACTCCAAACGATGGCAAGCCTTAAGAATTGTGGAGTACAGGAGTAACTAGCAGTTTAGGTGCAGAAACTTTCAATCCCCACCTCTCATGCAATTATTGGGTATGCTGTTAACATTTCTACTTTGCCACACAGTGGTTTCATTCGATTCTCAATCGGGTTGGTTTATGTTTCTTTACATATAGTCTGAGTCTAGTTACCCACGGGGCGTTATTTATGAGCTTTGAAAGCCTAGCGGAAGACAAAGTTTGTTCATGCATTGGCAAAAGGGAAATTGGACTTCTAGGAAACCGGAGGATAGAGACAATCTCAGAGCTACTCCATACACCATGGACGAAGAGTAAATCATGACTGCATAACGGAGGCGTGGAAAGCATGCACCGAAAATCAGGGAAGCGAAATATATATCATGGGTCATACAACAAAAGAAGTCGCGGGGAGTCGGAATATACGAGAAAGGTAAGGTATATAGGTCAAAAGATGGCGCTGCGAGGTTTCCAGCTAAGCTCTCAGGGTAATTAGACGAGAGAACTAATCCACCAAAATCCAAGGCGGTGATACAAAATGCGAAGAGGACCAATTTCACAATAGTCTTCCTTACATAGCCATTTCAGCTTTCAATTTCTCAAGTTCAGCCTCTTCGTCCTCTTCTTCGATCTGTGCTTTGGTCTTGCCTTTGACTTGGAGGCATATTAGCACCATTCTAAGGTGGCGCCGGGGGATTCTGAAAACTTACGCTCTCCATTTGCCGCAACGGGTAGAGAATCAAGCCTATCTCCAACAGGAACAGTTCCCGTCCTAAGCATCCGCTCATCGATGGCTTCTTGTTCCAGGCCATCAAGCTCTATCTCCAGTTCTGATTCGTCAACTGTATCGCCCATGGGAGCACTCGAGATTACGTTTGCGATTTCTTCGGATATTGCATGTTGTTCGCGTACATCATCCCTAGAATTTTATTAGCAAAAGATATCGATCGAATACGTAGTTTGAAGTCTAAGAGGCTGCGTACATTACTGCATCAACATTTTCGATTGTAAGCCCTTTATTAATATGTTTCATTGCAGCACCTGCATTTTTCATTGCATTAAAAGTCTCTTGATTAAGATTTGCGGATTCGATGGAGTATATGTGGTGTTCCATTTGGATAATTTGGGCTGTAGTTTGTTCAAGGTACCGTTCGTGGCCTTTTTTCCTTCGTAAGGCCGCTTTGGCAGCTATATAGACAGAAGTTTGAGAGTTAGCATCACAGCATAGCAAATCCCTCCCAACTGAATCCACCAGCCATCGGTAAAAGCGAGCCGTATAAATTTATGTTCCACCAAGCTGCAAAAGGGCAAAAACAGGTTCATACCATTCTTATTTGAAGTGACATATTTCCTAGCAAGAGCATCTTGCTCTGCCATCTGAGCTTCTAAGTACTTCTCTCTTTTCTGCAGCATTTCTAGCTGCTGCCGTAGCTCCAGAATGGCCTTTTTAGGCACATCCTTCTTCGCCTGCGCCGAAGCACCACCAAACCACGACCACATCTTGTTAGGTCTGTAGGAGCTGCGAAAGGAAAGTGAATAAGAGATTTCGGGAGTACACGAGAGCGATATGAAGAGAGGACCTCGGGAATAGCGGAACCCGTAGGCTCGTGGCCTCCTATGGCGGTCTCTCAAAGTTTCGAGGTAGGACTAGGGTAGATGCGGGGCGGGATATTTGAAGAACGCGGGAGTAAGGATGAGAGTAGAGGAGGATAGGAGAGTAGAGCAAGCGAGGGTTGATAGAGGTGATGAGTATCGTAGCGCTTGAAAGACGGTCGGACTTGTTGACTTTGCGGTTGCGAAGGCGGCAATGCGGATGCCTCGTGCGTGAGCGCCAGCATGAAGCCTCCCATTCTCGATTGCTTATGACATCGGGATGCAGGGAGGTGATCACGTGAAATATTAGTCATCGCGCCGCCACCCGGTCGTCGTCCAGCAGCATCCAGGGCGAGGAACAGATGCAGCGACGAGAGCAAGGTCAAACTTTCGGCCCTCCGAGTGCTCTCACGGTACTATGACCTGATGGCTATGTACATGGCTCGGAATGAACCAAGACGTCCCGGGTCCGCTCCCAACTCGACTTGTCTTCCTCTCCGAGCTACCTAATCTCCCCGTTGGTTCAAAGGTCCGCTTTCTAGGATGGTACGTGAAAGCGGAATAAACCCATACAAACCAGGTTTCTACATTGACAGCTAACTCTTCCCTAAGTGTATCGAAGTACACAATTGCAAAGGGCATCCTCACCCTTGAGCATAATGACAGTGTATCCTCGCCGAACAGAAAAGGGCCCCGTCGAGCGCCGGGGGCTCGAATAGATGTCGATGTAAACCTGCTTCTCGAGTCTCTCAGCCATTCAGATATTGACATCGGAAACTGGATTAACGTTATCGGCTATGTGAGGCCCCTGTCGCCAGCGCCCAGCCTCGTTCTTCAAAATGAGATACTCAAGTCAGGAGGCGGAAGAAAAAAGCCTTCATCGGTGTACGTTGAGGCGCTAATGATCATTCCTGCCGGCGGAATCAGAGTTGGGGAATATGAAAGAGTTTTATCTGAATCTAGAGAAGTAGATAAGAGACTAAAGGGGTCGAGCTGAGAACCGAAGTCCTAAATTCACTCCATGGATGTTACTTCGGTCTCTAGTCTGAACAAATGGCTAGTTAACTTTCGGGCCATCTAATTAGAAAACGGCAAGGGAGTACTCTGGAGTTGCCGGCTGAAAACTCCTTAAACGGTGTACAATACCTAGGGCACGCCGTATGTCTCGAATATTCCTCGTGAGCAATACAGAATTAAAATGTCAAGGTATTTTTTTTTTAATCTCAAAACCATAACTTCTCCGATATGGTGTAGAGGTAACATCGCTGTCTCTCAAGCAGGTCACAGCAGCCCCGGGTTCGATTCCCGGTGTCGGAAAATCATTTCTTTTTCTCCGCTGTCTTTTGCGGAATGCTTTCAATTGGATGGAATTTTTATTGTGTTAGGTATTCGGGAAATTTTATAAATCCTCGAACCCAGGGTCTGTTATATTAAACATATCTGCTCATCTCTTAACGTTAATTATGCTGGAAACATCTAGTTACCGTACATCGTGCCGAACAAAGTACTATCGAAACAAAGACAAACAAACTTCACGGTCCAGAGGGCCATTGGCGGGAGTCATCGAATCGTGCAAGTCGTCATGCAACTGAAAAATTAAAAAAGAAAAAGAAAAAGAAAGAAAAAATTGGGGCTCAGTCTTTGTTTATGACCCTTAAACTTCTTCTCGGGTTAAGCATTACTCCCAGGAATGTCGGCTCCTGTCCTGCGAGCAAATCATCCGCGCTGCTATTCGCTGACCCAGGTTGTGCGCTCCGCGAATACTCGCTTGCGGCAAATGCATGCGCAGCTGCAGCAGCGGGGGTCATCGTGAGGGCACTGCTCGACTCGCCTATTGACGGCCCGTTCACGCTCAGGTTTTCCCGGGGCCAGAGGTAGGACAGCTTTTCACCGTATCGACTCCCATCCGATGACCGCTGGGCGGCAGCAACGTGTTGTTTGTAGAGTGCGAGCTGCTTGCGGTACACATATGTGCAGAATCCCAGATACGCTGCGAGAATGGCCAGGCAGCAAGCGACCACGCCTGCTGCGATGGCGGCGACATTGAGTCCGCCGTCGCTACTGTTGGGCGATTGCGTATTATTTCCTGGCCCACCCGTCGGGGTCGAATCCGGTACGGTATAGGTCATCGGCTTTCCCGTGGCTATCGGTCCTTCAGTGACATGAACAGCTGGTGTTGTTACAGTCGCTCTTCCCTGGCTGTCTCCACCGATAACGGACTGAACAAGCTCTGGAACTTTATATCCATAGCTCCCGCTTAGGCCACCCTTGCTATTTTTCTGCGAGTCCTGTTGGTTCAGATCGTTTCCGCCTTCCAACGCAGTGTACTTTGTTTGCCACCTTAACTCTGACGCATCAAAAACATATATCCCAGGGCTGTCGCAGCTTAAGTCCTTTCCAACATACCCGCCTACTACCAAAATCTGGGAATTCCAGATATTGCAGGTGTGTCCAGCTCTGGCAGGAGGGGCAGATTGATTGTCTGTATCGACTTTGATCCAGGTGAAACTAGGTATGGTTAAGATCCACATATCGTCGTATTGCTTTTGCTCGCCATATGGTATGAGATTCTGCCCCCCGTAAAGATATACTTGCGTGCTGCTACCGTCAGCCGCAGAGGCTGCCACAGCGCAAGGGTTGACCCGGATCTCCGGAGGTTTCCCACTTGTCGCTTGCTTATACCAAGTGGAGTTTGCAATATCATAGATGTCAATCACGTTCATAGAAGTCTAATTTTGCCGCATCTGTTAATATATGAAATTCATTCAATGCAGTAAAATAGCCAGCCTGAATTCTACTTACGAAAGTCGCATTTGTGCCGCCACCCAGTCCTATTATTATGCCTTCTTCGCCGAAGCCAGGTACGTACACAAGGACACCGTCAGCCCGCTCCGTGAATCCAGCGGAATCCTGGAGACCACCTTCGGTAATATTTCGCCAAATTCCATCGGCCCCCGCAACCTTGCTATTTCCTTCCATTTCGACTTGGCTATTACCAAAGCCAGGGAATGTATACTCGATCATCGACTTTAAATAAACCCTCGCAACTGACTGCGACCATCCTTTGGTCGTGTATCCATCCAAGTGACCGCCGAAATACCAGCCTCTTCCGAGTTCGGAAACGGTAATGCCAGCTCCTTCGGCTGACCTCTGCACAGGTTTATCGCCGTCATCCGAGTTTTTGCCCTTGGATGTTGTTGGGTTTTCATGCCCTGTCCATTTTTCGGAAGATATATCATACTCCCATAAAGTAAATTCAACGGGATCCGCCGGAGGGTTGTCCGAGAATTCTCCACCGTAAAGGAAGAGAGAAGTATAAGAGTTCCAGAGGTAAGCGTTGGCTACAGCAGGAGGGCCTGAAGATTTCGTCAAACCCGTCAATTTTGGCGAGGAAATATCCCAATCGTTCTCAAGATCGAGAGTGAGAAAGTCATTATCTACCATCTAATGTTAATCATCGATACCTAGGTTACCCGGGTGAAGTTCTAAACTTACTCCAAGTGTTGTCACTCTGGCTTGACTGGCTGATAGACCTTCCGCCATAGATATACAGCGTTCCGTTGACAATTGCAGTTTGCTGCGACCATCTCTTGCAAACGTCAGTTGGGCTATCTTCTCGTTTTGTCAACGCCTTGCCATGGGAACCTAGAACCCCGATCTCGTTCCACTTTTTCCAAGAGGCATAGGGATTTGCCATTATTATAAGGGCTGGTATAAGTGGCCGTATGGGGAGGAGGCCCCATAAACACAAAACCGTGATTAACCAAGGCATAGTTGTCTTTGAGGCAAACTCCACAAAAAATTTTGATAGGCGTTACAATGTCATGGCCAACGGATTACAGTGACTGCCCCCGAAAAAAGGTAACAGCTTTTGGGTCGTGGGACCCCGAAACGAATTCCTTATTGCATGCGGACACCCGAAAGGCGACAGGTGGAATGAACCCCCTATGTAACGCAGGGGTAAAAGCAATAGAGGGGAACGAAGCAGCACAGCACTAGGGTATAATCGGTCCTTGTATCGCAAAAGAGTGTGTGTCATGTCTCACTCCTCGAGGTGTGGGTATCGGGTGAGCGACAAACAATTGTCACGAGTCGCTATTAAAAGAAACACGGCCTGGAAGAGAAAACAAAAGGGCGGATTTCAATCTTCTGAATAAAGATTGAATAAATATCGCTCCATAGGACGCAAAGGGAATATTCTCCGAGCGTGTGTTCATGTATCAGTGTAAACTTGCCAACCCCCCAACAAGTCCAGCAGTGCCGCTGCGATATTTCTCTCTCTCTTTCTTTTTTTTTAAATACTCTTTTGATTTATTTCATCCAAAGCAACATGATCTGTGCATGAATAGCAAACAAATGTCGATCGTCAAAACGTTCCGCATTTCTCTGTATGTTTGGAGGAAAAGGGTTGGGAAGCACCCTCGCGAAAGCCAACAGCAGGGCATTGGTTCACTCATGCATGATGCTTCAAGATTCGCCAGCCAACGAGAGCTGACATTTCGGTCAAGACGACTCCCCAGTCCCTGCACCTGTGGGGATTGGGACGCCGCGAAGATGAAACATCACGACTCGGGTTGCAGCTTCGCCCACCTGCACCGCCTGCTAAGAAAACATTCATCTATCCGTACAACTTTATCCGTACATCAGGATTGTCATGCATCGCGATAATCGATGGGAACAGGGAGAACGCAGGTCTTTCAGGTGCATGTTCCTTTCTGCGTTCCAGTCCCCAACACCGCCGTGGTGACACGGTGCGCACAGGAAGAAATGGAGTTAACGCTCTCGGCTCTCCAAAAAAATTGGCTTACCACCAGCACCTAGCCAAGCCACTAACTCGTCTACAAAGTTGTTGGCCAGTTAGAGAAGATCCCTTTTAGGCTCGCGTGGTGAGAAGAAGTTCACGATACTGGGAAAGCATTGAGTTTATAGCGAAGTTGTTGGGTCTCCCTGTAAATCACCCCAAGCTGAGGTGAACCGTACGAAAACACACTGTCCCCGAGCAGTCCGTAAGAATCCGTTAAAACTCCGCAGAGCACCAGCTCTGTGGCATGATAGCCCATATATTCATCGTCTCGGTGGTAGCGGGGGGGCGTCAGGCGCCACTCCGAACCGCACAACACGCGATGCCGTCTCCAGACGTAGCGCTGGCGATTTGACGTCGCGACGGAAGGTCAAATTCTCCAACCACGCACACATCTACAGTCTACGGGGCCTTGGATTTGATGCAGACCACCTAACCCCACATCAGTCTAGTCTTCGAGTTACAAAGTTCAATTTCTCGCACAATGGCGAAAAGAAAACGCGAAAACTCATCTGACCCGGCCGCGGAACCGCAACCCATCACGAGAGAAACATCGGCGTCAGTGACGGGTAGCAGCGACCAGCCCACTGGCTAATTTCACCAAGCTAGCTAGACTTCGTGAGGAATGGGAAGTCACCGTATTCGGTGCACAATGACACATTCTTCGCAACGTACAAAGTGAAGGAGTCCCATGCGGAATCTCGGGGTGAAGCCTATAGACTTATGCTGGCATGGGATTGTGATAGACTCTTGGGCTCTTTCGATCTGGGATTGTCGAATGGAGTTTTACCCGTCGAACGCTGCGCCCACTCGCCTCCATCAAACCTACAGCTTTAAGCGGCGCGGCCGAATACCATCCATATTTTGTAGTCTCTGTTGACGGTTGGCGAAATTAAGTTTTATGGTTACGAAATCAGCTGGCGTTTTGAGGGTTTTCCTGGTGGCATCTACGAGTCCTCTGGCTCGCCAGTTTTTGGGCCTCGTCTTATCTCCCCTTTTCTAGCAGGCATAATTAACGAATGGAACAATCTTCCCTCGCCCGCTCATGTCGAGGCGGATGAAAATCCACGCGAACTACCAAGAGCCAAGGATGGTTATACCCTGGGGAGACTAGCAGCATGGTCAGGGTCGTCAGACACTTCGAGTGTTGAAGCCCAGACAGAATATTTTGCATGTCACTGGAAGATACGACATCTCAAGTAAAGCAACCTCCAAAGAATGGCCAAGGAAATCCCGCGCCTTATCCATTCGCCTTCATGCTGACCTCGACAATAATAAAATCCGGGGAAAGTTTAACACAGGTATTTGTGAAGGCGTACTTCTCTTAGTCAAGAGTCCCAAGAGCCCGCTACCTGATGCTGAGCTTATATTCCGCTGGCAGGGGTTGGAGCCCGATACTGGCAACAGCATGTCAGGGCGCGGCGAAATGTCCATCGGTAACGACGATAGTATCCGGGGAACTTTCTATGATATGTATGGCATGTCGACTTTGCGAGAAAGCGGAACGCGGCTCACGACATATCTCGGGCTATGAGCCAAAGTACTACCGAACAAAATGGTGGAATATGATTCCCAGCGGCTGGGATATACTGGTTGATTCTAAGCTGCAGGACTCCGAAGCTACATTAGCAGCTGGAATTCTACGTCGTAGGCCCCCTCTTCCTTCTAGTTATTTAAAGGGTATATATTACCCTTATATCTTTCTTTCTCCCGATGCATTTCGACCAAGGCGGGGATACTTGAAGCCCCTCGGATATATTGATTTCTCATTCCTTTCCGTTGCTGTCCTCCAGTGACCTCGGCCTACTTGTTGAAAATCTATACTTTTCAATTATCCTATTTTCCTTTTCACCGCACTGGCAACACGTCCAACCAGAGCGCTTGAGATCCTCGATGAAGCACGCATCTTGCCCGCAGAGGTCAGCGTCCGCGACTGTCTCGGTAGTTCGTCCTTCATTGCACATCGATCGACGACCAGTAATGTTGCTGGTAGTGGCGTACTTGCAGTACTGAGGTGCCGCCCATTTTTTGTGCCCGCACCGATACTGCTTACAGTATCTATAGCACATTGCGGAGAAAAAAAAGCAGCGTTATCTCCAAGGATTGGATATAGTAAGGTAAAAATGGGTATGTCTTTGCACTTCATTCATTTTCGGTCGCGAAGCAGCAATTTATAGGCCTTCATCAGGTTCAACGTAGACTGGAGGCAGATGACAACTGCAGCACTAAATATAACGCCCCCTGGCGGTTCGAGAGAGGTGAGACTTTGCGAGTTTCAGTTACCGCCAAATCAGACAGGTAAACCACTATTAACAGAAATTATAGGTCTGCAGGACTCGAAGCGAAAAGTACTCCAGCGCGTATCGAGGCATAGTTACTGTTGAACGTCGCAACCATCCATTTGATGCTATTGTTAGATTAGAGAAAAAAGAGACACAAAATCAATATATTACATGGATTTTCGCGCCTTTCATCCCCCTCCATCCTAGACCCAACCTATCGCCCCTGACAAGGCGCTCATGCAAGTGCTCTGGTGAGCGGGCAAGCGTGATCGAGAGTGGGTGGGGTTGATCCGCCCGTGGTCAATGCCAGTCGCCAAGAATTTCGCTTGGGCCGGCCCCACTTTGATCCGTCATGATGGTGAAGCGCTGAGGCCGACTCAACTCCGCCTTCCATAGCATCACAGCACAGCAGCACTCCTCTACGCTTTCACCCAGGCAGTTTCTCCCTACAGATTAAAGGCAGAAATTGGTCATACTTACACTCATTCAGTCTCTCCGCACTACCCATTCGATTTGTCCAGTGTCTTGTATTTCTCTTTGTCCAACGGGACCACTCGTCATCATGAGTCCGTGGCCACTGTTGTCCGTTGCGGAATGTTGGTTCGACCCAAACAAAAAGGAGTTGAAGATGATCGTGCGTTGCAAAGGGAAATGTTTCCACATTTTTCTATCGCCAGACTATTTCCATGACTCTCCAGACATTCTTGAAAAATACCTTCAATTTGCTGAAACTGAAGCAGATGGCAATCTGGACAATTTAATAATTGATGATTTTCAGGACTGGGCACTAGAACCATTTCTTCCAGTACTGCAAGACACAGAACCAGCTTGGGAGAAAGCACATATACCCACTTTCCACAACTATCTTTACCCAGAAACTTTTCACTACTTACTCTTGGCCATCAATAACACACTTGTTCCTTCCCTGTATTACAAAGCTGCACCAGCAAGCCAATTGGGGTTCAATCTGGATGGTTATGAACTCCGCACAGTATGCTCCTCATTTCATCCGCAGCAAATACAGATCTGTGTCAATCGACCCAAAGATATATACTTCAAAACCCCGAAGAAAGTACTTGTGGATGGGCAGACAGTCTGCTTCTTTAAGCAGTGGGGCGCGGGTGAGAAGAGAGGGGCTCTCTGTGAGCTTCAAAGCTATAAGCGCATTGAAAAATTGCTCGACATGGAGGTGCAGATCCCTCGTCTGTGTGGTGTGGTCCTGGATGATGAAGGCTGCCATTGTATTGGGATGTTACTGTCTTGGATTGATTGTCAGTACACAACATTGGAATGTGCGTTGCGGGCCGACCCGCCGATGAATTTAAGACAGAAGTGGGCAGACCAACTGGCAGCCTCCTTGGATTGTTTACATCTGGCTGGGGTTATCTGGGGTGATGTGAAGCCTGCCAATGTTCTTGTTGATACAAACGATGATATATGGATTATTGACTTCGGAGGTGGATACACTCGAGGCTGGGTCGAGAGGGAAATAGCGGGGACGGTTGAAGGGGACAAACAGGGGTTACAGAAGATCAAAAGTTTCCTGTTGGAGCAAGATAACGAGGCGAACTGTGGGAATTGCTGACGAGACTGAGAGTTAACTCCTTTTGCAACCTTGGCTATTCGCATCCACATTGTTTAGATTCCTATAAGGTGGAATAAAAGGGTAGAAGCATGTCACTCATTCCAAATAACGTTCTTTGGTTTAGCCCATCCTACGGCGTCAGGGGATGGATGTTCAGAAGATGCAAACAGCGAGGGCGTGCGACTGGAACCAGATGCTTGAAGGAAACGAGGCAACCAGCAGCTGCCAACCATAATCTGCGTAGAAAGGACTCATTCTGGTTGCGCTGTGCCCAGTCATTTGTACCCGCTCCATGCTGCCGTTAGCAAGCAAAGCAAACACTGCAAACATCGCCATCTCCGCCATCTCATCAACGCCCCCTTTCACCATATTGTCACCATATCCCTGGCATATGCTTAATACCCCTTTCATTGCTGCTGTGAGGGGTGTGGTGCATCCTTGTACAATTAAGAACTCATTGCTCAGCTTGAGCTATTCCTGGGTTTCTCTGCTCGGCTTGTTCCTCATGTACTCCTGAATTGCCCAAGGAGCTTGGTTCAGGGGAATCTTAAGTCTATAGCTTCAACTGAAGTATGTGACTGCCTCAGGGAAATCTTGAGTTTTATAGCTTGAACTGAAAATGTGACTCACTCAGGGGAATATTGAATTCTTGGCTTTGAGAAATAAGTGGTTGCCCTTAGGGCGACAAGTTGCCTTGGGAGACAATTGAAAATTGATGGTTTGGCGGTGTCCCCGGGGCGAAGAGTTGCCTCAGGGGGATTGCGTGTGTTGGGGCGTTGGGTTGCCTTGAGGAATAAGAAGTTTGTGGCTCAAGCGAGGCTTGCCACAGTCCAGAAGGCGCCCTAAGAATGTTCATGCCGCAAGATCAGGAACACCCTGAGACAACGTCAGCTTTGATGCTGAAATTGTGGCCTGCCCCAGTGCATTTAGGGTTCTAGGGCAAAAAAAGCCTCATGGACTGCGATGCCCTGAGGGCATGCTTGCCCTAAGAGGAAAGGCCCTAATCTGGTAACAAGTGGCTTGCCTCAAAAGCATCATTTGCCCTGTGGAATTGGCGTTGTGGCATCAGCTGGGATGCTGCCTCAGTAGTATCCTGTGCCCTGCGGAATCGGTGAAGTTCCTGTGGAATTCATGGCCCTGTCCAAAGAACGAATTTCTCACAGCCCCAGGGAGCCTGAGTTGCCTGGAAAATTATGCAAAGCATGGCTTGTATCCAGTGTTCCCAGGCCGCGCACTCAATGAGATAGCGCAATGGTCTGATATCAGTATTTGAATGGGAAGAAATTCCCAGGACTGATATAGTCTCGTTTCTTGCCAAGAGTTGTGACAGCTGACTCATGGACAACGTTTATCACAAGACAGTAAACACACAACAGAGCAATACCTATGGCAAGCAGCATAAGAGAGTCTAAACTGATTCTCTGTCTTGTGCCTGGTGTCTCAAGACAGGATTCACGTGATTCCCCCTAATCCTAATGATCTAGCCTCTTTAGGATTAGCGCCCACCATAGCGAGGAAATGTGTGGCCTCAGTAGGTATCCTCTGCCCTGTATTCTCGTCATAGCTCTCCTCGCCCTCAGGAGCACTAGGTAGCTCAATCAATCCCAACATTTCTTCCAATGGTCTTAATGGCTCGCTTGCTAGTGAGAGCAGCGAGACGCCCCTTCACGGCTGATCCACTGACATGGGCAATATTACATAAGCGATTGCAAAGTACATTTTTCCGGCTGCGCCAAAGTCGGCGAAAGCCAGAAAGCCAGAAACACGAAAAGACCAAAAGAGAAAGATGGAAATGTACTACAGTATAGCTGCCAAACATGCGCCCAGTTAGAAGGCCAGTCACCCATACCTGCACCCACAAGCACCTTGATTTTCAAGTCAAAGGCCACGACTTTTGGTGGTTGTGGCTGCTCTGCCTCCACTGAAGTTGGTTGTGTTAAGTGGAGCGGTGCCGAAACCAACGGAGTTTTTGATGATCGAGACATCTTTCTGGATGATCTGTGTACATTTCGCAGCATCTTGGGCGTGGTGGAGGATCTCGCTCAAGGCAGGCTGCTGGAGCACCTTGCCCGCGAGCGCAATAGGCCGAATAAGGATTGCAGAGGAGGACTGAGTTTATGAGGAGTTGAGGTCGCGCGAGCGAATCACCCTGAAGGGGTGATGTGATCACCTGACTCACCCAGCTCACCCAGTTAAAGCAGCAACGGCCGGGTGAGGCAGGAGTGAGCCGCTCGCAGATTTTTGATAGAGTAATGTACCTACCTAGCGGATAGACTAACCATTCGCTATGATCTTTGCCACGTTTGCCTTCATCATACCCACTAGATAAGGGTCTGAAAACAACGTATGCAATGAAAGCAGCTGACCGGGTTATCAGCGATACACACAACATGCTCTAATCACCTCAAGCCAGACACCAATGTTATGGTCGATGGGTAGAGCTCAAATCTCGCAATCACTCCGCCGACTCTATACAGCAATCTCACCACTATGCAGCAACTTGCTGCTGGTAGGGTCAATATATCCGATACGGCCCTTTTCTAGGAGATGTCGAAATACATCTTGGCTATAAAATGCTCGATTCATGCCTTTAACATTTCACTTAGGTACCTCACTTTATGAAACCCCAAAGCGTCTGTCGACACTATTGATAAATTTGATAAACAAGAGTTGTCTCGAAGAAGGTTGCCACTCAGGGTAAGTCTTTGCAAAAAAGAAAAGAAAAAAGGGAATGCAGTGGCACTGTTTCAGCAAAAATCAAGTTCATACATCAGTGTAAGATCTGTATGTATTTATTTAACTGGCCCTTTGCAAAAACTTCGGATGCGAATTTCAGGGGACACTTTCTTCATCCCCATCGAAGAAATGATATGATTTACCAATTTTCTAACGCCAGTTGGGCTGATCTGTCATCCCAGTTTAACTTTTGGCTGACTGCTTTGCTCAGCTGTGAGAAATTCTGAAGTTCCCGTGGACTCAGGTAGCAGCTAGGGCCCTATAATATGGTTAATTAACCAATAAAGAAATTTTGGTGGTCACAAAATTCTGATCTGGCATTTTCTAATTTCCTGTATACAGAAACAATGAATGTTTTTGGGTATGCAAGACTGGATGTTGAATGAACAAGGCCAATCTCAGAGTATGAGCCAGCTCGAAGAGTTCAAAATATAGAACTACTACGGAGTACTCCGTACATCATGGCATATAGCTACCGGAAGGTAGATGTCTACAGGAAACCCAACTCAGAAGGGGAATTTTCTTTCAACCAGAAATCAGGTCAACTTCATGCTAGCATTGTTATAACACCCCCTATCACTCTCCTTCAATGACATCATTTTCTTGCAGATCGCATCCTTATATTGGGAAACTTCCTACCTTGTTTCGGAATTTTTTGTCGCACAAAGATTTTCGAATCCAGTTTTGTGGATTGGACTAGACAGATCCGCATTGTAGCCACAAGGTAACACACACTGAAGAATGCATTTCTATTCCATTTCACTAACCTACTGTGAAGAGTAGTATTTCCTTTTTAAACGTAGGTTAAGGTACCCGGGTCTTTCAGAGCAGCAATGGCCACAGGTAATGCTGTGGGAATGACAATACCCTTGTGAGACAAACCTCTTGCTCAAACTAGCACCACCCACCGACTTGGTAGAAGTGTAACTATCTAACCTTGCTGCCGGTGTTTGGGCCACGACAGAAGATATACTCCCTGTAACTGGCTGCAGCTTGCACGGAGCGTTCCTTCAAAAAGGGGAAGCAACATCGGCACGTCAGCCACCGACCCGAAGGCTATAGATTTCAACCCTGACGTGGCCTTGGTATAGAGAACGGCTCCCTGGATACCAGCATCGGTTGGGCCACGCCTGAAAACTGTGTGTGTAAAATAATGGAAGGTTCGAACATCATTTCAAGACCTTGCCTGCTGCCGCCTTTTTTCCAGGATCTCCATCCTCAATTTCTCTGCGGCGAGCTCCACGTTAATTATTCCGCTAACACCGCGTTTCCAGGCATCCTCCAAGCCCTCGATCTCGCCCCTCGCGGTCTCCTGTCTCATCTTCCTCTCCCTATTCACCTCATCCGTAGCCTGCTTCGTCTCCTGTATTTCCTTCTCGACCTGTCGTAGAATCTCCTCTAGCTGCGCATTACCAATCAACCACGCATTTTTTCCATGGGCCTCCAGCAGAGAGAGATTCTCTTGTCTTGCAGATAGATGTGAGCTAGCAGTGTACGCTTTTCGTAGAGTCTCGCGCCAATCGCTCAGGATGGTTGCTTGGTCCTTCCCTTCGGTCGAGGGCACTTCTGGGGCTTCGTATCTGGACAGGTCTACTCCGCCAGTTATGGGGCGGCTGTTGGCCTTGCGCTCAAACTCGCTCTGGATGAGGGCTGAGAACTTTGGTTCTGGGAGCGTTGGAATCGAAGAGTGGAGGGTGGTTCGGTGCCCGGCTGGTAATTCGGCAGCGATAAGCTTGTCTATTTCGCTGCGGACTTCGGGAGCAATTTCACCGTCGATGTCTTAAGAGGATGAGGGTTATTAGCATAGATATCCACCGGGATAGCAGAAAAAGTGGGTGAGTGAGTGAGTGGATGGAAGGATCCTACACGGCAGGGAATCATGGAACTCGTCGATTAGCGACATGTCTAGCTTTGCAGACTATTGGACACTAGGTGTCAGGCGCACAATCGACATGAATATATGTATCTCGTGAACAGCGACACCAGACATGGGATGGAGCTGCTGGATGTCATCCGGACGGCGAACGGGCAAAGCTCGACGCGCTTATCTAATGAGCACTGCTGCCCTAGCTGTATCGGGACTAGCGCACTACACGGCACGTCGCATCGTCCCCTGACCGGCACCGGCCAATTAGCAGCGGCTGTTTTTATTCAAACTTCCCGAAGTTGGCGGCAGCACACTCTCCGCCAGCGGGGGAGCTTGCTGCTAGCGCAAAGTCAAAGCCTGCGCGCGATGTCATGACTCTGGGGGTCTGGGGATTTAGCCTCCTCTTCGTCCGGCGATCCCCACAACTACCCCTGTGCATCTTCACATGGCGATGGTTGTGATGGATATGCCCCTTTTCTCTAGCCGAATGGGCCGACTACAAAATCTTGTGGGTGGCCCATATTGATCCTGTATCTGGACTGCCAGAATAAGGGTCTCGAGTTCTCGGCGGTCTTCTCCGGATGCCTGCCTACCGATCGTGACGGAGTTACACGATGGCCCGCCTCGGCATAATTACATGCCTTGTCAGCTTTTTTCTTGGAACCTTTTTTGTGATCCAACTCCTCTCCAACCCCGGTGTCTCGCAGCAGCGAAGATGGCTCAGGTTCCCCTCGAGCCAAAGGGCTGGCAGGGCACGGTATGGTGACATCGATGACGATGTGTATCTACTCGGCGTGGGAAAGGCCGACATTACTGGGTACGTCGATCGCTGCAAACAGCCAGGAAATTAACGCTGTTTTGTTCCCCCAGTATGCTTATTGCAGAGATGCAGGCCTGTCGCCGAGATCATCTTCATGGGCTATGCGAATTCGGAGCAAGTCGGCTCCGGACTTCGCCAGAGGCTCTATTCCCGCGCTTTCATCGTTGGAAGCCGCGAGAATCCAGAAAATAGATTTGTGTATATCGTCTTGGATACCGTCGCTGGTGATACAGCCATCAGGGACGGAATCCTGAAGGGCCTTGCCGAGCTTGGCGGCGAGTACGTCCACTATGGTCAGCACAACCTGGCCCTGACTGGAACACACTCGCATGCAGGCCCTGGAGCGTGGTTGAACTCATTGATCCCGCAGATAAGCACTAACGGGTTCAACAAAGAGAGCTATCAAGCCATCGTTGATGGTACGATCCTCTCAATCAAAAGAGCACATGAATCCTTGGCCCCTGGGCGACTGAGCTTCGCGTCGGGCCAGCTTGACAATACCAGTATCAACAGAAGTCCGTTCGCATATCTCGCAAATCCAGAGGAGGAGCGGGCTCGATATAATGGAGACACCGAAAAGCAATTCTCGCTCCTAAGATTTGACCGTGAAGAAGACGACAAGACAATTGGCGTGCTCACGTTCTATTCGGTGCACGGGACCTCGCTGTACCGAAACAATACTCTTGTATCAGGTGATAACAAGGGAGTCGCTTCCTACCTCTTCGAACGCGGCGTGCGACATGATCACAGGTTTGCGAAAGACTTCGTTGCTGGATTTTCTCAATCATCCGTTGGAGATGTCTCGCCAAACATCGAGGGCGCATTTTGCGAGGACACTGGGCTTCCCTGCAAATTCGTATGTATTCCCAAGAAACAACAGTTCTGCCCCCATCTCAGCATACTAATCCGTCTTTATAGGAGGACAGTACATGCAATGGAAAAGCGGTTCTATGCCACGGACGTGGGCCCTTCTTCCGTGAGAAGGACGAGGGTTCAAAGAGCTGCTTCGAAATTGGTCGGCGCCAGTTTTTCGCTGCCCTGAATCTTTATGGTAAGATGGATCGGCAGACCGTCCGGGGATCGTCTGCAGTCTCTTCGTTCCACACATTCCAAGACTTTTCCAAATACAAGTTCATCTCACCGTTCAACAAGAGCAGAGAATTGACCTCTTGCTCTGCTGCCCTTGGTTTTGCTTTTGCTGGTGGAACTACCGACGGGCCGGGGTACTTTGATTTCACCCAAAATGGCACAGACTCTCCAAGCACGAGAAATCCGCTCTGGAACTTTGCCAGAGACCTTCTCCATCCGCCAACTAAACAGCAGAAGGAGTGCCACAGCCCAAAGAAAATTCTCCTGGACGTGGGCGAGCTTCACTTCCCTTACCAATGGACGCCAAATATTGTGGACATCCAGCTTCTCCGCGTTGGTCAGGTGGTCATCATCGTATCCTCCGGGGAAGTCTCGACGATGGCTGGTCGTCGCTGGAGGGAAGCTGTGGCGAAAACCGCCAAACATGCTCTCGATATCTCAGAACCCATCGTTCTCTTGGGCGGCCCAGCAAACACCTATGTCCATTATATCACCACTGAAGAGGAATACGGCATCCAACGCTACGAGGGTGCCTCGACTCTCCACGGCCCACACACGCTTGCGGCTCATGTAAATCTAACCCTCACTTATCTCCCCAATCTTGCAGAAGACGCGACCTCTTTGCCACCTGTTCCACCAGGCCCGAGCCCTGAGGTCAACACCAATCGATCGATGTCTTTTATCCTTCCCGTCGTCCTGGATACACCACCGATCCAGAAGAACTTCGGAGACGTGCTTTCGGGCCCATCTTCAGACCAGGTGTTCCGGCCCGGTGATATCGTTAAAACTAAGTTCGTGGCTGCCAATCCACGGAATAACTTCCGACTTGAAGGCACTTTTGCCGCCGTTGAACGGCAGACCGGCCGGAACACATGGGAGGTTGTCCGTGACGATTCGGACTGGAATTTGGTGTACCACTGGGGACGCAAGAGCCCTGGACTCAGCTCCAGTGCGGTTACCATCGAATGGGAAATTGAGAACGACTATTACTCTATCGGCTCTCCGAGGGTCCAGAGCGGCACCTACCGCATGATATACTATGGAGATGCGAAAGGTTGGGATGGAAAGATTCGTGGATTCAAGGGAACTGGTCCAAGCTTCAAAGTTTCTGCTTAAAAGACTTTCTCTCTTTTTTTGCATATAAGGGGTAATATTTGAGGACACGCGCGTTAGTAAATTTCACTTCGACAGTATATATGATTGGGAGACTTGGGTGCACACATACCCTGGTAAAGTTGGATTATCTATATATACCATAGTTTTTAATTTCTTTTGCTATTGTTTAGGTATCGCGTCCGCTTGACCTAGCAACTGAGGCACAATAAGACCACATAAATGTACGGAGTACGGAATAACAACATCCACTGCTCCGTACGGAGTGCCTTCATGTACGGAGTACTCCGTATATAGTACGCATACGGCAGCCGATAAGAGGCTATTCTGCTTTTGGCTAGTGCATTTTGTTTCAATTTTAGGTTCGCGCTAAATGCCGCCGGCCAATGAAATCGACCTTTCACCAACGACTGCCATCACTTCGCGACGACTTCACCTCTGCGACCTCGAAGGGATTACCTACGCGCCAGGCCAAGATGAACTGCTACCCATCGCATGCTGTGAAACACCTTCTGTTGAAACATTCGAGGAGCATGCTGGATTAGACGCGCAGTTGGAATGTATCAAAATAACCTGAAACCATCAGGTATCCCCCGCCCGATGGTCAAAGGGCCCCGTTTTGCAGCTTTTATTCCTTTTTTTTTTTTTTTCCCTTTGAAGAATCTGTTTTTTATTCTTCATGTTTTCTCTTTTTATTTGTTTTTTTTCTTCTGCAGATCATGATAGATCTATTATGATTGTTGTATTTGATCTCAGAAGCCTTTCTTCGTTCTTCATCACAGCTCACGGCCCTGTCGGCATTTTCGTTTCTCTTCAGGATGCGCGTAAAAGATTTGGTCACAGTTCTATTGGCGTTAATATCGTCATCTTCTTGCAGCCCAACACGTCGTCTCCCTTGGAATCCTCGGCTGCATGGTGTCGCGGGCTTTAGAAATTGCACGACCTCCAACCCAACCCAAATATCTGTCATTAATTCAGTTGTGGTGACTCTAACAATCCCTCCTCCTTCGGTTCCCTCAACCACTCGTGGCAGTGATGCGAAGGCCACCGTCTGCTTGGAGTTTGTGGATTCTGGTGGAAGCGGAGCTCCGAGAGTGGTTCTTTGCTCCCCAACAACGCAATCGACGGCTTTTCTAACGACGTCTGGAATCCGTGGATCTGGCGGCGTTGGAGCGACGGGTTATCCAGCAATCATCTCGATCAGCGATGGGACGGCTTCTCCCGAACTGGAATCAACCCACAGACCGATGCTTTCATCGATCGCTGGAAAGAATGACACTCGTCCGTCAATTACGGGAACTGGTGCATTTTCCACCACCTTCGTCCGCACGACTGTCACAAAACGGCCATGTCCTAGCTCATCGACTTCAAGCCCTGCTCCTCCACCCAACGTACCTATAACAATCAGCTTTCCCGGGTCCGACCCTCCCGAGAGTCCAGACAGTACAACGATGCACGTTTCCGATATCACATTGTTCACCATGTCGGGAATTCCATCTCCTTCGCCTCCCACAAGTACAACTTCCTCCTTATCTTCTCCGTCGATTCCTTCGATACCCCCAAATCCCCCCAGTGTCTCACCTAAATCGGACATCCCACTGGGTTCTGCACCTACATCTGCCCCACCACCCCCACAGATTAGTATAATACCCGTCACCACGACACAAAGCCAGCCGGAGTCTGGGCCAATCACACTTATACCCATCGACCCATGAATTGGTATCGTTTCTATCTCTAATTTCTTCCAGTTTGACATGCGACTATTTTATACCCCATGTATACAGATTTTTTTTTTTCCTGAACATAATATTAAAAAGGCCTAAGAATATTCTCCTTTGGAGCCTTCCTACAATTCTCTAAAAGTTCGACTCTATGTTCACACCTTTCAACATCTGTCACATTAAATGTCAATTTAATATGGCAATCACGCTGATGCTGGCGTCATACTGATGATTGTTAACAATGTCTTGATATGATCTTTACTTGTTTTTTTAGTATATCAATGGTGTCCACTGGATTTTGACAAAGATAGCTTGAAAAAATATTGCACTCCCTAAAATGATGATATCCACAGAGATCCATCTATTTCTCTTCATCATCAATCCCCTAGTGTGCTATTATTTATTTGATGACTAGTATGAGAATGCATTACTCATAATCTTGTACAGTTATTTCTCTCTCTTCTATGTCTCATTTTTGCTTGTATCTGCTCAATAGTCAGCATCCTTCCTGCTTGGCCGGTTGATGTGAAGGGTGCTATCAGCTCCTTTTGGCACTCAAGTACCCTTCTCCTTTTTCCTATTCACGAGCCATTCAATTCTTGAATGAATATTTTCAGCTCACTTCCGTGGATACCCATGAGTACAATGTATTCACTAAGAACACATTCTAGAGTCAACATACGCATAGTGGTGATTCTACTTGCTACCAAAACAAAACAAACAGTATTTACCGCTATTCAAAGCCTTGTGTTATCACAGTCCTAGCCCCTACCTTTCATTGCAAAATTTGCTTTCGCGTTCCCTGTGATACCAATTTCATTACTCATTTTCTTCTTTCAAGCTGGTTTTTATGACATTCTTTTCCCAGTCCAGGCTGTGGTCATTCTGTCTTCATTAAAAAATTGCCTGATCGCATTTATACATCCTCTCTTGCAACTCCTTTGTAGTTTCATTTGCAGTCAACCCCTAATTGTTCTTTTTGTTCCACAGGATCCAGTTCTGAGGGCTTGTTATCGCTACTCGCACCAAGGCTGTTTGTTGAGATTTTCAAAATGGTCTGTTTTCACAACTCCTCGCAAACAGAAGATATTCCATGAAAACTAACTAATCTCCCCTTTTTCTTGACAAACTCGCAGACGAACTTCTTCCACCAGATATACCTGAGCCATGCAAACCGCGTTGTTACTGATTATATCACCAGAGGAAGACGCCACAAGATTTCTCGGGCGCAGATTGAAATGCAAATTCTGAAAGAAATCGAGAAATCTTCTCTTCCGTCAGCATATCGCGTTTCGTGGTACGCATTGGTAAGGCTACCTTTTCCTTCAATCTCCTTGAAAAGCTGAGTTGTGCATGTGTTATATGGCTCCACTAATATTTATAGGTATTGCAATCGGACACGTTTGATATTTACTGGCTGGGGCAGCGCGACCAGCACCATCTCAGCAAAGAGTCGATTGCGCGGTTGAAGCCGGATGAATCTCTTATTGAAGAATGCGTTTTCGAAAGCCCCGAAAGCTCTCCTGCCTGCTCGGATCGAGAGATGTCTAACAGCCCACAGGCGGAGACTACAGCTGAAGGAGTTAGTTCAATTTCCAGCTCAAGCTCTAACGATGATGACGGAACAATCGACAACCAGCCCTCCTCGGCATCCAATACACCACCGATAGCGCAGCCTGAATCTGAGGAACGAGCCGAAGCCTACAAAGCCACTCCGGCAGAAACACTAATTCCTAGCATTGAGGGTGGGCCTGTCCATCCCCATGTATCAGGAAAAACCATTTCAGAAATAGTTGTCATTCCTGGGACATCCAGGAAGACCACTCCGAGACCAGCGCAGCCCGCACGCAAGGCACGTAAAACAACAGCTACTGCAAGCACCCCCAAGAAACAAAAGGCCGCTAGGATGAAAGCTCCGTCGAAGAAGAAACCTAAAGTGGCGCTTAAAAAGCCTAGAGTTACTCTAGGCACTACTACCGAAGAGTCTGAGAAAGACCAAGAGCCGATGAATGCAGAACCCAATGGCGTCGACCCAGAGCTCCAAATGGGGAGTCGAGCCACCTCTGCGGGCGACCGAGACCAGACAAAAACACAGGAGCGGGTTAAGAAAGCCTGGGAAACACGGCGACGTAAAGCAGCTGAAAAAGCAGCCGAAAAAGCCGCCGCAAAGGCGGTGGCTTTGGCCCAGGAGGAGGGGACAGCTACATGCCACAACACTGTCGTGCAGCCTGCCGCATCCCCAGCTGCAAAAGCCGGCAAAGGGCGAGGCAGAAAGAAGAAAGCAGTGCGTTTCAACCTCCCCGAAACCAATCCTGACGGCGAAGAGAAATATTGACCAACTCTCGAAGGACCCTTAGTACTGACCCGGCATACAGCAGAGGTGAACACTTTTAAGAATCACTCTGTTACTTTCGACACGATTGTCTCGATTTCTATCTTCAGTTCTTCCAGGTCCTACTGCTCTTCTTCGTCTTTTCTTGTTTGTCATTAAACATGAGTCGCCAGTGAGGGGGCCTTTTGGCATGATGGATATGAAGACCTGACCTTTCATATTTGCATGACACCCCATGTCTAGTTATTTGTCTTGTGCTTTCTCTAGACTGCGTGCATAGAGTCGTATGGTTTTGTCCAGCTCGAGTTTGACATAATTGTCCTTGAAGGAAAACCCAATGTTTGAAATTGAAAATTTTCCTGCCTGACTCACACCCTTTTTCTAGTATATTCTAATGATGGTCTCCGTACGACACCGTTTTCAATCTCAATGCTTTGTGATTTTGTACCACTTCCCTGCTGCCTGGCAGTTTGCGTAGAATATTTATACAAATTTCTCAACACATTAGATGCCAAACCATATGCCAGCCCTTCCGTTCCATATCTATAAGTACAGGTATAAAGCGATATATTTTAAGTATCCCTGGGTTCCCAATGCATGACAGTCCTAGCAGCGGCGAAGAGGAGAGACCTGACGGATAAGAAAATCCAAAAAGAAAGTAGGGAAAAAAAGGTTCAACAGGAACCGGGGAGGATAATGCTACCATGCATTGTATCCAAACGTTTTGTCTAGCCCTTCTATGCATTGCTGAGATAGGAGTTGATCAAAGATGTCTCTTCTCACGTATCTCATCGTATGTCTGGACTTGATCGCCCACTTGGAATTCGGTCCAGTTCTCAAATGCCATACCGCACTCTGTGCCCTTCCGCATTTCGGTCACATCCTTCTTTACATTTTTAAGAGACGAGATAGTTCCTATGGTCACGTAAGGATAGGCTCAAAGCACATGGGTTACCGCCCTGGAGAGGAGTTGGTACTGACCATCATAAACAACATCCTTATTTTTGCCCCGGAATACTCGGACCTTGTGTGCACGTGTAATCACACCATTTTTTACCTTGCATCCCGCGATCGAGGTTTTTAGTCGTCCCTTAAGCGTAATCTCAAAAATCTGGCCAATTTCTGCTTCTCCAGATACACGCTGTACTAGGTTGGGAGGTAAATGTTCGCTCAGTTTCGCCTTAACGTCATCAATCAACTCGTATATGACTCTATGATCCAGAATCTTGACGCCTTTGGATTCTGCAAGCCGAGATTGTTGTGGATCAACGATTTGATTGAATGATATAATGTGTGCGTTTGCAGCAGCGGCATGCTCAATATCAAACTCTGATACTTGGCCAACGGTAGAACGCAGGACATTGGCGTAGACCTCGTTATTTCCAATGGCGGAGACAGAATTGACTATGGCTTCAGCAGAACCCGAGACATCAGATTTAATGATGAAAGGGATACCCTTTGAACCAGATGTCGCACTATCATCTGAGCCCTCCGCAAGTTCGTCATTCGATTCTTCTTGCGATGCCCCCGCTGCTCGTTGACGGCGTTCGCGGCGGGCTTCGTTGATGGCTTCCATATCGCCACTCAGCTGTTTATTTTCTTCCTTCTCAAGTCTTAGCTGGACAACATCCTTTGCTATTTGCTCACTTGTAGCTTGAAGAACTTCATTCCCAGCCAGTGGTTGTTCTCTCCAGCCATCTACCTCGACGGGGGTTCCTGGCGGGGCATCCTTGACTTCTACACCAGCTTCATTCTTTAAGGTACGGATTCGAGCCCATGCAGTTCCAGCAACAATGACATCGCCAGGTCTGAGAGTGCCTCGCCGGACTAGTACCGTGGCCACCCTTCCTCCCGGCTTGGTAGTTGCCTCGATAACCCAACCTTCAACATTGTTTTCATGGTCAGCTCGAAGATCAAGCATTTCGGACAGCGTTACTGCTGCTTCTTCCAATTCCAGCATGCCTTGTCCTGTTTTGCCACTAACACACACGGCTTGTACATCTCCACCATAGTCTTCAACGCTCACATTGTGTCGAGCAAGGTCTTGTTTCACTCTTTCGATATTGACATTGTCCTTGTCAACTTTATTTATTGCCACGATCATTGGGACATTTGCTTGTTTAGCATGCTTGATAGCTTCGATGGTTTGAGGCTTGACGCTATCGTCTGCGGCGACAACAAGGATAACGATATCGGTAACATCTGCACCACGTTTTCGCATTTCAAGGAAGGCTGCGTGACCTGGAGTGTCTAAGAAAGTGATCTGCTTGCCTGAAGGCATCATCACAGAGAATGCACCGATATGCTGGGTAATTCCTCCATGCTCTGACGCTGCAACAGAAGATTTTCGCAGCCAGTCCAAAATTGTAGTCTTGCCATGATCAACGTGTCCCATGATCGTAACAACGGGAGGTCGTGACGGCCAATGCGACGTGTCCTCCGGAATGGGCTGAGCCACCAAATCATTGTCATTAGTCTCAAATATAGGTTCATAGTTGTATTCAGCAGCAATAAGACCTGCTGTTTCGGCATCAAGGACGTGGTCGAAAGTCGCTTCCTCAAAACCAAGCTCCTGCAACGATTCCAAGAACGTCGAAGGTCGCACTGACAATGCATTGGCAAGGTTGGCAACGCTTATGAATTCTGGGAGATATATAGGGGTAGGAGTGTTGTTATCCTTTTGTGCGCGCCGCTGTGCTTCCTTCTCTTTCTTACGCTCCTTCCGCCGACGGCGGGCCCGTCCTGCACCATCGTCATCCTCAACATCAAACTCTTCATCCAAATCATAATCAAACCGGCGAGAAGTAGCAAAAACATCTTGTTCCTTAGCCTCAAGCTCTTTTGTTGACTTCCATCTGTCCTTCTTTTTCTGCTGCCTAGGAGCGCGCGAGGCTCCTTCGGCAGCGCCAATTTGTACGGCACTCGGTATATCGGTTTCAACCTCTGATATCTGGCGTTTTTCTGCAGAGGAACTCAAATCTTGATTGTGTGGCGACGAGATGGCTACGTCTTGCTGCTTAGAGGGCGGAGGCGCTTCACGACGTGGCACCTGTGGTCCCGTCTCCCCAGGGGTGGGCATATCCGAAGGTTCGGGGAGAATCTTTCGAAACCTAGTAAATCCCCATGTATCACTTCCGTTGTCCCGAAATCTCGCTTCACGTTCAGCAACAGAGCTCGATTTCGATGCGGTTCGCTCGGACGATCCCGATGCAGGGCCCTTATGGACGCCAATAGAGTCTCCTGTGCCCCGCTGAGGCATAAACGATACGAATCCCGTATTAGAGCCAGGTCCGTTATAAGCACGGCCGGAATCAGTCGCAGGCTTGGACTCTTCTGGAGGTCTCCTTTCGCGCCCAAAACCGTCCGTTCGCGGTGGGCTATCCGTAGTTGCCAAAGTTGAATCACGTTCACGTTTAGAGCCTCCCCATATAATTCTAAAACGGTTGGCATTGGGCGTTGTTTGGGTAGATTGCTTGACACGTGCTTGGTTCGTCTGTTTACCCCAGTTCTCGGCAGGTTTGGGAGGAATGCGCGCAGTTTCCAGCTTGCGCTGAGCAAGGACTCGCTCTCTTTGATTCATCTCATCAACCGTGAGCTGGCTTCCAGACCCAAAGGTAGGTTTCCCCCATCCACCCCCGAAGCCAAATTTGGGACTCGTGGGTTTCGGTGACACTGCGCTCGCCGGCGTTGCAGCAGCGGCTGCGGGACTGGTCACGCCATTATTGTCTCCATTTAAAAGAGCGACAGCGGAGCTAAACTGTCTAGTTTGTGGTCGGAAGTACAGACTGCTTGGGATCCACGCAGCTGAGCGGGCATGGGATCGAAGACGGCAACAATTGCATGGTAGCGCCTAGTAGAATTGAGCTAAGCGAGTCGCGCACACCAGCGGACATGGAAGTGAAGCACATACCTTCAAAGCAGACCTCCGCATACTGACAGAGTCGGACAAGCCCTACATTGGATCTGAGCTGCTCGAAAACCAGAAGCCTTTACTCGATTAGGAAGGAGTCGCGCCTTGAAAATTGTTTCGGACCGATAATTTCGCCGGGAATCACGTAATCGGCTCAGGTGGGGCAATGTGCAGCGGCTCCGACCAATCAGGTTTAGCTTCCCCATATTCTCTCGGCGCTCAGCTCGAGCGGCGAATGTCTCGTTCTCCGCAACCGGGCGGAATTCCATCTCGGCCGGGGGTAGAAGACTTTTTTCCACTCTGATTCATCTGTCTCGAGCCTTTCTGCAAGACCGTCGCAAGGCCCATGCGCTGAATTGACTGTCAATTTTACAGTTCACCTAGAACAAAACAAATAATTCTCAATTGCGAAGAGGGGCTGAATTCCCAGCGCAATGGAGGCCGAGATCAAAGGGCACGAGGATCAGGGAGCGTTGCGGACAGTCAAAGATCTGTCCGCGGGAGCTGCAGGAGGTATCGCGCAGGTGCTGCTTGGCCAGCCTTTCGGTTCGTGTTGATCATTTAATTCCAATGGACGGGAACAACGGTCTGATGTTGACATCGGACAGATATCGTCAAAGTCAGATTGCAGACCACAACGCAATACTCAAGCGCACTGGATTGTGCCACCAAGATTCTATCCAAGGAAGGCCCACTGGCCTTTTATAAAGGAACTTTAACTCCATTGATTGGTATTGGTGCTTGTGTACGTCGAGCGTTGACCAATGTGCCGCTGCTCGGTTGAGCTTGACCTAATCTCGACCTTCTTCTCTCCTAGGTTAGTGTCCAATTCGGAGCATTCCACGAAGCGCGCCGCCGCATTGAAGATTTCAACGCAAAACGAGGGCATCCCACAGCGCTTTCATACTCGCAATACTACCTCGCTGGAGCCTTCGCCGGTGTCACCAATTCCGTGATATCCGGACCCATCGAACATGTCCGTATCCGCCTTCAAACCCAACCTCACGGTGCAGACCGTCTTTACAGCGGTCCCTTGGATTGCATTAAAAAGCTCTCCGCTCATGAGGGTGTTCTTCGTGGTCTGTATAGAGGCCAGGCGGTCACGGTCTACAGAGAAGCACAAGCTTACGGCGTGTGGTTCCTTGCATTTGAATATATGATGAACTGGGAAGCCAAGCGTAACCAGGTCAAACGTGATGAAATCTCGAGTGTCAAGGTTGCGGGGTACGGCGGTATAGCTGGTGAAGCCCTGTGGCTCTCCAGCTACCCGTTCGATGTTTTGAAGAGTAAAATGCAGAGCGATGGATTTGGGGCCCAACAAAAGTACAAGGGCATGATTGACTGCTTCAAGAAGACATATGTTGCAGAAGGGCTGGGAGGATTTTGGAAAGGAATTGGCCCAACATTGCTCAGGGCAATGCCCGTGTCTGCTGGTACTTTTGCCGTGTAAGTTTGAGCTAACTTTTGCTTCCACCTGACCGACCTTATGAGAGCTAACATATGGATATAGTGTCGAATTGACCATGAGAGCCCTTGGCTAAACTCATTGGCTGTTTTACTAGCAAGAAAAAAAGTTCTGGGTGTTTGCTGGTTATAAAATACTTCGCTCTGCGTTTTCCGTCCTTTCCTTTAGAGCACGACATGGGTTGGTATGATACCTTGCGGATTAAATGGTTTCTCAACATCTCTATTTCGCCTAGAGGCTCATGTATATATAATAATAGATCTTCAACATTTAGGTCTGGTATAGATCCTAGTCTACATGCTCGAAACTCTGGCTTAGCCGGCCAATCCTGAAATGGGAATGATCATACGAAGTAGTCTATCATAGCATATAGGATACCAAGAAGATACCGAAAACACAAGCCTATGAACACGCACCGTAAACTCAACCTAAACATACATAGAAAGGACACTGTTATACATGTCTGCTCATAATTTCCTATACAACTCCTTCAACTGGATCCCTCTGAGTCCGGCATGAGCTTCTTCATTGACACGCGCTCATACGGCAACTTGCCCGTCCGTGATTGCTGTAATCTCGCCTTCTGTCCTGCTTCGCCAGCTCTGCCCAAGACACCCGCAATGACAGCGACAGATCGCAAACTATCGTCATTTGCTGGAATAGGATATGTAACCATCAAGGCATCGGCATCTGTATCTATAATGCCAATGGTTGGGATATTATACGCCCGGCACTCCGTCAACAACGGCTCGTTCTCTATTGGATTCAAGCAGACAACCAGATCCGGCCTCAAAACTGGCTGTTCTGAGACATTCTCCTTGTATCTAGGCAACTCGTTGTCGAACTCGTCTACCACCTTCAGCTCACAGTGGCCCAGGATCTGCTGGCCGTTCGTGATGCTTCCGGGAACCCAGCGCTCAAACACGTGATACCCCTGAGCCAATTCTGCCGCGCGCACCACTGCTCGCCGCTGGCCCTTTCTAGTGCCAACAAATAAGATCAATCCTCCGCGCCTGGCTACCTCCTCGACGACTTTTGCCGCTCGTCGCAGATATGCAGCGGTGACTTCGAGAGAAATGATGTGAATCCCATCACGGATACCGAAGATGTAGCTCGAGTTTCGGGGGTTCCAGAGGGAAGTGGCGTGGCCGAGGTGAGATTGGGAGGCTAGAAGGAGTTCAAGGGTAATGTCAGAAAGTCCTGGGGGGTTGCGCAGTAAATTTTCAGGTTCATAAGCGCTCTTGACCTGTGAGCCAAGTTCGTTGAATCGAACGCCTAAAACCAGAAATATGCTGTCAGTTACACAGACACATGGGAAAGGAGCAGCTTCGGGGACCCATGGCACCTACGCCGCGCCGTTAGATTTCGGAACTGTTCAGAGAGAGCGGGCTGCTCTTCTGCCAATGCCTTAGGTTGTACTGCTTGAATTGGGTCCGTAGACTGGGAAATCTGAGCCACTGTCTCTGTTTCTGTCGAATGGTAGCGGGATTGAAAAGACGGGCGAACAGCACCGAACAGTGCTCGGCCTGAATTTGAATGCAATTAGTTCCCTGTGGTAGTTGATGCGCCAACATGGCATTCGATTGGATTCAATGGCTCACCCTGTCGTCTACACAATTGTCTTATTATCATGGTGGGATGGTTGCGGAATCGGTCATGAGGAGAGATCACCAGGTCCGAATCAATTTGATATTCTTCCCGTCCTAACCAGAGATCGGGAAGCTAAGTAACGCGCTAACCGAATTTGTCATAGTCCATTTATTACATAAGTAGTTCCTTGGCATATATCACATGATCCTCTCCCTTGCCCCTGCCCTATCGACATGCAGCCGATTCCTTCCGGATTGCTGTGGAATTCTGTCTTGCACACGATCGGCTTCTTTACCCCTCAGCCCTACAGGGCGATCGAAACAAAGACCAATGGACGTGCTAAATGCCTGTCTTCCGTTCAAACTGATAATCCATAATTCATTCAAAGTGAGAGGGAAAAAAGGTGCAGATTAATACCCAATCATGAGCTGAATGCGACAAACGAGGCACCCGTCAAAGTATAATAGCATATATGCACGGTTAACAAAGGAAAGCAACGATATCAACACGGTCCATCAAACATCCTTCTACTTCTTGCCAAAGAGTGACCCAAGGCTGCTGGCGGCGCCACCGAACTGGCTTCCGCCGCTGCTTCCGCCGTGGCCATGGCTCTCTTTACCGTGCTTCTTGAGTTTATCCTCCGCAAGGCTTCCGATAACGGCACCAGCAATTGTGCCAATGAATCCGTGGTTCGCTTTGGACCCAGCGTAGCCGCCAGCAATTCCGCCAGTGATCGCGCCTCCGATACCACGTTCACCATCTTGAGCTCCACCGGGAGCGCCACCCTGCTGGTCGTATCTATGTCTCGCCGTTAACGTCTTACTTCTCATCATGAAAGAGCCATTGTTAACTTACTGTTGACCGTATTGCTCCGACTGATGCGACTGGGGCTGTCCTTGTTGGTAGCCTTGGTCCTGAGGATACTGGCCATACTGTTGCTGTTGGGGATATCCGCCATATTGTTGTTGGTCATAGCCTTGTTGGCCTTGAGGATAATTTTGCTGGGGAGGATAACCCTGGTTGTATGGCTGCTGAGGGTACCCTTGTTGCTGGCCGTAACCGCCCTGGTTGTAGCCTTGGTTATACTGATCGTATGGGCCCGACATTGTGAAAAGGTGGTTTGCTTTGGACTGTAAGAGTAGAAATGAAGATCAAGAGTTAATTGAAGAGTACGAATTTGATATTGTTCGATCTCGAGGTGGATATGGAGAGTTTCCAGAAATATTGCTTGGAGGCAAAGTTAAGATGATTCTTGGAGCGAAGGAGGGGTGAACCCCCCGCTTTTATATCATCTGCTTCGTTCCTCCGGCCGTAACTGGTGTACCGTGACTGTTCACAGCAGCTGAAGGTTCCAGCCGGCAATACACAACAATGCCCGTATGTGGTGTAATCGAGGCGTATCATACGAGCGATCAGTGGCTTTTCGTCATCCCTAGCCACAGCCTAGCCTTTTCATTCGTCATTTGCGTGACAAGATGACCCACTGTGCGCTAGTGGATTGCTGCGTCTTTCAGCTGATGCTGGCGAAAAGCACCGGAACGCACCCAGCCAAGTGTGTCCCTGCGCCACAGGTGAGGCGGTGGTCCTTCGAGCGGCCGGGCTTAGCAGTGGCACCAACAGATCTGTGGCGCAGTTAGCGCCAAACCCAAGCTATGAATAGCATCCACGTGATTAAACGCTGCTCCGGATCCGGCCTAGTTTGTTGGCGGCGTCGTCGGAGAAAGGGGGCTTCGAGCTCTGACCAGGCCAGAAAGAGCCGTATCACGACCCTAAGAATGAAGCTATGCTACAGAAACGGACTGCGGCTCACTACGAGGATCGTAACGAAGGAACCAGGCGCGTGGGTTCGTGTAACGGATCATAACCGAAGTGGACATCCCCGCCGTCCGCGCTGGGCAGACGGAGAAAACGAGTAAAGATACGAGCCCCGTTAGATTGTAACTGTTAGAACGCGCTGATTTTCTTATTCCGGATGATGATCGCAATAACCCGCAATCTTGGCTTTGCGCCGATGCTCCTGCGCTGCGTCCAGCGGTTTGTCTGGCCTCCAACGTCGTGGCTGCGACACTCGATAGGAGTAACGGCCCAACGCTAATCCTCGATGCCCACCACATCGTAACTGGTTATTGGGATGGCCAAGAATGGAGCTGCCAGCTGAAAGATATGCATGGCGGGAGCTAATTGCATGGAATACGGAGGACTGGGGAACGGTTCGTCCGCTACTCCACACTTGATCGATCCCGATTGCGCGCTCGACGCCTTCACAACGCGCCAGAGAAAAAGGCATGTATACGGAGAACGGGGCATAGATGACGTACTGGCGCAATGAGCGCTGATATGAGGGCGTCTTGGACAATTCCGCAACGGATTGTTGCAGGAGCTGATCCCGAACGGTAAAGTTTATCTTTATGACTGTTCCTTTCCGATTTCCCGGAGTCAGCATTGTCTTTTCTTCCGTCCGTCCTCCAGACGTCGAGCCACATCTCCCCTGTTACATATTATCAAGGTGCGGAGTACGGAGTATGTACGGTTTTATTTTTTTTTCTTAGACTTACTGTGCAGTGGGAAGAGCTCATCGATAACATGTGTCGTACTACCTTCCCCGTAAAGAAAAGGTAAATCCCTAGTGGGTTGTCGCTTTGACAATGTGACATGCAGTGCAGATGGATAGAGCTCGTTTAAGTTGGCGCCGCATGCGGTGTGTTTTCGAGCGCACATACGTACATATTTGAATTGCATTCTAAGGATATACATATAAGGTATACTAGATATCTCCTCAAGCAATAACAGTTTCATTCATTTCCTGAATACCATTGTAGGCGATTCGGTTAGGGCTGCCTTCGCCTGGGTCCCTAACCAAATCAGGGATTGAGAGATCAAGAACCCTCTTGGTGACTGCTGCAGGGTCAGGAAGGTCCTCGATGGCCATCAAATATGCAACCAATCCGGCAACATGGGGAGATGACACCGAGGTTCCATCAGCCTTGCGGGTTGCGTTGTTGCCGCCAATCCAGCAGGACACAATTCTTTCACCAGGAGCAAAAATATCGACAACACTGCCATAGTTCGAGAACAATGATCGACCATTATCGAAACGAATGGATGCTACGGTGATGGCATTGGCCGCACTAGCAGGGGTGTTGTTCGAGGCGTCTCTCTGCATTAACATGTTAATGGAAAAGTCATTCACCCCCTCTGTCAGGGCGCTTACTTGGTCGTTTCCTGCTGCAACAACGGTTGTAATACCGGCCTCGAAGGCATTGTCAACAGCGTCGTCGAATGGCTGGTACTTCGCACTGCCTAAAAGTCGCAATATCCTTAGCACTAACTGGTTTTTCACCGTTCACTCGTGCCGAGGCAACATACTGATGCTCATGTTAACGACGGACTTTTTCTGCCGCCCGGAATCAGTGATGTTCTTGACAACCCAGTTGTACGCATCAAAAATATAATCGTACGTGCTCTGCCATCCTCAGGTTAGCGATATCAGCTAAAGCGTTTCAAATGCAAAGGGGCACGAACTGAGCCAGTGTCGAATGCTTTTGCGGAAATCACAGTTGCCTTTTTGGCAACCCCATATGTCTTTGCGGCAATTATGCCGGCTGTAAACGAGCCATGTCCAAAGTTATCCGTGTTTGAGACATTCTTAATAGCATTATACCCTGAATCGGCCCGTCCTTCAAATTCAATGTGGTCCACATTGATACCAGTGTCCAAAACGTATGCCCAAATCCCTTCTCCTGCCGTGCTATCATACCTATAGGTGAATGAATGTCTCCCTTTGCTTGACATGTGTCCAAGGTTGTATCCTGCATTTTCTTGCACAACAGTATCAGCAAGGTAGACCTTTCGGTCAGGGGTAACGGATTTAACCTAGGGAGGTCATGACTGATTTAGCAGGGGATATATCATTTTAGGTCCGAGGATAATCGTTAGCTTACATAGGGGTTGCGTCTGATATCCTCGGCAGTCTGGTCGTCAAAAGCTCCAGAGTAAGCATTCATTTTATGGATCTGGAAAAATTTGCGAATGCCCTCAGTTTCTAATCTGGGGCGGCCAGCAGCCGTTGCTGCAGCAAGGTTTGATCGATGCACAGATGCGACCCAGGATTTATGGTACTCAATATCCTCCTGGGTGATACCATCCTTCAGAGTGACAATGTATCTCCCAGGAATGATATCTTTGTCCTCCGATGGAATGGGGTTTGCTGTCACGAAGGGAAGCAAAAGCAGCAGACTCGATTTTAGCAACTTCATGGCGAGCGATATCACCAAGGGAACCGCGGATCAAAGGGCTTGGGCTGTAGCGACGCAGGATGAGAGTCAGGAGAGATAGCGGGCTCTGATTCACATTTATACGACATGCTAGGTTAGCCACGGACTAGCATGAACCGCCTAAACAGTGCGGTATTACAATGCCCTAAGAAAATTACAGTCGCGGATTCGCGGATATTCGTGCGAGAGCATCACTCAGGACCTTGGGATGGCGTGGGATTGACCTAAGGCCGCTACGTCTTTTCTAGCACGGTTGCTCAGAAGATCGGCCCTGACAGGGTATCATATTGACATCAATCCGCCCTTGCGTGCATCATCAACGGAAATTATGTCCACGAATATCAAGAGATGCCCACTGCACGACGCAATGCAACTTCTCCATTGGGCGTGTATAGATGCATTCTCGAATTCTCAACCGGGTTCCACGCTCGATCTGGTGCGGCAACGGATGAAATGCTGAAGATCGTTTTCAGTCATGTTACCGGCCGAGATTCATGTCATTGGCTGATTGATAAGGGACATGCCTGCAAGTTGGATCATCGAGAGAGAAAGAAACATGTGTGTAAAGTTTGATGTCCGCCCATCATATATTTTTGCAGGGAACACCGATGGTTCTCGAGACCTTTGGGTGCATTCCCGATGACCAGGGGGTAGTTTCCCGAGCCCCTGCCCAGAGTGAGCGATGGACGCCCGAGGAGAAAGGCATCCAGTAGCCGCTTGCAACCCGACGAGGTTTTGAATTGATGGCCCTCAAAGCGTGCTCTGTGCAAATAATGTAATGGCTTACCTTGGGAAACGGGTGTTTGATTGTTGTGGAGGGAATATGCGGGGAGACGCACGGTGGCGATCATAATCCCCGGATATCTGGAGTAAAGAGACGAACAATAGAAGGAAACGAGAGCAAAAAGTTTTCTTCAGGCGGATGGAAGCGACGAAACGAAAGGACTAATCGGCTCGACACCTTCAATTGTTTTTCCAAACATGTTTAGATTTACCAGACAGCTTGAAATTAAGGCCCTCATATTTCAAACACTCGACCGTAGTGAATGTTGAAGGCTGTCATGTTGAAGCGCCGGACTCCTCGGTAAACGTTTGGCGATATTCCCTGGCACTTGGCAGATTCAGGCAGCTGAGGTCACAGGGGTATACCGAAGAAAACACAGAAGCTCGAAAACGGGAGTATTAATCCGAATTGTTTAAGGACAGCATTCATGCTTCTGTGGGAATTTTATCATGCATCGTTTCCTGTGGATATGGCGGGTATTTTCATCTCAAATTCCATCCAGCAGCCACTGGTGTACGTTAGAAAACATAGCGATGTCATTTTGAGTCTTGAAGGAGCTTACCACGTCATGAGTTTAACGTCAATTAACGCTGAACTTGTCTTATCTCTTGTCTGAGGTTAAGAGGACGTCTATCCAGTAATTTGTTCGATCAGCAGCACCATCGTTATAATCCTCGATCCCTGTCATAAATTAAATGCCAAGGATGCACCAGGGTATTTCATTTTCATCAACGTTTTCCGAACCTTGATTGCCTCCCCACACGACATGATCCGGGAAACCTCTTTTATCTCCATCAGGGTCCCTATCTGAATAAAAGCAGTGCAGGACAGCAGAAACCGAAAATTTTTGAATGAGGCCAAACTGTCGGATGTCGTTAGTACATTACTGACTCGTCTTATATAAATGCCTTCATCTGGAGCTACGTGCTCTAAGTTGAATGGAGGATCATACTTTTGGTAAGGAGTCATCAAAGCGGGACCAATGATGAGAGTTCAACCTCAAGAGTGGCGAAGTGTGAACGTGTGAAGTGGAAACAAAGCCTTGGCTCCATACTCCGCACTCTGAAAAATAGTGTAGTTTATTTCCTGTATTCTCTGATGGGTCCGCAAACTTGTTGACCATGTCTGAACTCCATTCAAAGCCGAACCTTTGGATATAGTAAAATGGGAACGATGTATATGGGGCTCTGGTATAAGTTATGTCTGGATATAGAGTACATTCCACTTCGATAATTGGTTTCCTCCGTGAGAAAATTTCGCAGAACCAAGTAACGAAACTTCCCCAAAGGGCCTTTATAAGCCTGGTCGGGACCTTTATATATCTCTTGGCATGTATTGGAGTAAGTTGTAGCGTTGCCATGAAAGTTCCTGAACCGACATGGTATTACTGGACCGCACAGCGGGCCATGCATAAGAAAAATGCCATCCGCCCTTTGGGGTTTCGGCGTTGGCCTTTTGACCTGACGATGGCATCATGGAGGGCTTGAACATAACCTACATGAGGTTATCTCGACGGGATCCTCTCGAGAATTTTATATTCATTTCAGGTTTCTGAAATCAGTTATTATTGACTGGGCTTGGTAGTTGTGTCTAAGGAAGTACTCCGCTGTGATGTGGGTTTCAACTGGAAGAATAAATCAGGACAACGTCCCTGTCTCCGTAGTTGGTAAATTCGCGTCCTTCGGTTGGAAAACGACCTCCCAGGACTGGCAGAGGTTGACTGAATCAAACAACAACTGTCGCGATACCCGTTCGGCAGCTTTATTGAACCAGGACCTCCGCAAGCCATGGTCTGCGGAAGGCATCGGCAAAGTCCCCTCCCTATTTTCATGGGCCCTGACCATTAGACCCTAGGCGACCAGCACAGAGGCTCTCTTTCCTGTTAATCACCCTGGTAGTCGGCAATCCGGTGTTGTATTCCAGCGAATACTTCAAGCCATCATAACTCAAAAAGAGCCCCGTTCAAAGAATTCATTTTTGGTAGCGAGACTGTGATGGTTTGCCACCAATATCCAAGGATTTCGAATATCTGAAATGGGTCACAGAGCACTGCGTGTGCAAACACCGTTTAACGTGGACAACTCGGAAGAACACCAACCGAAGCTCGGAATTTAGTGCATAATAGCAGAGTTCCTGCTATCGAAATTATTTCATTATATGGTTAACAGGGCAAATTCTTGTAGTTATTGTCAAGCCAATGCGTCTGGAGATATCAAATCCACATTGCGCCAAGGCGGAAAGGAAGGCCGTTAACTTACCGTCCCGACAAGGTTTAGCTCATTCTTTAGGACTAGCCACACAACGTGACTCGTCCATCCGGCGCCGCTGTGGCTGACCCACATTTCCAATCTGCTGCTCACCAGGGAAAAGTCTTCCAGCCTGACAGTAAGGACCTCTTTGAGACCGTAACCCCCCTTTAATTCGCTATCCTGGTGGCAGATATCCGTATGCTTCACCTGCGACTTGCGACCTGCGAGGGAGCTGAGGAGGAGGTACGCCCCCGAATATTGCTGCAATCTGGAGGTCACAGGATGCGTCTCGGTTGCCGCAGCATGGCGTAGCATAGACACTCCACTTCAATCAGTCCGAGCAGATGAAACGAGGCACTTTTAATCCCATCTACCCCGTAAAACGCCCTTTTTTGTTTCAACGCGTCCAGTTGTTTTAGCAGGAAGGATGTCGGTGTCCAACGGCTTATTCCCGAACTTGTCCTCTTTTTCCTTTTGGAATCCGGGGTTCGGATTTAAACTCCAGATATGGCTGGATGGTGTAGTTGGTTATCACGTATCGTTCACAGCTGGATTAATCCGCTGGCTCCGATAAGGTCCTGGGATCGAACCCCAGTCTAGTCAATCTCGTTTTTACCGGAATTTTTTTCCCGCAATTTGTTTTTGTAGCCTGGGTGCAATCTTTCCTCCAAGAGCCTACACCAATCACCCACAAATGCCACCGTTCATTTATTTGGCCGAAGAGACTAACGGAGAAGTGTTCAGGCTCACATGCGGCCTCCGGGATTACCTCGAGGAAAACCTCAAATTCCTTTTACCTCGCACGCAGTAATGAATACGGAATAAGCGCACGACACTCTCGATCATGAAGTTGCAGGTTCGAACGATTTGCTGGAGGCATTAGGGCACAAACACAGACCCCGTACAGACTACAGGGGGGTGCTGGTGGTTGATGCCGAGCTAATATCGTAGTTAGCTCCAGCAAACGCTCTCAGCCAAAATACCCTTGTTTGCGACGACAAGCGAGCCATATCGCTCAGCCATCCAGTTAGCTGGAAATCAGTCAATGGAAAAACAGACACAAAGAGGGATGCTCCGACCTATCTCAGCCAATATCTACGACTTAGTTACGAGGTGTAGACGGACTGACTGAACAAATAGATATTCCGAAAGCCGGAAGCACGGGAACGAAGCTCTTGCTCCGGGCCATCATAGAGTTCAAGGTCGGTGGTCACATTTAAGAATGTGCTTCACTATCACGACAAGTTCGGAAATAAACATTATAACAGGAGATAAGCCAGCTTTCCAGCTCAGATTATCATCCAGGGGAATTATTTGCTTCGGATTTTCTCGCCTATGCCAACAACAGCTTTGTTTGCCTTGCCGCACACACGCAGGTACCAGATCCTCAACGCGGTCATCACAACCATAAGCGTCCAGCGTTCTCCCAGGGAGTCTGACTGCCCATTGCCCAACTGGAGGGAGAATGCCTGTTTGAAGCCTGACCAGCCTTTTATCCACTCAAGCACAGCAAAGGTCTCAGATGGGGGATGTTCTTCGCCGACGTTGCTGTTATCATTACTCGAGGACGCCTCTCGCGCATTGGAAAAGAGCCGCACAAGCTTGAACCCACTTCTCTTGGTGTCATCGTCGCCCTTCTTCATCGTCCTCCACTCGAATTTCTCACGCCTCATCTTCTTGCCAGAGCTAACCTCGATAGAGAAATGAAAGGTGACTCGGCCGTCACCAGTAATCGTTCCATGCATCAACTCAGTAGCCAAGGTTTTCGCGTCGGGCCGGAGCGGTGGTAGCAGGATGACACTGTTGACATTAAATGAGTAGATTCGGGCGGCCCATTGGGATTCCTCTCCGGCTGCAGCGATGATGGGTCCTTCCTGCTCGTTCCATTGTGCAGGTTCAAACCTGGTCTGGGCCCAAGTGGACCTTTGCAGCCGTAGCCAGTGTACATCTCGATCGCAAACAAGCACTCGTCCTTGCTAGAGCCACAGAGACTGAAAGTCTTCATCGACGTCGGATTCCAATGACCGTATGCATTCATGAGTGGGGGGAACTGTGGGTAACGGGAAGACTTTGCGATCATGCTCATCGATTCGTGTTCCTTGCCACGGACTATTGTTGCTTGATTCTCCTCGTTCGCGGAGCAGGTTGAACTTAAGTCATCTCTAACTTTGTCTTGGGCACTCGGTTCGGACTGTTTGCTTGTGTTAATGTTTCTGATCGAGCAAGGTGTGTATATCTGCTAATTAACCGAAAAATGAATGTAAGATCAAGAGATGCGAACAGGAGAAAGGCCGCGAGCTTGTTGTTTCAGGTGATTGCACCAAGTATTAACAGACGGCAGTTGCCCAAGTGTCTCAGGGAAGAGGCGGGGGCGTGATTTGTGGTCAATCACATCCAGGTATTCTACACGTCATACTCTCTCCTCCATAGCTAACTCATGTTACAGGCTTGTGATGGAAATGCCAACTAACATGTTGGTTACATAGAGGCACCACGAGCGGCGCAGCCGATCCCTAACAATGCATGTGCGCCCCTGCGCTAACCGCTAATGTGTGGATATCTCGACCTTGTCCCATCCGCACTGACGGTGAGCCTGATCATAGGAGAGTCCGAAGTTGATGCGCAGATCATATCACGGCCGTGAGGTACTTTTGTTCGAACTGCACCGCAATCCAGCAGTCCGGTCTGCCTGGACAACATCATTTTGTTGAAACACGAGCGCGGAAGGCCATTAACTAATACGCTGCCGCCCAACAGTGCCCTTTTTCTTTTCTTGCCTTTTTTCTTCTCTGGAGCTCTTCCAGAGTACCCACTACGTACTCCGTACCCGGTACTCGAACCTCCAACATGACTTGACAGTCAATTTGCTTATTCGGGGGTTTTACGCTGTAAAGAACCTGACGCGCTTGTTATTCAAAGCGGAGTGAAGCCGCCCAACTGCTCTTGTGATTTGTGATTTTTAATTGTGATCAGATGTGTTGCCACCACAGCGTGTTGAATAATATGTTGTAATTTGAGGTAATTCCTCATTGGCTGAACCTGGAGTCCGACAACAGTGTAATATATCCAGGAGAACTGTTGATGTGGTTGGCAGGCAGAAAAATACAGCCATTGTCCTTAGGGACAGATCTCTTGAAGCTAACCCAGATTGTGAAACTGAGTCAATGGGGTGTGCCCTTGAGCTCAATTTTGTGGCAAGGTAGTGCATCACCCACAGAACCAGGACACACCAGCCTCTTTGGATTGTGAATGCCTCAGAATTATGATTCATGTCCTCTTTGATGAGATGAAGCTGTGAACATTACTCCATGCCTGATATATTGTCTGAAGTTGTTGGAAGACAGGGATGAGGCTCTGGTTTCATGATCCAGTCTTTTATGCAGAGGATGGATATGTGGTAATATTGAATGTTAGTGTTATGGCTATACAGACAGATCCCCACAAGTTGGTTGAAAGTAAAACATGATAGGAGGCACATTATGGTAGTTGGATCATAGGAAACATAATTATTACATTCCAGGCCTTTCATCCTCTATATAGCAATGTTGCCTGTTGGAACTTAGTACTTACTTAGGCCTATCCTCAAATAATCATTTACATACCTTCTGGCTATCATAAAAAGTCTATCATCTTTCCCTGCCAATCAGAGGCCCATAGTTTTGCCCTATAGGTGTTATTGATACATCATTCTTGATTTTGTTCCCACGCATATTGCTCCTCCTGGCTCCGCACCTCGATAAATCTGTTGCACCATCATATTCCTTGAATTGGATACATTGTACCAACCTCTACCCAAAGCACTTCTTTGATTTTACATTAGAAGTTAGGATCTACCATAGTTTCTGATGCAAATCCATCATCCTAGTTCCAATACAATCAATGCCAGCAACAGCTGAACTGGAATCAATGCGTCCTATGCCTGAATACCTACCAACATCTCTGTCTTGGCTGTTAACGGGATGAATTTGCTCATCACAGGAATAGCTGGAAACCAATTAATAAAGAGCGACTAGTTTGCCATAAAAATAAGACATCTACTCAACAAGCAACTCTGTCAATCAAGTCTTAACTTCTCAGAAGTGTAATTCAAGCCAAAACCTTCATTTGCACAAACTCATCCAGCTTGTTGATGCCATGCCTATTGTCGCCCCATTGATTGGGGGGATCTTCACCTTGGTGGGCCTTGGTGGTGAAGTCATAGATACTGGTGCTGTGGGGCCTCCACCGCGCCATATACCCAGATACGTCAACCCGCGTGCCACTTTCGACACGGAAAATATCCCACGCGTCAAGATTCGGCGTCCTGAAGTCGGCCCGTGCAATGTGCCCAAGTATAATTTTGAAATATGTCGCGATCAGATCAACAAGCAGCCGGAGAAGATCGTCAGTTCGAACCCTTCGGAGGGCGGTAAGTATCATATTCCCTGGGTCAGCGCAAGCAACCTGTGTTATGGTAGGATCTAACAGAGTTGCGCACCAGTGGTCCGCTTTGAGAAAGTCCCACCAGGTTGTATGAATCTTGCCACAGTCTTGACAAGCTCCTGTGGCGATGCAGTTTATCCTTTTCCGTGCGGATCGGATTGTTTGCAGTACACAGGACTGACAGACAACCAAATGCAACAAATTTTTGAGGCCCTTAGCAAGGCATAATGCAATTTCACACCATACCATTGGAAGGAGGATGAGCTACGGCTGTGCTGGCTTAATCTGAGCAAAGTGTTTGGGGGAAGGGTAGTGGAATTTGTTTTCATCTCTGGTTACCTTTTTCCAAGATATGTTTTTTTGGATCTTTCACCTGTTAATTTCTGGACTGGTATTGAGTGAACAGTTAATTTTTGTCCAATTAAATGTGACATAGTCATTCTTTATTGGAAACCTGCACTCTCTAGCGCTCTCTCTTTCGCTCCATAATACTTTGTTCTCTATACTTTGTACAGACTCTCTCTGTTTGTCGTTCTTTAAGTGCGGGCGCTAAAATGGGCTTATTCAAGTCAAGCTTTTGAATATTCGCAAGCAAAGCCAAGTATCCAATAAGAGCGTCGGAGGCTAGACCATTTATGGTTAGACCCGGTATCGGCAACTGGATCCGGATTATCCATTCTCCGAATCGCGCGGAGAAAATAGCGCTGTCTGATCGCGTGGCGGGCTCAACATACATACCCACATTTAGGACGAAACCCTGATAACGCAGCAGGATGAGCCTCAACACATGAGGTACCAGTATTGTCAATTAGCTTCTGCACTCGATCTCTGGCGCGCATTATTGAAATGCAGCTCGCCTCCCTGAATGCCGGCTTCTTGGTGAGAGAAACACGGTGCGTTCTTTCTGACAGGTAAACTGCAAAACATGACCCCTTTTAAACAGTGTAGATCATAAGAAATGTGCTTGGTTCATCTCCTCCACAATTAGAGGAATAACACGAGGAAAGAAGAAGTAGGTGTTGTCGCTTCCATAGAAACCAAGCCAAGGGTTTCAAACCTCAATTCAGTAGCACCCATTTTTCGGAATATCTTGCCAAAGTGGATGGCAAAAGGGCTTTATACTACACTCATCATACATTTCAGCTCTTCGCACATAGCAGAGTGTGCTCTGATATTAAAATGAATTCAAGGTACACTAACAGCCGAGCATGGGAGAGGCAGCGAATAGATTTTTCAGGCTGGCTGTCCGCATTCTTGTAGAGAGCGACTTACTGTATAATGGGCAGCCAGTCCTTCAACATTTAAGGATCCTCTCTGAATCAAAACACAGGCTTTGCCAGGCTGCACCTCATGGGCTATCTTTAAGGCATGGCAGTCCATATCTGGCACCTAGCGAGGAAGAGAGACGAGTTGATAATTGCGACGCGTGGAATGACAACGAGATGTGAAAAGTAGGGAAAACGAGGGAGCGCGGCCACTCAGGGTAGGGACTTCAAGGCCTTCCTCTACGTCCATTTTTTTTCTTGGAATGCATCTGGTCTGCGTGCTTCCAGGCGTCCACTTATAGACATAAGGAAAATTCATCGCGTAGAGCCTTGCAAGATCTGGGTGGCAGGGAACCAAGTCTCAATGGGCAGAGACGAGGAACTTCTGTTCGGCTGTCGAGTTGATTGGAGGCCCTGAGGTCACGTGGAACACGAGTCCGACATCCGTAAGGGCGGCGAGCAACCGTCACCAAACCGGAAGAGAGCCTGCCCACCCAACCTAAATATTTTTCTGCTCAGCACGCTTGGACGGGCCAGTGTCGCAAGAGCGCATTGGGGAGCGAGTGCATGAGTGGGACAATAGCTTAAATCTTTTCGAGTCTAATAATTAATATCCCAGATATGGCAGATAGTTTAGAGGTAGATCGAGGATGGTCTCTTAATGAAATTTTCTCTTTCGCTGACCGACAATGCTACTTCTAGGAGCGGCTCCGCAGCCATGCAAACGCCTTTGATGGATTGCTGTCGTTAATCCCAGCAAAATACTATTATGGAGAAGATACCAGTGTGAGTGTCTCAGTCCTTATTTTCTCTGATATATGGTGTTTTGTGGGTGCCAATCTCATGCTGGTCATCAGCGCTGACTCTCTCACGAACCTATAGGATCAATGGCAACGAAAGAAACAGACAAAAGAACAAGCCCGAAATGCAAAACGAGCTAAATTAGATCCTGATGCAGCAAAGTCAGCGAAAGACGTTATGGATGAAAATGCCCGCAAGCGAAAACGCGAGGACGGACAGTTGGACACGGATGATGGGGAACTCGGCTCCGAGAAACCGCTTGAAGGGCTTAACCGCGGCGATTATCGTCAGAAGAAGCAGAAAAAGGGAGACAGCTCGACAGACGGACATCTCCCGGAGTCAACAAATGATAGTTTGCAACATGAAAAGGAGGAACGTTTAAAGCAGAAGCAAGAAAAAAAAGCAGCAAAACAAGAAAAGAAGAAACAAAAGGTAGCCGAAAAGACAGAGAAACGAAAGCAAAGGCAGAGGGCCTTAGAGCAATCGACGAAAGCTTCGATGCACCCCATAACTTCTGCTGAAAAACCAGATGCAACAGCCTCCAGCGCCGATGACGCTAGTAATGACGAGGAGGTTGCGGATGAGATGGCCCCTGTTGAAGGCTTCTCTGGGGAAAAAGAGTCCAATTCTGAATCAACAGCACCCACGTCGCCTGCAGCCGATTCCAATCCTTTTGATACATCAAAACCGCCCTCGGGAACCTCGTCTACATCGTCCGTTGTCCCGCCTACGGAAAATGATGGCGCTAATAAGAATGATGAACAAAAATCTAACCCAAAACCTTTAAAACCCACCTCAGAAGAACTCAAACAACGTCTACAGAAACGTCTTGACGAGCTGCGCGCTGCCCGACATGCTGATGGATTCAATGGGAAACCCGCGAAAAACCGTCAAGAATTGATAGAAGCTAGAAGGCAACGTGAGGAACAGCGCCGTGCTCACAAGAAGGAGATGCGCCAGAAGGCTAAGGAGGAAGAGCAAAGACTTCGTGATGAAGCCATCGCCAAGCGCTTCTCTCCCAAGGGTTCGCTACTGGCATCTCCCGGCTCCCCCGCCGAATCCATCACATCGATACCAAACAATTTTTCGTTTGGCCGAGTTGTTTTTGCCGATGGACAAACAGCAGATCCAAGTTTGTCCACCCTTCGTAATCACAAAAAACAAAAAGGCCCTCAAGACACCGGAACAGCGCTAAAGGCAGCTGAGGCCAAACAAACAAGACTTGCTGGCCTTGATGAAAAGAAGAAGGCGGAAATCGAAGAGAAAGACATGTGGCTTAACGCGAAGAAGAGGGCTCATGGCGAGAAAGTGAAAGACGATGTGTCTTTGCTGAAAAAGGCGCTAAACAGGAAAGAGGGCACGAAGAAGAAGAGCGAAAAGCAATGGAAGGAGAGGATAGAAGGCGTAGCGAAAAGCAGAGAAGCGAGGCAGGCCAAGAGAGAAGAGAATATTCGAAAACGAAAAGAAGAGAAAGGGAACAAGGGGAAGAAAGGCAAGCCCAAAGCTAGGCCTGGCTTTGAAGGAAGGTTTAAAACGAAAGTTGGTGGGAAGAAGAAATGATAACACCGTACGATGATTACGTTTGATTCCTACCTTGATACCTGTTTTCTTTATCTTCGTCTGTGCAGCTCCAGCTCTGTCCGTTGATGACAGGGAGAATACAACCGCAACTCGACCACGCAATTTTTCCACCTTCTGGATTTCAGTGATTTATCCGGCGTGTAGGTCAGGGCCAGAAATCTTGTACATAATGATGCGCTCGATCTGATTTGATGCCTTTTTGTTTTTTTTTTTTTTTTTTGTTTAACAAGCGACAGGAAAATGACTTTTATTGTTGACAAATGAAACTGCATTGTAATACGGACTCAGGTTCAGAATGCTCCAGGTGTCGGCCCGATGAAAGTCACCACACTATATACATACACCGGTTATCATTTGAGTAGCTTCTCGAGATCAAAAGAGCTTGTCTATCAAAAAGAAAAAGGAAACTGCTGGCATTGAAACGGATCGATAGACCTTGAATAGTTCGATTTAATTTTATCTGTAAGGGGCATCCGCACGAGCAGCTGCAGCTATTTCTGACTCCCACTTATCACCGTTGGCCAGTAATTTTTCCTTATTGTACAATAGTTCTTCCCTGGTTTCTGTCGCGTATTCGGCGTTAGGAGCTACAAGCGAGCAGTACGATTAGCAGGCATTCAATGCTTCCAAACACGAAGGCTGGATGTCCTCTTTCGAGGGTCACTCAGGTTAACATAGGAACTCTTAAGCATTGCTTACATTCGACGATGGCATCTACGGGGCAGCTCTCCTGGCAGAATCCACAGTAGATGCACTTGGTCATATCAATGTCATACCGTGTCGTCCGTCGGCTTCCGTCCTCACGCTCTTCGGCTTCAATGGTGATGGCTTGTGCAGGGCAGATGGCCTCGCAGAGTTTACAGGCGATACACCTCTCTTCGCCGGATGGATATCTGCGTAGGGCGTGTTCGCCGCGGAATCGTGGAGAGATGGGGCCTTTCTCGAACGGGTAGTAGATTGTATACCTAGAAAGGCAAACGTTGTCAGAATAAGAACGCAACACTCATCGCAAACCGCACTGGAACATGGAGCTAGGAGCATAGTGGCCTGGTATTGCAATTGAAAAGCGTGCCGAGAGAGAATAGGCGGTACTTACGGTGGCCTAAAGAATTGCTCTAGCACCACGTACATGCCGCGAAATAACTCTGTCATCAAGAAGTATTTTCCGGCCTTGTCTAAAGTCGAATCTTCGTCTTGATCCCATCTCTTTGGCGTAGGCATGCGGAAGCCAGGCTGTGGCGGGCCGTGTGGTGTTGCATTCTGAACGGCTGATGTCGAAAAAGTGAGGGCAGGCGTGCTGGCGGAGCGGTGGACAGATGACGAGGAAGGGAGTGAGTATGGCAGAGCGGCCCGGCGTCGATAGGCGACCAATCTTGTAACTGCCCTTGACGACGCCATGGTGTGAAAATGCGTCAATTGCAGCGACTGAGGAAGCAAAGTGAGTTCTGGACGGGAGATGTTCGCTGCCCTCTCAGAAGTGGTGAAGGTCAGATGGTTTTTGCGGGCGCTGATTGGCCGGCGGCTGACCAAGCCCAAAAGAACAGGAACTTCCAAAAGAACCTGAAGAATTCAATATCTTCCCGTGCAGCACCTCAAACCCTCCAACTGTCACGGCTACCCCCGTCCAACGGCCTCACCTCCACTGCTCTCCTCTTGTTCAGTTCCTTTCGCTAGCCAAAATGTTCCGATCCGCTCTCATCCGGTCTCTTCGAACCGTCTCCATACCTCGTGCCGTGAGGAACTCTTCGACCGTCCGTCAACTCCCCAGAGCCTCTGCCATTGTTCGGCAATCCCAATTCGCTCCGTGCATCCCCTATCAGGCTATCCGATCGTACTCTGCGCCAGCCGGCCTTAACCAGTCAGAGGTTGAGGGAAGAATAATCGACCTGCTTAGGAACTTTGACAAGGTGAGCCCCGGACCATTGACTCAGCGAAGTGATACTGTCGAATTCTGACCTAGGTTGATATTTCTTAGGTTACGGATGCCTCAAAGGTACAGAACGATCATCATTTTATTGCTCCTCGTGTGACGATGCTCACAATTGACCCTAGATTACTCCCACTTCGCACTTCACAAACGACCTTGGACTGGACAGCTTGGACACCGTTGAGGTTGTGATGGCTATTGAAGAGGTACGTTTGTGTTTCGAGATAAAGAATTATCCGCATTTGGCGTCAGTGCTGACCAGTTTCTCAACAGGAATTCAGCATTGAAATCCCAGACAAGGAGGCAGACGCGATCCACAGCAGTATGTACCACCGGTTCAAAAATTAACTGCAAGATACGCTAACAATGTTTACGTAGTCGATCAAGCTGTTCAGTATATCCTTTCCCAGCCCGATGGTTTGTAACAGTCTGGCCCTCATTTTTCTAGTACATTACTGACTGCATGTAGCCCACTAAACTGGCCGATATTCGATTCCGTGAGCAGGATTACCCCGGGGAAAATGGTTATGTATTAGAACTAAGGGGTGAAGGCGCCGGTTAGTAGGCTGCATGGGGAGGTCACGATTTTGCCGTTCTAACCGTTCCTCTCTTGTATTGTGTATATCAACTTTGAGATTTCGAACAATTTTAGATGTCTTTTATCTGCTGTTCCCGTTGGTGAGGCGACTCTGCCTGCGTCGGAGCTTCGATCGCAAGGATGGAGACAGGGAAAAAAAAAAAAGAGAGACAGGAGCAAATGGACCCAAGTTGTAGTGATTATTCGCCCCCAACAATTGTGAAAGAATAAGAGTTGCCTTTTCAGTGAATACTGACGCACAGCCAATGGTGTATGCCTTGCTATTGTTACCCCGGGAAAAAGGGTCGCGTTTCCAGATACCATACCAGTCGTGGTGTAAATTCGATGCCACTTCATGTGAAAACTCGATTGAGGCGGCCAGTCCAAACGCAATCTCGGCATCTTAGTGTAGGTAGACACGGTTTAATAAACACTTAGAAGCATGCGATCCAATTCCGCTTGCCAGGTAAAACCCCCTGTTCTCTGCAGAGAGAGCGAAAAAGGCTGCCAAGACCGTTGGAGCTGATACGATTTGTACCGGCCAGATTTTGGGGTGCCTGTTGGCACCGATTTCTTCCAGGAGGCGTCGCTCTGCTCTCCGCCAAACGAGCTTATTTCAACAGTGAAATAAATATCCCGCCCCGAGAGATCGTCTTCTTTGTTTTCTTGCCTAGCGCACTCTCTGCTTCATTACTCCAGAGACCACTGTTTTTCGTGCTGCCTCACCGACCTGCGAACATCATCGCTCGCGGACAAGCAGCTCACCCCGAAAGCTTTAATCCCGCCCCTTCGAAGATATTCGAATTAGTCCATGCTGTATAACCCGACTTCCTGACGCTTCTTCACACCAACGGGTTCCACATCTGGCGGCATGGCGACTCAGAGTGGTCTAACCCGCCGTCGGGGAGCAGGGAGGAGTACGGGCGATGCCAGTGATGGCAGTCGAGTGACATCTCCATCTCCCCACAATGGATCCGATAACCGCGTACCTGAGACGTCGTTCATCGGAGGAGAAAACGGGCACAAGATTGCCTTTGATCCGCGAGATATCAGCGAGAGCGCTGACAAGGTCAAGCAGCCAAAGTTGACGTTAATGGAAGAGGTGCTATTGCTAGGGATAAAAGATAAGCAGGTTGGTGAATCATATCACCGGGGATTTCCCCTTGGGCTTTGTGATACGCAATGGGATATAGTGATGTTTAATGTTATCACTTGGCCATTATGCTCACGATTCAATTGCTTGTGCTAGGGCTACTACTCCTTTTGGAACGAGAACATTTCGTACGCCTTACGGGGATGTATTGTGATCGAGCTGGCTTTCCGTGGCCGGATCAGCATGCAAAAAGATTCTTCACGACGCCGCTTCCCGCTTGCTGATCGGGTCATTGAGGTTATTGACGACACATTGACTGGAGAAGTCTTGCTGGACGAGGCATTGAAAATGATGAAATCAAGCGAGAAGATGAGTGTTAGCTCGTGGATTGATCTTATGAGTGGTACGGATATGCCCACTCTCTCTATATATATCTTCTGTGAAGCAGTTATGTGCTAACTTAGCGTGTGTCTCAACAATCAGGCGAAACCTGGAATTTAATGAAAATCGGCTATCAGCTTAAACAAGTACGAGAAAGGCTTGCAAAGGGCCTTGTCGATAAAGGTGTCCTTCGCACTGAGAAACGAAACTTCCTGCTCTTCGATATGGCCACCCACCCTGTCGCCGACAGCGCTGCGAAGGACGATCTAAACAAGAGAGTTCGAAATATCTGTAGCAGCCGCACTGTCATCTTACCTCCAACTCAATTCCTTCCCAACGATGTTGAATTCAGATATTTGAGGACTATAGCTATGGTCTGCGCAGCTTACGCCGCTAATGTTCTTGAAAATTGCCTCGTTACGATGAACCATGATGCACGAGAAAGAGCATTTGCTCAGGTGGATGAATTACTTGCTGACTATTCGCAATGGCCGTTTTCATTAAGGACAGGTGGTACACAAGGAATAGGGGCGAATTTGGCTCAGGCAGTCAGAGAAGAGCTTGACAAAGCCAAAGATAGGGAGCTTCAATTAGAGGTTTGTCCCCCTTGGGTTACGTGTTTGGAAAAGTTCAATGCTTACTCTCCAACAGGTTGTGGCTGCATGCCTAAATGTGTTTACTCGTCTTGATTCCCTGCTCTGAGCGTGAAACTTTTACTCTAGATTTATGTGCCTGATACCTTTTTTGCCTTACCAGCACCTCGTACTTGTGTCTTGTATCTATCTCTGGGCCCATCTTTCTGTCCGTGGCCTACACTTACGACACGCCCGCCAAACCACCTGCCATTCCGCATCAGAAACCAGAGATGAGACGGGTCGTCTGGTCCCGAATGCCGCTCTCGTCCTATAGCAGCCCTCTATCTAAATGTTCATCCGTCTAATAGGCCACAGTTAAAGCGATCCCTCTGAGAAATCATGGGAAATATGACACAAAGCTGATTATCTGGGCTTTTGTGTTGTCTATCCTGTTTCTATACTGGAGACTGCTCCTGAGACCGCATATGCTCTTCCCGTTTTTCTTTTTTTTCCTTTTTTTTTTTTTTTTTTTTTTCTTTCTTTTCTTTTTCTTTCCTTTTTTTTCTCCTCTGCTTCTTCTATATAAGTTCTCGCTCTTCTTTTCTCTCTAATCCTTGTTCGATTATTAGGGTAATTTTAAATTGCACTTTTGAATTTCCCTTTGCCATTATTCGTTCATCTATATTTTGTTTGATATGCTCTGAATTTGCCGGATTATTTCCCGGCATACCTTTCCGGATCCAAGAAAATGGAAGACTTCACTATGGATAGAGCGTGACATTAATGAACCTTTGCCATTATACCTTCTTTTTTTTCTTTTTTTTTCCCTTTCTTTTCTGGCTTGCTTTCATTGTGAAGTGTCCGGCATGTCCATCTTACTGTTGGATCTCGCAAACGAAAAATCTACCAAAATGAAGAGTGAGAGGGTCTCTATGGTTGCGAACCTGCTCCTTGGGATTTCAGCACTACTTCCCTCGTAAAGCTAGAATGGACGGTATATATATTTTCACCACCTTATGTTTGTAAGGCTAATCATAATTAATATGCAGCACAACCCTTCCCCTAAGCTCCCCTGCTTCGACAAATGTCATAGCCTCCTTTGCTTCATGCAACTCAAATACTTTGTCAACATACGGCGTCAGCTCTCCCTTCTCGACGAGTTTCCCAATTATCCCTAGGTGTTTCCCGTTCGGTTCTATTGAAACGAATTGGCTGTGTGGGTGTTGGTTTTTTGACGCTTCCCTAACTTCGCTTTCCGCTCCCACTGTGGTTGTGATCGCACCATTTTTGCATATGATCTTCTCATCGTGGGCTTGTCTATGTGCCTTACCGCCAATGCAATCTAGGACGAGGTGTACAGGCGCCCAGCCTTTTTGAACCCATGCCTTAACAAGATCCGGATTTTCAGCACAGTCGATCACTTCATCAACATGGAACTTGTCTCTCAAAAAGGAGCTCTGCTGCTTAGAATTAGTAGTAGCAAAGATCCAGATGGACGCGCTAGGCAAAAGCGATTTTGACCTTAGCATCTGAATCGCATGAATCCCCACGCTGGAGGCACCATTCAAAATCAGCAGTCTCAAAGGCTTATGCACTCCATGCACCTCTTTCAACCAATCATTCACCCTCAACTGCTCGAACAGCCCTTGATACGCCATCAGCGCAGGTAAGGGAATACTCGCAGCCTCAACCGCAGAGATATTTTGCGGTTTAAACGCCAATTCATCTTCCTCAGCCGCAACACAATCCGCAGCACCACCATCTCTACTCGGCTCAATCAAGCCAAACACGCGATCTCCAACTTTGAATTTAGGTCCGTCTCTAAGATGCTCGTCTGTAAAAGGAGTGGAGAGGACAGTTCCGCAGATATCATGCGCGATGACCGCTCCGGTTTCTCTGCGATGGAGGAGATGAGGCCATTCTAGCTCGCCGCGACATACAGCGGCTGCTTGAACTTTGATCAGGTATTGCGTCTCAGTGGGTGTAGGAGTAGGAAAATCAGCTCTGTAGACGAGAGTGGAGGGCCCTGACTTGCGGTGTTTCACGTAGGGATGGGTCGGGAGGTAGACGGCTGGCATTGTGGGTGGGATGAGCTCTTCGCTGGCGCCTGTCGGCTGCATTGTGTCCATGGATTCTCGACGGTAGGTAGCTAATGAAAACTTCTTGATCGGGATAAATCGAGACAAGATGGCGGCGGACGAAATGACAGTATCCTGGTATGCGACCAAGGAGTTAAACAAGGAAGCAAAACAAATGCAGGGATTCCAACACGACTTACGTACAGGGAGGTCACTGTGTGCCCCAAGGTCTACGGCGGAGTAACGCCATGGAGATGTGTAGCATTAAATAGGAAAAAGCATTCCTAGCAAGACCTGGCCATTCATGCTAGCCATGCATCTGCATTTACAAGGTATAAGAAGCTGTAACCGAAACATGCTGAATTCAGTTTTTGGACGCTGGCTAAGATCAACTCCCGACTGCCAAACGAGCGGGGCGGGCAATGATGTAATGGTTGACAGCTTCTTGATGAAGGATCAACGCTGCCAAGCCTTCAGGGGACCAAGCAGGCAAAAATACGGGGAGATTCTCCCACGAGCTTTTGACATCAGGATAATAGCTACAGGCGGCTTGAAGATTTGCTTATGGTCTGTCATAGTTATACATTACTAGGAACAGGAGGAGTTGGATAGAGAAAGGAAAGGTAGAGCGCCATGTCCTCGCCAAAGTAATTCCATCGAACCAGACATCATCAACAGATTAAAAAAACAAACACCTTTGATCAAAGCAGCCGATAGCAATTAGTATAAAAGATAAAGAGGTTTGCGTATATGGATATCGCAGGGGGCATAAAGGCATCGAGGTGATTTGCAGAATAAGGGAGATAAACCGAGAGATCCACCAGCATTCTAAACTTGCGGTCGTACAACTGACTAAGAGGGCGGAGAAAAACAATAAAAAGGAGAATCGTAGCCTGTCAATAGTCATAAAAAAATCCCAAAGATGGGAGCATCTTTTACGGGGAGAAATTAAACGAGAACGGAAAACAGAGGAATCGAACCAGAGAAAAAAGGTAAGTAGGAAAAGGGAGACACAAAGCCTGCCAACTCCGTAAACAAACCATCATTATGTGTAGGCAAAAGCCGAACCAGCAAGATAAGCCATAACTTGGGGGTCAAAGGCGAATGTAGGATATCGGAGAAGTGGCTTCGATGAGGAAAGGCTGCCGCTGTTATTGCCTCGAAGGGTAAAGGTGGTGCAGCTCGTTGACGGGCCCATATAGCTCTTCTGGATCCTCAAATACTCTCCACACCGTTCGAGGAACTTTCTCAAACGCTTTGTCAAACCTCTCCGGGCTGTTTTTCTCTTCCATATTGGGCAAGCCCATCACCTTCCTGATGAATATAGCTTTGATCCATGGACCGTGTTTCTCATACATCTCTGCATATGCCTCCGGATCGCTCTGGGTCGAATCTCCAATACACAAGATCTTTCTTTTTGGAAACCAGCGCTGAATCTTTTGCATGCGGTGGGTTTTGTATTCTTGTGTCGCCTGCGTGAATGATTTCAGTAAGCCTGCTAGAGACTGCCACGAGTTTTCACGCAGTATCATGGTGCCCGGCGGATAGTTCTGCTCAAGGAACGAGCGCAGGAACGGATAGAGGTTATAGGGAGATGCGGATAGATAGAACCATGTTGGCTGGAGCTGATTTTGGACGTGAACATAAAGCTGAGGCATGCCACGTACGGATTTCGGTTCTTCCGCAAAGGTGGTTCGGAGAATCCCAATCGCGTCTGGGGTCATGGTGTATTTGATGGTGTCATCAATATCGGAAACAACCAGCCAGCCCTCTGGGGCCGCAAAGGTGGTGCTCATCGTTACGGGTTGAGGCCAGTTGCTCAGTGACGACGATATGACAGTGCCATCTTTGATAAATTGGTAGGATCCTATACGGATTGCGTGTGATATGATACCGTGTGGGTTGGAAGGATTGAGTTTATACTTATTCCCATCGGCGGGCGTGAAGGCGACATCTAGTTCTACGAATCGAGCGGGCGCAACTTCGCTAACAAACGGTTGAAGTCGTTCTGCTATCCGTTGACGGACCACGGGGTCTTCGCCAGCTTTTCCGTCCAAGCCAACCAGGTCGGCGATGAGAGCGATCAGTTTCCCTAGATCCTGACGGCTATGCTTTTCAAATATCGCAGCTACCACCTCGGTTTGCCATGTGTCAGGATGATCCAGGCGGGTCTGCGTTCGAGGCTGGAAGGCCGTACTGTTGAAAAGCCAGACGGTATGATGTCGAGGGTCCGCACGAGCCACCTTTGGGTGTGCCCAACCCAAGAAGGAGACGAGGTATTCTACCCATGAAATCAGGCATGATTTCTGAGAATGGAGTGAGTGAACAGAAAGCTGACTCTCAACCCGGTGAAAATTGCCCCTAGCACGACCGCGCCTCTCGTCGCTGGTCTCACACAACTGGCTTTCCATGCTCATAGAGGAGTTTGGCAACGGGTCTTTCGCCATCCTCGACGAATACTTTGGGTATCGCAGCGCTCGAGGGAGAGAACCAAGAGATAGCAAGGTCAAACCAGAGAATTTGAGGTTGCAGGAGAGAAAGAAGGCAAAAGAGAAAAGTAGGAAAACAACCCAGCGAGCAGGTAGGTACAAGCTGTGGCCGAGCTTGCCAGGCAGGAGCCTTATGAAGGCTGACTCACAGCGACGCAGTCAGGCAGAAGGACAAAGAGCAGCAAGGATGAGAGAGAAAGGCAGAATGGAAAATGACTGGTTCTCATGACAGAATTCGCAGAGAGGATTCTGTCCTCGGCGTCCGCTGACAGTAAAGCAGAGCCATCAGGAGAGAGCCCGAGTGACTGCAGTCACTCGGCTGATTCTCCAGTAGCGAGGCAAACAACGTGGCTCAGGCAACATGAAACCCGGGCTAACTTAGTTTAACGTCCCCGCCGATGCGATTTGCAAAGCCTGTTATTTGCTGCTCGTGCGCGAGGCGGGAAGGTTTACGGGGAGGTCGGGGTTGGATCACCTGGGGACGTTCGAGGACGGTGATTCGCGGCATGTCTCGCATCTGGCTGCATCACGGCGCTTAACTCGAGCGGCCTCCAGTCGTTGCTTGGCCCTCTCGTTGAAAGCGGTTGAGTGCCTGTGACCAGCCTGGCCCGCGGCGTGTCATATGTAGGCAAGTAACCAACTATTCTTGGCATCATGCTAATTTTGGCGGTTCTGCTGCAGGCTGCACGTTCACCACCAGACCGCCAGTCGAGCCCAGGCCAACCCTGACAGGAGGACAATAGAAGTCGATCCCGCTAAGAGAGCCCGGGCGTGGGATTGCTGGAGGGCATGTCTGCGCCACGCTGCGCCGATATGCACCTTCAAGCTGCTGACTATGGCCAGAACCCCTGGGAGATGCGTAATACCTCTACAGATCGATCCTAGAGGAGATTCTCTGGTTACAGAGACTTGACACACCTTCAGTAACGGCTTTATTCTTTATTTCTTAGCGTGACTGTATGAGTAATATTGATCATGTTGCAGAAAGAACACATCAACCAAAGTTTAACCGTCATGGAAGCAAACGTGTGTCTCGGTGTCCTTGGGGGCAAAATTACATTCGAAAAGTATTATAATGATCGACGGGTGAATTGAAGACGACCAGCTCGAGACAACACCAGGGCAGCTAAAACCCACCTACAGACCCAATCTACCGCTCGCGTTTAACCAAGGATATGCATCGAAGTTAGGAAATATGAACAAACACATGAACTCTTCTATGTGACCGTCGACCGTCGCTGCTTGCCTTCACGATTATGGGATAACAGATGTCCGGCACGGCTTGCCTCGACCGATGTAATGGGTCCGCGAGAACTAGCGGCTGTCACCGCGCTGGGAGTACGCGGAATGTTCCCCAGCTGCCGCTTCGATTTCTCTCCACTCCTCCCGCTGCAACGGCCTGGCGAGGGTAGTTCTTTTTCAACTCGATGGGCCGCTGGGGATGCTGGAAACAGCGAAGGTCCCATATTCAACAGTTGAGTTACTTTCGAGTTCAAAATGCTAATCTGAGCATCTTTCTCCTTGATCTCCTGCCGGAGCTGCTCTTTTAACGTCCTAGATTCCGCCTTGTAAGATTGAAGCTTTCGATCTCTGTGTGCTATCTGGGCCACAAGGTCTGCCGCATGAGCTTGTAGCTTCTGGATCTGCAGTGATTGTGAAGCTTTCGTCGCATCATCCGCCGGAGTGTTTAGGACGCGCTGCTTCTGCTCATTGACGAGCTGGAAAACCTTGTGCAGGGAACAGTTTTGAGAAGAGTCTCTACGCTCGTTCACTCCGGTCCCGTGACGTTCAGAGATGAAGTCACATAAAATAGCCATCCGCGTCTCATGAAGTTCCAATAGGCTACAAATCTCGTTTTTTTGTTGATCTAGTTGAAGCTCGTATTCAGATTTCATGCGATCGATGCGATCCTGTGTGCAGACCCCCTAAAATGATGTGCTCCGTCAAAAGAGGGACAAATTGTAGGCGAACAAGAACACGCCGACATCCAACGGCTTCAAACGAGACAGAGAGAGCCTTACCGATTTTCCTGATGAGCTAGGTCGAGACTCATTTCCTGACAGAGACTTATCTTGCTGAGCATGCTTCAACTCTAGGGCCTGTCTGCCGTTGTGCATAGATGCACTCGGACGGCCATACTCGAATGCAAGCCCAGCAGGCTGATCTGGAAGGGTCGACTTCGAAGTCAAGTTTAAAGGAGACTCCAAATGGCTGCCGACTGCATGCTCAAATGATTGTCTCTGTGGTGTTGATGGGGTATGTAGCTCCACGCTCCTAGGCCCATGTGCAGAGCCCGGCAGCTCCGCCATGGGAAAACATCGCTTAGGAGGAGGCGAGGGATTCAATGTTGACGTCGATTGCAGCCACGGATGCACTGAGCGGTCGAACTCTGACTTCAAGAAAGAACGAAGGCCCGATTCTCGTTCTATGCATCTGGGATTTGCGCATCCAGTACCAGTATGTGGCGTTTCCGGAGTAGTTGGCCATTGGGAATCCGCATGTATTACTCTTGACGTGGGAGTAGCACTTGTCAAGATCACGTTCCCGTTTCCAACTGAGATATTTATCGGAGGTGGCCTTTTCTTTCTCATCTTGGAAAACGTAGATTTACCACTGAAAGAACCGAAGTGGTCACCATTTACGTGGTCTGTATGACCGATATTTTCACGCAAGGATGGGTTAGATCGAGTTTTGAATCTTGACTTTGGGGAAAAGAAAGAGGTCATCGAGTTTGGGAACGGAATCGTAGATGATATGAGAAAGGCATAAGCTGAAGGAATTGAGAAAGGGATGAAGAGGCTGGCGGAGAAAAAGGACAAACAAGCGACAATAAAATCAATTTTGTCACAGGGGATCTAATACGACACGATAGAATATTTTTCTGAGGGATACCAGGGCGACGCATAATGGAGCACATCAAACATGATCTTCGACATGCACAGTTCAACCCTAGCAAAGGGCAGATATCTCTGAGAGAGCAGCTCAGGATTCCCCCAACTCAACGATTCGCCGAACATTCTTGACGAACCCATCAAAACCTTGGGGAAAATCATGGGCGCTACAAATTCTCACGAGCTTACTCGCTAGCCAATTCTTTCGACGCCAACCTCCCATCAAAGAGCAACCTTAGCCAGACAGGGAAGGGTCTTGAAAGTTTGGCTCTCCCTCTCTCAGAGCTGTCGTATCGAGTGTGCAGAGTTGGTGGCGAGCGGTCCTCTGGTTGGTCAATGGCTGATACGGACAATGACAACTCATCGCTGGCTGTGTTGGACCCCCAAACGCTGGGGGAGAAGGACCAAAAACTTCTCAGGAACCCGCTCTCGTTTCCCATGCCGCCGTGGCATGATTTCTCGCCGCTTTGCTACCAAACGCTGGGGCGGGTTCTAGAAGACTAGTCCGCATCTGGACTAGTGCATATGCATCTCAATCTCGCTTTTCGTCCAACGGCTTCTCCAGCGTTTGCAGCAACCTCGATCCCGGCGGCAACAGAAGCATTTCTATTCCCTGCAGAACTACTCCGTACCGGCGGTATGGTTCGCTGTGGTCCCTGCTGCTTGCTATTGTTTTTGAATCTTGCCTGCTATTGTTCTGATATATCCTCTGGCCTGGCTGGATCTTCCCAACTCCCGAAAGTAAACCTTTTCCCTTGCCTCAACAAGAGACTGTGAGACGTTGCTTGGAGGTAAAACGGGAAAAGGGTCCAAGGAGACGACTAATGGCATCTGGGCGCATAAATTTCAAAAGCAATTATGACCAGGCCAGTGGGCAAATGTTTACAGAGTTCGTAGTGCCTGCCAGGATGATTACGGATGCATCATGCTCCAAAGGTGCAGCTTGGGTCCATGATTCTCCTTTCTTACCACCAAGTACGATAATATGCCCTGAAGTGGGTGCCAATTCTCTAAAAGTTTGTGCTATGCGGCAATTTCTGTCCGACCAGCGCTGCTTAACTGTGGACCATTTCAACCCGATTCCCCCGACGCTTGCGGCCGATCTATTAAGATTTCTAAAGCAGAGGTTCGTGAGACACCACCGAAACCCGAGTTCTCGATAATGACAAGCGAATATAGCAAATTGTTGACCCTACACTTGTGGAAAATATTCGCTACCACTCATCCGCAGGAGTTAGTAAAGGAAGACAGCGCCTATAGATTCAAGCCACTGCTCATACAAATGCCAATGCGCAAGTATTTCAGCTTAATAACATCTGATTCTTTCTGTTGGCAAACGGTCATGTCCATTTCCATTGACGCTGTGGACCTTGGTGAGCTAGTTGATATTTCCAGGATCTCCAACCTTGTCTATTTGAGAATAACGGGGTCCCGGCGAAGGCGGCAGTGGCCCCAAAACACCTTCGTGAATGATCGAGTGATCAAAACCTGGAGTGAAGCCGCGTGTGCGGGCAAAGCGTTCAAATATCTTCGTGGTTTGATCTTAGATTCTTCATGTGATCTCACAATCAATGCCTTTCCTTATCTGGACCGCTTTCCCGCCTTGTCTTTGCTTGTCCTGGAGGGACGCCTACGGGTTGAAGGCAAGGGCCTTCTAGAAGCTGGAGATCGCCATGGCTGGCAAGCGAGCACATTGCCTCATGGTGAATTCTCCTTTGAAGATTTCAAAGCATCGTGTACCAACGGGGAGGAGCGACAGAAACCATCGATCTACTCTAAAAACGATCTGTCTCTTCCGACATTACATTTTCAAATAGACTGTTCTGGTGACAGCCTTAATGAAGTGACAATGATATATCATTTTCACAGAGAGCCAAAAATTACTGATCCCAAGTTGGGATCTTCCAAGAAGGTTGCTAGATTGACGAGAACAGATAAATTTCCGGGAATAAGCAAACCCAGGCGGCCGCTCAAGGTCAAGGCTTCCAAAGGAAAAGATATAAGTGGCTTGCTCGCGGATTTCGGATAGGATACCTGCTTTCTTCTGATCGGTACACCTGCTTTTCATTCCATTATATTTCAGGTACATTAGTCTCAGCAGCGGGCTTAACAGGTGTTTATTTGAAGTCCTCCCAGGGATGAGGGTTTTGAGGAAGCTGGGGAAAACTTCAAGGTCGCCTTTTTCACTGAAAAAATCACTCCTTAGGTAGCGTTATATCGTGTATGGCCTGTCTGGACAGCATGTCAATTTAAGGCTGCCCTTTGACATGCTTGCCTGATTTCGACAAGGCTCGGGGACCGATCTTGAATATTAATGTATGTCGGGGATGCATGTAGATATCGCTCCCATTTTTGATGCATTCCAATTGTATGTCCAGTTGGACCCTTAATAATAATGAAAAATGTTAATTTATAATAATACTATATGCTCCTATAGGCCTAGTTTGACAATTGGAGTCTGGCTAGGTTGAATGGACAAATGATGTCTATAAAAAGCTTTGGTAGGTTTTGGTTGGCAAAAATCTAAAATCGAATTGGTAAATCAAGTTTTGTTCAAAAGCAGTACTCAGCGGCTTCTTTGGATCAAATTTTGTACTCCGTACTTCCGTGCTGTTAAGTGAAAGAATCAACAATCTCTTTTTGTCCTAACTGACCGATGATGTTGATGATGCCCCACTCGGTGATGTCGGAGAGGTGAGTAGTTAACGCTAAGACAGCGCCTCTGGCAGCACCAACTTCCCCCCCTCCTGCTCTCGATCAGGTTCACTACATGCCAATCTCATAGCTGGACTGGTCCTGATCTATTCACTACCCTTGGTTGTGTGCATGTTCGTCTTTTTTTCCCCCAATCTGAGCGTTTCTATCTACCGAATCCCCCTTGTCTCGATCCGTGTCATAGCTTCCTCTCCCTATACTGATGAGCTAGCACATCATGGCAGATAAACGCAAGTCCACAGCATCAGACACGTATAAAGACTCTGCTATCTCCTCTCCTCGTTCAAGCTTTGATTCCCGATCTCCGTCCACATCTCATTTTCGCATCAATTCCCTTTCTGGAGCTTCTCCACACCGCCATAGCCTCTCAGAATCGTTTCGCATTATGCCACCTTCACCGCGCGCGCGTCGGCCGTCCGTAACGCAGGCTGCTTTACAGAGTCTCATTGACAATCCTCCGGCCCATAATGGTGCGGACCCAGCTTTTTCAGGGCGAAACTGGACGCAGATATCCGTTGAGGAGCTGGTGAATCCGGAGGATTGTCATTTTGTGGAGGCGGATATGACGATTGAGGATGCTACGAATGTACGCTGCATGTGGACGAAGATTTTCTTTTCTATGATTTCTCTCTCTCCCTCAGGCCGATGCTAATTTGTTGTCTCGCTGTTCTAGCGGCTGATCGAATGCGAAGCGCCCTCGCTCCTAATTCGAGAATCCGCAGAGCAAAATTCAGCTATCGGAACATTCGATTATGCAGATCTCAACGCTTATCTGCTGCTAGTGGTTGGCATAACCAAACCAGATGACGAGCATGCTGCATCGCTTGAAGAACTTGGGAGAAAAGCTAGAGCAGGGGAGAGAATTCTATTAAGAGAAGTCAAGAACTTAAGGCCGAAGGAGCCCCTGACGACGCTACCGTCAAACGTGAGCTTAACAAAAGCTGTAGAGGCGTTTGGTGGAGGTGTACATAGCGTGGTCGTGGTGAAAGAGAATTCTTCTGAGGTCCTGGGTTCCTTCAATCAATGGAGACTTGTGAAATTCCTATGGGAGAATGCCAGGAGTTTCCCCGTCATAGAGCAGCTGTATCCGCAATATTTGCGAGAATTAGGTCTTGGTTCTCAGGATGTCATATCTATCAAGTGAGTCTCTTCAATGCTCCGAATTTGGTCGTTATGGATAAGAGCTGACCCGCTCAATAGTGGAGATCGACCGTTATGCAATGCATTAGAGCTCATGAATAATGAGGGTGTGTCATCTGTTGCGGTTGTTGATAATCAATTTAACGTGGTCGGCAATATCTCGGTGGTAGATGTCAAAGTCGGTCTCATGAATTCCCCTTTTTGCCAATAGCACACATTTTGACAGTCGTACAGCTTCTAACGCAGTCTACGTCGCTCCCTCTGCTTCGCGATACTTGCATCCACTTTATCTCCGTTATCTTATCGACACGAGGCTTAAACGAAGGAAAGGATTCGTTCCCAGTTTTTCACGTAAACCCTCAGTCGACTTTGGCACACACCGTCGCCAAGCTGGTCGCTACTCGGTCCCACAGGTATGTCTATCATGTCTCGCCAGACTTTGGTCTGTCTTGCGAGTAAATTCTTGATGCTGATGTTGCAACAGAATGTGGGTCACTGATCCTCAATCTCCCTCGTCTTCAGGCCCATCAACTCCTGCACACTCCTCCGTTCACGTACCTCTCTCTAATCAGAACAATATTGTTTCCGGATCTACGGCGGGCAGCACAATTGGAGCTCAAGTATCTTCCCCCAGATTACACTCCACTTCAAGCAGTCCATCGTCTCCACCTCTCCCACAGTCCGCTCTGCCCCATCATCCCACCCCTATAGCCCCCTCCCAGAGTTCACCAGGCATATACCCCGCGTCCCTATCCTCGGCAATACCTGCCTCAGCTCTTCCAGGTGCTCGGCTCTCAGGCCGCCTTGTCGGGGTGGTCAGTCTAACGGACATTCTGAATCTGTACGCCCGGGCCAGTGGGCTTAAACCAGCAGATCCGAGCGATATCCGCAGCCGGCGGCGACGAAGCAGTAGCTGCAGCGTTGGAGTACGGAAGAGTGGGGATATCGGTAGAGAGATCTGGAATCGCACCGGCTTCTGACCGGATAAGGACGTCGGATCAGGCGAAGGCACCCTTTCCTTAAGTGTTGACGAATTTGCCACCACCCTTTCTTTTGGTTCACCCAAGCCCAAGTTATCCGGCCAACCAGTTGCCCTAATTGCGTAGCCTGCTAACTTGGCACCGGAACCTTTGCTTGAAAGATGGGTTTACCTTTGCACCACTTTGAACCCGTACCGTTAGAATTTGGGATCTGGATTGCTCTCCACTTTTGTTATTTTTCGAAGTTTGCTGAGACCAGCGTTCTCATTGGGGCTTTTTTCATCGAGCAATTTTTTCCGCTTCAGATGCGTGAGATTACGAATCACTTTGTCCTTTTTTTTTTTTTTTTTTTTTTTTTTTTTTTGCTTTTTCTCCCATGCTTAACATGGCCAGTATTCTGGCTGTAGTGGGCGTCCTGGGCTTGAGCCACTGTTATCTTTCGTGCCATGTTCGGGTTTATCCCCCGTTATGGTCATATAGCTTCTGAGCATTAAAATCTGCATTCCGGTGCCCGAAGTTAAATTAAGATCTCATGCGGAGTACTCTGTAAGAGGCATCAAATAACCCCGGTCTCCTCCGTGCCCACCAGCGAAGCACGAAGCAAGCCTCCAGTCTCCACATCTGGCTGGATCGACCGCGGAGCTACCCGGCGCACAGACGATCGCGACCTCCGAAAAACGACGGAAAGGAAACGCCATACCCACCATCCTGACTAAGGGAGCTCTCTGCTAGTTAACTAAACTTTCTCTGCTCTAGATGTGGCTGTGCGGTACCGAAATAGGTTGCCCTCGTCGACCCAGGTTCACGCGAGGCAGACAACCCAAGGTTCTCTGCACATTTCTTCTCTACTAGGGGTGTTGATCCGATCGTGGCTATCTGCAGCCGCATTGTTACGAGTCAACAGCTTGTGTCTCCTGCATCCTGGAGCCTTCTAGACCTCCCACGTAGCGCCAGTTACCAAGTCGAGTTTGGATTCGGCTTGCACGGACGCTCAGATCCCGAGGACAGGTTTGTGAGACCACTGTTGTGATTGATATCCGATGAAATGCTCTCAGGCCTCTCAACCGACTAGGCGATACTATTCCAGGACGAAGAATATGTACGATTGCTCTTGCCTGCCGCTGAAAGCTTCCCGGGATCATGGCACCTGCGTCTCATCGTCGTATCCGATCACCCAGAGCATATGTGCTTAACCGCATCCCTGCCACGCCGGTTTGGTCTAGGGCTGAATGGGAAGGTATTGGGAAACGTTTTGCATCATCTCCTCTAAGCATGCAACGATCCGAAGATTTGACCAAATCCCCAGTGCCCGGTAGAACTTCCGAACCGTCTTGGAAGATGCTGTGGCAATAGAATAGCACTCAAGTACAGTGATTGAAAGGAAAACCATCGTGAGAAGGAGTCGTTGGGGCATGGGGGGATAATAGCAAGGGGCCACCACATCAATTCTTTGCGCCATTAATGCACTCATCGGATTTGGAGGAGAAAAAAAAAAAAAAAAAAGGAAAAAAGAAAATAAAAAGGAGATTGGCTAAAGTCTAGAAGAGACGCCATAAAATGCTTTGACAAGTGAGAGAAGTTGCAGTATTTGCCGAGGGCTGTACGGAGTACCATTGACAGACCACTTAAAAAGATTGAAGGTGCTCGTATTGAATAGTCCATCAGCCGCACATAACCTTCTTTGGCACCTCTTGCACGGTATGCCCTCATACCCGGAGAGGCGTAGAAAGTGAAAGGTCTAATTCGTTGCGCCGGGCGGCGCGACCATCGATTGAAATCATTGATCCCGGGAAGTGAGACCTATTCACAACGACTGGACCGATGGGAGGGGAGGAAAACGAAGTTTCCCGTCTTGGTGGCCGAGTGTCAAGTGGGAAGACACAGGTTTTTAATTCAGTCAGCCATTTTAGCCTTAAAGTTATCAAGCTTCGTATCATCATGTTTTCCATATGTTATTCGCCTGTTTGACCAAGGCGGAGGAGCAATTCTGTCGGAAGAACGTTAGGTGCAGCGGCTTGAGGCGGGGGATCTCAAACAAAGAAACCTTGAAATCAAAAGCCAAAAGAACGCCTGTTCAGCCGCCAAAGGCCGACCTGAGCGAGATAAGCAAGGAGAGTCGCACCTCGACAGTCTAGAAAGGATTAAACTTTTGAAGAAGGGTAGTTGCTCCGTACTTCGATAGGCAAACGGCCAACTCCGCCCGAAGCAAAACACATCAGTGGCACGGAAGAAAGACCCGATTAATTCAAAGCTAAGAACAGGTTATCGGTGGCAATCCGAAGGCAATTTTTCCGCTTTGGTGGGGATGAACCGAAAGAAGTACAGGACAGGAACCTAATTGGGACACGGTTCGATCAATAACAGCTAATGATCGGCCTCGTTCTGCTTTTAGGAAGATCTCGAAGTTTTGCTGAACCTTACGTGTCGAGCGTGTTCGAACTTGACAGAGCTTGATTCGCGCACAACATTGAGACTAAAACAGCCATTGTGGATGGCCGTGAGAGGTGAGATCCCTCAGATAGCGTCTGGGTGACCTTCTGAACATGATATGGAGTGGCTCCGTACACGTACAGCCATACAGGTCAACTGGCTAAAAGCGCCATTGAATTCATGAGCACTCCATACTGCATCGTATTTGTGCGCACGGTTACCGCGTCTAGGGCACTCTTGTTAACGATGCAATAATATTATAAGCTAGAAGGAGCGATTGGGTTTGAGTCTCTCATGGAGGTCCTCAATACTCATAGCTTGCTCCCCTGGAATATTCCGGGTAGGGAACTTCGCCCCTAACCCTACACAATACTCCGTACGGAGTACAGAGGAGAACATGACAAGTAATCGAATATGTGACCAGTTAGAACACAGTCCATCCAATGCACGTGGCTTGAAATTGCGGGGAAGAAGTTTCACAGCAGCGGAATGAATTGAGATCATCTCTTGTCACAAGATGTTCCCATTTGTCCCTCTCAGATCTTGCAGATCTCGGCAGAACAGCCGAAGCATGGATGGTTGCGTTGGGAATGGCAAGAAAAGCTGGATGGAAACGGGATATAACCCAATTCGGAGAAAATCCCTGAACATCACATCCCCTTCGCATCGATACGGGGTACACATGTACCCTGTTTCTGTATGGAGCACAGAGTATTCCGTACGGAGTACATATATGAATGACCATCGTGAACCCCCGGCGGCTACGGAGTATAGTCCCGTAGATACGAAAGTGGCAGAAAGTGGGTTGGTATGCATTGTACATCCTTCCTGTCGATCACGATGTAATCCAGAAGTAACGGGTTCCGTGATCTTTGGGTTGCATGGAGAGACTCATGGCTCGTTGTACCAGGCCTTGAGGTATTAGCGAACAGTGTCGCGGAGCGCTGGAGCTGGTGGGTCGGGCTTTGTTCAACCGAAACTCCTCTCTAGGGGAGAGTTTCGCCAGCCAGCACGGAGTATCCAACAGTTGATTCTTTAAAACAGGAAGTTGGCCTAGTCAACACAGATGATAAGATGTAGCATCCTGCAGATGAAGAGTGAGCTGTTCGGCTACCCTGCAAGCGGACTCCCAACTGGCGACGTGATTACGTTGCAATACCGCGAGGTCCTGCCGAGATGAAGAGAGAGTCTGGTAATCTAACAACAATACGGCGTAGTGCGCCCAAAAGACAGGTGGATCGGTATCAATACCACGTCATTACGAAGCCCTGGCCTGGCTGTCAAACGACGACCATCATCCAAAGCTGCAAAAGTCGATGTCTGGATAGAGCCAAAGAGGTCCTCTTGTGCCCACAAATTGCCACTTGGTCCGCTATTCTGCTTCCTCGGTTTGCCGCTACTGCCTAACCCCAAAATCCACTTCAGTGACGGTAAATCCGGCCTGTACCGGCTCCCAAGTTTCCCAGTCCCAAGAACTCTGTACCAAAGAGACCCGGTGTCAACCTGACATCAACCCAAACCTTTCCCCTTTTCAGCGACGTTTTTCGGATCAGTTAGGGTACACAGAAACTCTCCTCGTCGTCCCTGATTCGCAAATCGTTCCAGCCACTCCCGTACCTAGATGCAAAGTCTTGCGATGGCTGGGTAGGTACTCTGCGCATGGTAGTACAACAAATGCAATATTGCTGACTCGCAAAACCTTATGATAAACCCCTGCCTTGCTTATCTGCAAGATTTTCAAGGTCCTGGCTTTCCAAACACTCAAAGAAGCGGGCGGGGGAGGAGGAGAAGAGAAAAGAGGGGGGCGCCGCGGAATGAACCCTTTTGCCCCTCCATGGACGATTTGACGGCCCATCCGGCGAAACGGAGATTTTGAAATTCGGAAGAAAAGAGAGAGGCGCGTAAAGCATGGCAACTGGTCTGTGGTCCCATACGGAATATTCCGTGCACTCCCCTCGCGTCCTGTCTGGCGACTGGGTTCTGGAATCAGCGCCACTGGGCACAAGGGAGCCCTCATGGAATATGGGCTTTTCGACAAGCCAAAGTTCAGAAGTCAAGCGGCGCTTTACAAGCTTAGAGGAAAAGGTCATGCTCGAAAAGTTTCATTTTGCTAAATCCCTACTCCGTATAGAGTATTAATCCTTCGCGGTTCATTATCAGTTTCAAAAAAAAAAAAAAAAAAAAGGAAAAGAAAAAAAAATGAAGGTTTTAAAAAACATCGACGATAAAAAAGAACCAATCCAACGTATGTTTGCCTCGAACGAATCGGACTTGGGCTCTCATAGACTCCGCACGCTTCTTTTCTTTTTTATCTTGAGACATCCTTATATAAATAGGTTGTACTCCGTTGGTACCTGCATGTACTCCTTCAAAATGCCCAGAATAACCCCCCATTATGTAGTGACATGCTGCGAGCAAAATTTAATATTACACACTGCAGAATTAAAATCGGGCCAGGCACACAAGCAAAGAATATTAAAATAGAAATAGAAACTGGGTATTTGGCACGTTTGCAACGAAGCCACCCGCAGCAGTCTTTCCAGATAAAAGTAGCAGAGGTTTTAAGCAGAAGACTTTCGTCTATGCCTGCTTCCCTCGTAAACCGCGCCTATTACTCTCCAGGTTCTGTTGCCAAACAGCGCTAGAAAAGCGAAGCAATATCAAGTCAAATCCTCGCGGCCGGCTAAATAATGGACTCGCCTTGAGGGGTATTTAACTTTTGACCGAAAGACGCTCAATTCCTTTTTTTTTCGATTTATGGTATCACGCAGTCGGGTGCAGGGGCAATAGTTGTCATGGTATACTCTGTACACTCCTCCCCCCAAAAAAAAAAAAAAAAAAAAAAAAAAAAAAAAAAAAAAAGAAAAAGGGAAGCTGTCAAAGCCACACAGTCCGTATAACACGCTACTTTTTCGTAAACTCGTCTGTTTCTTTTTGTAGGATATCTCGGCCAGCGAATAGCGATTAAATATCGTGATCGACGGGATGGTGAAACCGAGGGGGGAAAAAAGCCATGCACAATGGCTGGATTGAGAACCGGTTAATAAATTCAAACCGAAACTGAATTGAAATATTAGGCCCGACTGAGGCGCCGACTAGGAGTCCGAGCGTCAAGATCGACTCAATCCTCGTGAAGCCCTACGGGCATAAACGCCGAGTTATCAAATGTGCTATTTTTCCAGAAACCATTATTGAAGCATTCCTGCCACTGGTCTCTCGTAATTTCCGTGCCAGTGATGGACTCAAACGAGTCCCGACGACAAACCTCAACATGAGGGCTGCTAATCGCGGTATCATCATCGTCAAATGCTGACTCAGCAAAATTTGAGTTTTGGGAGGCGGAATCGTCAAAGAGCAGCTCTGGGGCCAGAGCGTCAGGTAAAATGAGCTCATGTTCTGGCGACAGCTGGCCTGAAGGCGGTTCAGCAGGCAAGAACCCGGAACTGAGGCTGCTTGATGACGCACCCTCGGATGCTGGCCTTGGCTCGCTCAAGATAGCTCGTGCATTAGAGTCAGTGGTAGCGCCGTTCGACTCTGCAGGTTGACTGTCAAGACTGCTTCGTACCATGGCGGCCGCAGTCATTGGGCCCGGTGGCACAGGGCTCACGGAATGAGGCACGCTTGAAGCAGATGCTGATATGTCGTGGATTGTCGAGGCCTGCGAGACGAATCTCGATTCCTGGACGGTCATTTCAGTGGGGACGGACGTGGAGCTTCTCGAGGCTTCTCCGCTTTGTTGATTGGCCAATGCCATCGGTGCCACGCCAGTGATTTGGTTGCTGTACGGTGCCACTGTCGCACTGGGTTGGACCACAGCATGCCGATTTTCAGGACGAGCTCCATTGAACAATGGCAGGTATGGACTCCAGTAGGCGGATTGATCACCGAAGTTGCTGTTCGGGGCAGCGTCAAACATTGCTCGTGCCATTGAAACTGATGCTGGAATTGAAGGCGATTCAGAGCCTGAAGCCATCTGATCCATCGGCAATGCCTGCGGGGCTGTATAGCGGCGAATCTGAGGTTGAGCCGTGGACTCGAATTGCGCTCCTCGTTCAAAGTTTGCGTTGTTATGCGGCTCCCCAAGTTCATCAAGCCGGACGACACGTTGCGGTCTGGGCTTCAAAACCGACTGCCTCGAATTCGGCATTCCCACATATAGTGGCGTCTGGCCGCCTGACGCTGAAATGGGAGTAGGCCCACGCGATTGGATAGGTTGGGCAGTAGGAGGCTGCGACCTAGCTGAAGGAGTCGACAGTGAACGTTGCGCGACCCAAGGTGTACTCATTGGCTGGTTCATGCCTCCCATATTCGCTCCATGGGAAATCTGAGAACCTTCGGGTGTCGCGATCGACATGGACCTCGAATGAACAAGAGGCCGGGTCCATGAATCCGGTCTATTATAGAAGGCTGGCGCAGTACGGGGGCCTTGGACCGGTGAGGGGTAAGGCTGCATCTGATACCCTTGCGGAGCACTGGGAATGGTGTTCCCATATGCCTGATACGGATATAGATGCATTGCAGCGTGATAGGTATACCCTGACATTCCGTTTCTGGCGGACCTCAGGAAAATGTGATCTAGATTCAGTTCACGGTTAAGTTGAGCGCTTTGACTCTCGAGTTGTTTGAGCTTCCGTCGATGATTGTCATCATCCTCTTCCTCGTACATCTCTTCGTTCTTCACGGCGTCCATGGTGATTTTAAGCCCTCGGCCTGTGCGCACTTTGTGGATCTTTGACGCACGTTGCGCAGACTCGAAGCGAGCATCAAGCGTTCGGTCGCCGCGACGGGAGGCAGCAATAAATGCTCTGATGGGTATGTGAATATCATCACAGAACAGTGTCAGAGAGGAGCCAAGAATTACCTTTCTTGATTCTCCGCATGCGTCCGCTCTGTTTTCAACGACTTGGCATCTAGAGGAGCTTTGCGAGCACCCATGGTGAAACACCGGATGAATCCAAGATAACAAAAAGTAATCCGTGTATAATAAATCCTCGGCGAGAGATAATAGCAAAATATAACCGCAGTACTGCGGCGGAAACACAATAAAGATGCGGTGGCGCAAGGGGAAGTGGCAGCGAGAGAGGCTACAAGCACCCACGGTACTAGAGACAGAAGTCTGCAGAGTCTGGAGAGTCAACTAGAAAGTGGAGGTTGTCGGGAGAAATAGCATAACGAATAGTAATACTGTGCATACAGTATACAATAAAAATGCAAGCAGGTGAGTAAGATGGAAGAAGGAAACGAAGAAGGGTAAGGGGCGGCGGGAGGTATCAAAGCGGATGAGTTCTGGCTTAAATCACAAGCATGTAGGAAGAGGGAGAGGAAGGTACCGTGGTTCAAAGCTCAATTTATGGTTTCGACCTCTAGAGGCTTGTTATGTAGAACGAAGGAGGGCAGGCCAAAAGCTAATCCATGCGTAGGGAACGTTACAATGTAACAAAAGAATAGCGGCTAGTACACATAAGTAGCTCCGGAATCGTTCACACAATACGTAGGTACATCCGATATTTTGCTTCCGCAGTCGAGGCGCCTAGATCCATTCTATCAAACCACCTTTTTTTTTTTGGGCAAGGCAAGCCGGGAAAGTACTCCGCAGAGCAACAACTGAAGCGGTACATGCGGAGGCCACACCGCGCTCCCTGTCCCATACCAGGGCCTGGTATCCCATCATTGCAATGGGTTACCATGGCCATTTGGTGCTCCACTCGCTTTCAGACACCGGCGAAAATGCTTGCAGCAAGACTTCGCGATCGAAAAAGAAGCAGCTAGGGTAGAATAGTTTAGTCCCCGGAAGCCCTGCAAGGCCAGATTCAGGGGTTAGTTGGGACCCCGGAACATCCTTCCCTCAGCCTTGCCGTGGCCTCGAAGGACCTACCGCAAATACCGCCATCCCATTCGCGATTCCACTGAACCTTACGCTCACCTGCGCTTAACTAACCACTCTCCAGCCTAAACAAGATATCCGAGCGCACGGATGGAGCTATGGTGTTTCCTCTTTCTTTCTTTTTTCTTTTTCTCCTTTTTTTTTTTTTTTTTCCTTTCTGTCTGGCGCGCGGGGGGGAAAAAGTCCATCCACGAAATAGACGCGACAATTGATGTTTCAAACACAATGGAGACAACCCCCCAACCATCGAAACATATGGAGTGCCCCAACCCCAAAAGCCTTGGGGGTTTTAGGATCCATGCTCTGGTCGTTCTCTTGGCAGCCGCCAAATGCCATAGCGGGTTGTGGAGCCGATAGCATGCCCTTATCAGAAGGCGAAAGGTGCGGGCATTCCCACTCATATTTTCGCCCATGCAGATAGAGAAACGGAGAGGTGACTGGTCCAATTCCGGAGCGAGGGGAAGTACCTTGGCTGCGAGCGATAGCAGTTCCAAACAAGGTTCTAGCGACTCAGATTTAGGGTTATTTGTTTAACCAAGAGCCCAAGATTGTCAAGGCAGGCTAACTGGGAGGGGAACTGTGCAACTTCTGGCACAGACGGAGGAATAGCACGGCATCCTCCGTTGGCAATGCTTAGTTAGCAGAACAAACTCGAGGCTTTCGTTGGATGAGGGTTGGCAATCTAGGCCTGCGGATCCTGCGGACAGGCTCGGGGCTTTTCTGAATTTAGTGGCAGATCATTCTGCGAGTTTAATTTGGAAACCCCTCTCTCGAACCAGAGGGTTGTCGGTGCGCAAGCTTCTGTCTGGTACCCTAAATTGAACCCGCCAGTTCTCAGTAATTCGCAGGCAAGTTCTCCCTGGGAGGATGGGAGGCAGCAAATTTACCATTGGCGATTCCATGGTTCGTTCTTCGAGTAGCTGCAAGATTTTCCTCGGTTGGTCCGTATGTCTCGAACAGGATGCGGGTCACAGCGGGAAGTAAGAAGAACAGGATCTCGCTCACGCCCATGTATGTCCCGCTTTGCCTCCGAGGCAGATGGGGCTCCAGCACGCCCGCAGACGAACCCTCTCCACAGTTGGAACGTGCATGGCTAGCAGCTCATGATCTTTTGATATCTGGATTGAGAACTCGACTAGTGCCGGGTAAGTACATGGTACCTACATCATACGAAGTACGCGCGATGCAAGGCTGTCGTGGGGAGTTCTGCAATGCAGAGTTAGGATGCGCGGAGCGCGGCAGAACAGAGGCTTTTGCCATTTTCGCCTCCAGAAACCCGCCCTAAGCCCTATTTGGCCTAGACCCACAAGCCGAAAAACATCCCACAGATTCTTATGTCATCCCCAGCAACGGAGGCAGCGCGGCGAAGGCAAAAAAGTAGCAAGGGGTGGCAAACCGGCACGCTTTCATGGTTCACTTCCGAATACATACCAGTTAGTTGGCAAGGGATATGGCGTTTTCGCGAAGCTGCTTTCAGGGAACTGATTTGCGCTTGAAGCGGGTCGAATCTCTAGTGGAGAGGACCTGGCGGTTAGCTACATTAAGGGCCGACACCTGTAAAACTCCCTTGCTTTCAGCTCAGGATGAATGTTGGCATCTGGCAAGTGATTGGTTGAGTTTTCCGAGCAAGGGTTTTTACAGGGTTTACAGAAGGTTGACGGAATGTCGAACCACATCGATACTGGCCCGTATCGGCCCATCTTAGACAGACAGTTTAGGTCGGAGTTGTAAAGGCACAAGCTTAATATACCCCGGAACTTCGCCAGTGGATGAGGAAAGTGATATTTTACGAGACTGTGATGTCTCACCTATATCCCGGCCACTGAGGGGGGAGCACAACCGTTAAAGTGATGAATCGTTGATATGCATCGTGCCTACATGATGCACCACGCAACGTGGAGAATCGTCTGGGATGCGCAGTATAGGAAGGTCCAGGGTTAGGCATTGACTCGAGTAAGCAGTACATCACTCATCGTCATCTCATGCTATCCCCAGTGGGGGTACATAGCCGTCTTCTTCTTTGCTCTCCTGACCCAACTTGTAGGAGATCTTATATCGAAGTCTCACTCCATTGCCGTTTCCTTGCTCGATCCCATGTAATTGCAACTCTTGACGCACCCCGTTTTTCTGTAACGGGGCAATTTGCCTCCCCGACTGTGGAGATAACTGCAATTTATACGCCTAGATCAACCCCCAACATTGTCAGAGCAATCCAAATGGGGCATATATAAAGAGGAAACGAGGGGGTTTACCTTCTCGATTGCAACTTGGAAGTGAAGTTCAGAGATGACTTGACTCGTGTTATTGGAAAATTGTACCATCACCCGGATTCTTTTCTCTCCCGGGATTCTTTGTGAGACGAACTCTATTTTTATCGAGGAATTCAAAACCAGGATTTGACTAGAAGTTGGAAGTGAGTCTTCCGGCAGAGCAGAGGTAAATGTCCACTCATCATCCCCTGAGCCTTTAGCTGTTGCCGGGGCGCCGGCCGAGGATGATGGCTGATCAAGATCAAGCAAGGACGATGGGGGGGTGGATGGGAGCTGATGGCTTTGAAGTTGGCGAAATGGGGATGAGGTGCGGGAACCCGTCGATACTATAGAGGCGAATGGGTCATTCTGTGGGGTGGCGATTGATGGTTTGGTTGTCGTGCTGCTTTGGGCAAGAATATGCGGTTGGGGGGTGGAGGGGGTTCCCGAAGGTGAGCCAGTTGATGGCAGTGTGTTCTGGGTTGAGACATCTTGACGCAAGAGTTAGATCTGTCGCATTGGTTTTTTTTTTTTTTTTTTTTTTTTTTTTTTGGAGAAAGAAAAGGAACGGAAACTTACCGGCTGCACGACCCAATGGCAGCGATATCGAGCCACTTGGCTGAGAGGAATCTTGAAAAGAAAGACCAAGAAGGTCGGTTTCAAGAGATGAAGCGCTCTGGGTGGCTCCGGCATTTCCGTTCGAAGAAGGTTCATCAAAGTCAATGAGCGACAGTTCATTTTCGGCATTCTTCTTCACTCCGGTGCTCGTTCCAAGAGTTCCTTTGGGAATCTTCGCAGCTCCTTCGACATCTCCGGCCTTGATCAGTTTGTACCGTTCAATCGTACGGTGGATACTGTCGTTTATTTCTAGAAGCTTAGAAACCGCCTCGGCATCTTCTGACTCCTCCTCACACATTTTTTGTATTTTCGGATGCGCACTTCGCAATGCATTTGCAAGCTCCTTTGAACATAATTAGAACAGAACCCACACGAGCAACTTGAGCATTGTTTCGCACCTCAAAGACGTCTCCCTCGATAATCTTATCACCTTGTTTATGATTTTGAAGCATTTCCTCCAAAATCTTTGCCTTTTGCTGCACCTTCGCCACTTCCTCTGCAGCTTTCGCTCTATAGTCAGTTTTGTTTCTGGTATCGAAGCCTGCCATTATCTTCATAAGCCGGTTCGCTTCCCGCAGATCGTCCGGGCCTCCCCTTCGTATCAGTTCTTGAAGCTTGGCGGATTGAGCCTCCTTTTCCTCCTCTTCCATTTCTTCCGCAGATTGAAGGTTCTACCACTATGTTAGACAATGTGATGGCGCCAGAGAGCATCATATTCGACCTACATCACTTGGATTCAGAACAGCAGCATCTTCGCGGCGAACTTCTGGGAACATGTATCCTTTATAGAGCAGCAGCCGATGCATATCTCTGATATAGCCTAGATCTTCTTTGTATCGCGAAGTTTGGCATATAGTTTGTCGCCATTCCTCGATGCATTCAAGGATTCTTTGCTGCACTCTCGAGGGCCGCATAGGGGGCCGCTCTGGAAATCTGCGTACCAGCTCGTTCAGAAACTCTTTCGTGCTGATCTGAAGGTGGAAGGGATATCCACAATTTTTCACGCAGATATCGAGGAGCTAAAGAAGGAAACAAGCTATAAGTAGTCGTAACCCGGATAGGCGCAGATGAGAACGGTCTTGACTTACAGCCAAAGCTAGTAGGGCAACGTTGGCATTCCGAGAATTGACGAGTTGTACTATTGTAAAAGCAGCTTCGCGAGGGCTTTAAAACGGTCAATATACTCCATAGCCCTTATATCTTGTAGATACGTACGCATTGCCTTTCTTCGAATTTACGAGATCCACAACCTCCAGATTGAGAGCAAGGTTGGGCTCGTAGTTCTGGGGGTCGCAAGCATTGTCTACGTAAAACGCACATGAGCAAACTATCACTTAATTCTCACATCGGGATTAAATAGAAGACCTACAGATGTAGCGTTGTAATGTTGACCTTGCCGGCTCAGCATAGGCACCAAAGCGGTCCCTCGCCGCCATGCGCGCGGATGTGGCCTCCACGTTGACGATGGAAGTGGGATCGACGAACAAGCAAGATAGAAACCGAGAGACAGAGTGAGCCGGGCGGCTTCAATGCGAGGAAGAACAAAAGTCGCGGAAATCCCTAAGACAGCAAATGGACAAGATGCATATGGGAGTTGGTTGGCCGAAGCTCCGCTGACGTGCCCTCGAACGTCCAACAAATGAACAGCCAATCATCGTCCTCCCCGCCTCTTGAAGAACTTCTCCGTCCTTCGGGTTCGCTCATCTGGCAGTTAACTTCCGAGTAAGGGGCATTACCTGCGATTAACCAATGGCAACAAAATTTGATAATGGAAAACAACAGGCTTCTGCATTCTTTAGAAGTCTATTAGCTAGTCCGTCGCTACACGAGGGAGGTAATTTTGTCCAACTATTGTCTAAGAACCAGCCATCGCATTCACAATGCAACTACGCCGATATAAGGCAGCACAGAGGTTCTAAGAACGGGATGTTCTCATCTAATAATGGAGGCTCCTGTTACACATCCATGCACTGCAGTTGCTAGGGCGCTATGCCTCGAATGACAGGCAGAATTCTACATTCATTTTACCAAAAGCTTTCTGATTTTTACCCAGTTGACTGAGTCTCAAAGAGGCAATTGACCCGGCATCCATGACAGAGCCTCTTTGGACTGATGTGAGCCGCTGCATGCTGTGGGAGGGGGCTTATATTGACATATGTGTCGAATTGAACGAGCTGGGCAATCCCCACTAACTACTCCGTATTCTTGCGCCTAGCAGCCGCCAGACCGGACAGGCAGCAAACGAACATTTGTACTCGACTTCGCATCCTCGTTGTACTTCAATGGGTGTCATTGGATATCCTTATTTTATAAAACGTCTCGAGGTAGTGACTATTATCTGTATCCATCCTTTTTTTTGACAACAGCGAACTTGCGACAGGCCCTCAGCCTTTCCTTATATTGGTTCTGACGTTTATCGCATATTGCATGCGACTAATATATGTATGATGGGTTGGCTACACGGCATTCGTATTTAGCATTGCCCTTTGCAACCTGCTGGTCTGTCATCTACAGCAAGTGTTCGTTATTCATCGTCAACATTGTGGACCCATCAGGGAGGCTTGTCAATTCCGCAGCTAGCATAAAATGATTCTGTCAGACAAAGACATGAATTTAGCAGCCCTTAGGTATGCAGAATACTATTCCATTGTTTAGTCTCACTGAGAACGTGCCACTTCTGCATGAGCTTGCAGTACTCATCATGGCATCCCGTATTAAGACATGCTCCGAATCTTACAAGGGTGGATACTAGGTGCTATCAAAGCAAGAAGACACAAATTAGGACCCAGGACTGAAGACAAACAGTAGAGATAGATGAATCTTTCTGGTATTAGCAAGAAAACATCCTTGCGCGGAATGAATGGAGCGCGAAAAAAAAGAAAAGAAAATTGGCAGAGAAGATAACCCCGGACTTTTGTCGGCCCGCTTGATTGTGTAGGTACCTAAGGTGGGATCCTGCTTTTTCTGATGTCACCAACCTTAACTCCACTATTCAGAGCAGCTTCTTTGGCTTGATCTACGGAGTACTAGAGCTATTATTTACAAATTACCATCGATCCCAACATACACGATGGTCCGTCATAAGAAAGATAATTTAGCTAAGCGAAGTAAGAGAGCGTTTCCTGAAGGCCATCGGCGCCTCCCACCTCGCGATCCGGACAACGAGAATGATGATACCCCACGAGTTCCTTTCAATGCTGCCTGCTGGGATCTGGGCCATTGCGATCCCAAGAAGTGCTCTGGAAAGAAGCTGATGCACTTTGGAATGATGAGAGATCTTCCAATTGGACATAAGTTTCCTGGGGTTGTAATATCGTGAGTACTTGGACATGCGTATCCAGCTTGCAAAAGTGTTTGAACTTATAGCGCCCTCCTAGACCGAATGCGAAACACACCCTTTCTCCCGCGGATAGGCCACTGCTCGAGCAGTATGGTGCTGCTGTTGTCGAGTGTTCTTGGGTTAGAGTCAAGGAGGTTCCTTGGTCTAGAATTGGAGGAAAGTGTGAACGTCTATGTGAGACTCAATTCGATTCTCTGGAGAAGTATTACGCGCTGACTTGTGTGCAGTACCCTACCTTGTTGCTGCGAATCCTGTCAATTACGGACGACCGTGGCGACTGAATTGCGTGGAAGCTCTCGCAGCATGCTTCTATATCTGTGGTCACGAGGACTGGGCAACCCAAGTTTTAAAACATTTCAAGTACGGCGGACCATTCTTGGAGATAAATTCACAGCTCCTTAAGCGCTATGCTGCATGTGAAACCGAGGAAGATATCAAGGTGGCGGAAGAGAAATGGCTTGATAAAATAGAGAGGGAATACTCGGAAAGCCGCGCAGAACGCACAGAGGATGACATTTGGAAGACCGGAAATACAAACCGCATGGGCTTTGCCGATTCGGAAGAAGAAGATGAGTCGGATGAGGAGTCAAAGGCTAACGAAGGAGACGAATTGGAAGAGCGAGACCCTTACGCGCTGCCTGAGGATTCTGACGACGAGGAAGAAATGGCTGAACTTCGGCGCAAGGTTCTTAATTCCAAACCTTTCCAAGATCTTAGACCGGCAGAAAACAAACCAACTCCAGAAACTGTTGGACGGCCTGCGACGCTAAGTAAGAACACAAGACCGGAAACCGAACTAGTCGATGAAGACGATGTGTCCGAGGACGAGGACGATGTGGCTTTTGACAAAATAATAAATGCCACAACGGTGACGGATAGAACTGGGATATTAGCAATGCAGCGTCAAAGGCAACAACAAGACAAAAGTCTTTCCTTCTTACGAAATTCTGAGCCTGGGGCGATCAAAAGATGAGCCACAACCCCCGGGCGAACAAAACTGTATATACTTTAACGTGTATGAAATTCGCGTTTGCGAATGAAAAAAAATGGTCCGTGAGCACATCGACGGGATGTATTTACAAGCATATGATCAGAGTGCCTTGTATAATTAGCCGTCGGGGCAATCTCTTTTACTTCTACATGTGTCTTGCGGTTGGTCAGACTCATAACCCGCAACTTCGAGTTTGGCAGATACTTCATTAGAGCTCCTGTTATTACCGTAGATTGGTGCAGTCAGGGCTGATCTGACCAATTTGAAACCATTCAGATATTATCCCAGACAATTTGTTTACCTGGGAATGCTGTATATGGACTTTCTTTCTATGTTTGAAATCGCCTGGCAGGATGGCAAAGAGGGACGTGCCCACTCCATATCTCTCCTGGCTCGGTCTCAAGAGGGTTTTACTTATAAGTTACCCCGCTTTGCATCCTCGAAAAAAAGGACTTAGTTGCCTTGGTTGAAGGACCCTATGGAGATACAATTGATATGAGGCGTTATAGTAGTATTTTGATGTTTGCCACAGGGAATGGTATGGCAGCACAGGTGCCTTTCATCAGAGAAATTCTGGAAAGTTGGTCAAGGTGGGCATTCTCGGCTAGAAGACTAATAGTTGTCTGGGAGATTGACTGCAGAGGTAGTATTACTTATATCTTCCTGACCACAGTCTCCTTGTGCGTGGCTGACATCTATCAAGATCAGTTGGGCTGGGCTTATGGCTGGATGCAGGAGCTTTTGGATAAAGATACTCATCCTTCCAGAATGTATGAATGTGAATCTCGTATTGGATGAAGAGCTAAGACTCTCAAAAGGGCAGCTCCTTGTAACTGGTATGTTCCGTTCTCTTCTAATTTTCATAATCATCCCAGGTGTTTAAGTGCTTGCCGCAAGCCACTTACCCGCAGCAATTTTCGCAAGTGTTCTTAGACATATTTCCCGCCTCAGAGAGAAAAAAAAAAGATCATTATGGGGCCGCAAAGTATTTCCAAGCGGATCAACCTCATGCAAGCTGTGATGAAGCACTCATTCATTCCATTAAATCAATCCAGAAACAGCGCTGGTCTTCCAAGTCACTGGAAGGAATGTTGAATGACTTGCCTCACGCTATCGAGTCTGTATGGAAGGCTTCGCTAGTTGACGCCTACATTTGCAAATATCCCCATCCAGATACTGTCTACTACTTACAATCACGTAAGGGTTAACCCCAAGCAGCATGATATTTCAACTCAAAGATTCAGGGCAGCCAACGGTGAAGAACGGAGCAGAGATAACCATTACTGTAGCAATGACGCCCGGAGTACAGGCCTCCATATAGTATGAGAAGCATCCAAATTCCCAAGTAACTCCCTAAGCATTCATATCTTCCAGAATCCAAGAGAGGTTCACTCTGGAACCAAGGCGTGAGGTCCGCCCGCCACGGCCGTCCCTCGGGCCGAGGGTTGACCCGAAACCCTAACTAACCACTGGAGGTCCCGACTCCCCGAGCGGCCAGCCAACCAGGCAACCCCACCGCCCCAAGGGTCAAAGTCCGACCAACTCCTTCGCGTTCATCTCAGCACTCTGTTGCTGTCTTCTCCGTTCTACAAAGTACGAAGCGTTCCAAGGAGTTCCGTGTGGAATCTCCCGGGCCTTTCGCATGCATGAACAAGCCTTGATCACACCTTAGCACGTTCCAAGCCAATTCCAGCGGCTTGACATCCAATCTCTGGTATATCCACCCTTGTTCTCGCATTGTGTATCACACGCCGAGATTCTGTTTCGTTTTTCCGTTTTTTATCCCCCCCCGTCACCGTCTATCTCCCGGGCGCTTTTCATTCTTGAGCTTCGCATCCGAACTGAGATATTGAGACTAATCATGAGTATTAGTCTCGTGACCTGCGCGGCCAGGTTAGGGCGAAGATGCCCGCCGTAAATGATGACTCGAGGGCACCTGGGATATATCGGGCCTCGGGCCAACCTCCTTTCCTCGATGTAGCTAAACAGCAGCTCCCTTCTACTGTCTCTCCCAAGCAGGTCACCTTGCGGGATCGCGTCACCATTGCAACCCTCGTACCATTCTCCTCCGCCTCCAATCTGCCTCATTCTCTCTTAGTTTACCTATGCGACCAATTAAACAAAGAGATAGAGAAAGGGGACACATACCCGATGGACCGTCCCCTTGCTTTGGAAGAATTCGGTCAAGATTGGTTCTCGCATTTCGCAGCTGTGATGCTACTGGGCGAGGTCAAGGGCGTCGAGGATGTTCAGTCAATGGCGTTGGCCGGAGAAGACTGGAAAAAAACGTGCCTAGGAAGTTTTAATATCAAGTCTAACTACCCGGGCCGGAGCAGTCATGTTTGCAATGGCACTTTCTTGGTAACGGATGCCTCGAGAAATCGGGGAGTAGGTAGATTAATGGGAGAATGCTACCTTGAATGGGCGCCACAGCTGGTTAGCAATTACCAAAACCCCCCATGCTCTTCATTTGTCACAGCGCCTATATGTTGTGCAACCTACTAACTGGTGTAGGGCTACTCATACTCTGTTTTCAATATGGTTTATGAGACCAACGTCGCCTCTTGCCGTATATGGGATGCACTCGGGTTCAAGCGGATCGGAAGGATTCCCGGCTGCGGAAATCTGAAGTCATACCCTGGTCAGCTGATTGATGCGATTATATATGGCCGCGATTTAGGCCCAGAGGGAGAGGACTTCGTTTCGGAGGAACGATTCGACAAAATCAGATATTATCTGAAGCATTCCAAGTACCCGAGCGGTGCCGACCGAGCAGAAAAGAGTCGATTACGTAGCGCAGCGACTCACTATAAACTCGTCGGAGGGCAAAATGGCGAGCCGGAGAAATTGATGTTGAAGGACAAGGAAGTTGTGTCGGATCCCCAGCAACAATATGAGATAGCCCGGAAAATCCATGAGCAACAACACGGTGGAATTAACAAAACCACCGCAAACATTGCTTTGAAGTACCATTGGGTTAGGATCAAAGAGACTGTTAGTATGGTGATAAAGAATTGCGAGAAGTGCAAGGAATCACCCAAAGCTCCCGTTTCCAACCCAGACGGGCCCGCCTCTAAACGGGAAAGGTCATCCACACCAAAAGAGCGCAAGCCTGAAGTGTCGCCCAATGGTTTTGGAACGCCTCCAGAACAACTCGCCAATGTTCATCAATACATCAAAGAAGATCCCTTTGGTGGGCCCAACACTACGGTGTTACACGGGGCTATGGATGACATCAAATTCCAACCAGATCCGGAGGAAATAACCGACTACGCCGACCTTCCTCTCGATCCACAAATTATGGATGATATTCAGCACCACTTGCCATCGTTCCAGCATCACAACGACGTTGATCCCTACGAAACAAACAGTCTTCAAGAACCGCATGACTTGGGCCATGGCTTTGGCCATACCCATCTGCAACATCATGATAACTCGAACGACTATCGTATTGTTGAGGATGACGACGGAATAATGGCTTCTCAGGCAGCAGACGCCTTGCGGGATCAAACGATGCACTTGGTTGACACGTCTCGACTCCACAACGAAACACAGCTACATCGTGATCTTCTCGCAGCCGCCTTTGTTGGTCGAGAAGATCCGTCACATTTTGACAGCAGATACTGACCATAATTCTTTTCTGAATGGTTTTGTAATTATACATGGCCTTTGGCGTGCTTCTATCCTCTTTTTTCCCCTTATTTTTTTTTTTTTTTTTCCCCGGCGTGGGAATATGTATTGCATTTTGAAAGCCTTGTTAATGGTGTTAACTGGCATTCTATGGGCGGCGTTGAAGTACACGAGGGTGCGGCCCCTCCATACTATATAACAGCTGGTACAAAAATTGCGTTCTAGAGTTTAGTATAGACGAGAAGTGAAACGATACGGACGATCTATATTGAATGCAATATTGCAATTATTTCCTGCCAGCCATTTCGTCTAATCGAGATCGGGATAGGTTCTTCTGTTTCGGCGCTGAGGTCGTCGAGGTCGTCGAGAGTGTGTTTGGTTGGTTTGCTTCCCGAAGTTGCGTTTTGATTGGCCAGGAACTTTTTTCGGGCACTTGAAGCTCAATTTTCTGGAGCTCTTCACCCCACGCTTGCCCTGGTGTGGTGTTGATAACACGGTCGATACGAACCCATTCCCATTAACCCGCCATCTTAATTAATATATTTGGTTTGACCAAACAAGTCATCTTGGGAAAAGGGGCTTCTACTCATTATCCTAGACAAACATGGCCTTCAGCGGCCAGACCCCGACAATTATTGTTCTGAAAGAAGGTTGGTATTCCCTGCTTTCATGGGCTCGTTCTGATATGCAGTTGTTGTGTTATCGTTTTTCTCTTCCTCCGCTTCTTCTTCTTTTTTTTTCTTTGGAGACTTAAAGGAGACATGACATAGTTGACTTCGACTGCTAGGAACGGATTCGTCACAAGGAAAGGGTCAAATACTATCGAATATCAACGCATGTCTAGCGGTTCAGTCTACGATCAAAGGGACGCTGGGTCCTTATGGCGGGGATGTATTACTTGTGGATTCCAATGGAAAGCAAACGATCACAAACGATGGGGCTACAGTGATGAAGGTTGGTCAAACGGCACCCGCGTCCAGGCTCATGTTTGGAGCGTTAAGTTTAACCCTGTTTTTCAATATGTAGCTCCTCGACATCGTCCACCCAGCCGCTCGGATTCTCACCGACATTGCACGATCGCAAGATGCTGAGGTCGGCGACGGCACTACATCCGTGGTAGTTTTGGCGGGAGAGATCTTAAAAGAAGTCCGCGAATTCGTGGAACAGGGTGTGAGCGCACAAACGATTATAAAGGGATTGAGAACAGCCAGTTCGATTGCGGTCAACAGAATTAAAGAGATCTCAGTGGATATGAGAGACACCACTGATGGAGCAACGATGCAAGTTGAGACTCTGAGACGATTGGCTGGGACTGCGATGAATAGTAAACTAATTAAGCGCAATGCGGACTTCTTTACGAAGAGTATGATCTCCTTTTGCGTATGCCGACGTTTATTGTTCTTTTTTCCTCTTTACTGACTAAAATAGTGGTTGTCGATGCCGTTTTATCCTTGGATCAGGATGATCTGAACGAGAAACTCATCGGTATTAAGAAAGTCACCGGCGGGGCGCTACAAGATTCTCTGTTTGTTGATGGTGTAGCGTTCAAGAAGACATTTTCCTACGCAGGTTTCGAACAGCAACCCAAATCTTTCAAGAATCCCAAAATTGTGTGCCTTAACGTCGAATTGGAGCTAAAGAGCGAGAAGGATAATGCCGAAGTTCGAGTGGATCAGGTATCTGAATATCAAGCAATTGTGGACGCCGAATGGCAGATCATTTTCAATAAACTGGAGGCACTTTACAAGACGGGCGCAAAGGTCGTTCTGAGCAAACTTCCCATCGGTGATCTGGCCACTCAGTATGTCATAAGCACTCAATCATATCCAGCTATTATGTGGCCGTCTATACTAACAGTGTGCGTAGATACTTTGCTGACCGTGACATTTTCTGCGCGGGGCGAGTCTCCGCCGAGGATATGGAGCGCGTTAACCAGGCCACTGGGGCATCTACACAATCAACCTGCTCGGACATCCAGGAGCGCCATCTTGGAACTTGCGGTGCCTTTGAGGAACGCCAAATTGGTGGTGAACGGTTTAACATCTTCTCCGAATGCCCAGCTGCCAAGACATGTACATTAATTCTTCGTGGTGGCGCTGAGCAATTCATCGCAGAAGCGGAACGCAGTTTGCACGATGCCATTATGATTGTGAAGAGATCTTTACGCAACACATCTGTCGTTGCCGGAGGAGGAGCTACGGAAATGGACGTGTCCGGCTATTTGCATTCCTACGCCAATAAGAGCAAGGCTGTGCCGCACAAACAGCAAGGGGTCGTCAAGGCTTTTGCAAAGGCACTCGAGGTTATTCCGCGACAGCTGTGCGACAATGCAGGCTTTGATGCCACCGATATCCTCACTCGCCTTCGCGTCCAGCATCAGGCAGGCAATGTGTGGGCAGGTGTCGACTTCGACAACGAGGACGTTCGGGACAATATGAAGGCGTTCGTGTGGGAGCCGAGCCTGGTCAAGATCAATGCCATCCAAGCGGCGATTGAAGCCGCGTGCTTGATCTTGAGCGTTGACGAGACTATAAGTAAGTTTTCCTTCACCCTTGACTTTGGATCCCTCTCAGGCACGGTGCCCCAACAGTTCGCATTCCGTCGATGGTGCGTCTAACATTTGTACCCCAACAGAGAACCAGGAATCCGCCCAGCCACAAGCTCCAGGTAAGCCGTTGCCGGCAGGAGCAGCTCAGAGGGTTTTGAAGGGCAGAGGACGCGGAATGCCTCGACGGTAAATTGGTCAACAGCCCTCTCAACAGCCGACAACGAAGATCACAGACGGTCTTGGAAGCTCCCCGTCCTGGGAGATTTTAGATAGGTCTAATTTAATGTATCTCAAGAAGCAATAAAGACCATTCAGTCGTACATACATACGCATATGGACCCCAAAAATTATTACCGTAGTTGTCCACGGTTGGGCAAGTCGGGTTTCTCTGCATACTCCTAATGCGTGCCCACGTAGTGACTAACCCTTGTTCAGGGCGGTGATGGTCCGGCACCGCAGAGAACAACTGGATTCCTCGGGATGAACTTCATCATTCCGCACTGGACAGAATCAGCGGCTATTGAGATTCCATGCAGAATATTTGGAATTTGCAGTTACACCAGACCGCAGCACCCCGGGTCCCCCCAGTGGCGAACTTTGAAGACCGTCGCCCAGGTCGGACTGTGGCTGATCGGTCGTCTTCACTGCCCTACGTGAGCCGCGTTCCGACCCGCAATTGGGCCCAGGCGATCGGCAAGACCGCCCAGTGATCCTTGTCCCTTGACAGCTAACTCGCCAAACCCCTCACTTGCTCGCTCGCCCGCCCGGCTGGTCTGTCCTCGAGACGCAAACATTTTGCCAGCAAGACGGTCGCATTCGTTTGTGAACCCCTTTTCGACGGTGTTCCCGAGTTGCTGTCGGCTGGGAGCTCTCAGTCGGTTCCTTCGCCTGTGCCTGTCGCCATCATCACGGAGTTCTCCCTCATCGACTTCGCCGACTCAGCCGCGCTTATTCCCCTCGTATTCTAGCGGATTTTTGGCTCTCCTTAATCAGCCGTCCGTCGTCTTCGCAATTTTCTCACTGCAAGCCCGATAAAACTCTCTCTCTTTGAAGGGTCGTCTTCGAGGATTTTTTTTTTTTTTTTTTTTTTTTTTTGTCTAGTTTTGTTTTTGTTTTCCTGATTGAAACTTATCAGCGAACCTGACTATCCGCAAATTTGGGCCTTGAAAGGCACTGAAGTCGCAAACTATCCCCCAGTAAGACACGCGGTGTCCGCTCTCTGGCGAAGCAGTCTTCCCTCTCCTTTTGTTCTCGAGCAAACAATCTCTCTCTTAGAAGCCTACGGCCATGTCTTACTATCCTCCTCCATCCGGCTACCCAGGTGGCCCTCCTGCATATCCTCCGCCGCAGCAGCAGCAGCAGCAACAGCAGTATCCGTCGTATGGAGCTCCCCCGCCTCAATACCCGTAAGCTATGCTTTGACCCATTTTCCTGGTGTTTTTCTAGCCGCTGCTAATATTCCGCCAGACCACAGAACAATTACGCTCCCCCTTCCTACCCTCCTCCAGGACAGTACGGCCACCCTCCCCAGCCCGGTTATCCTCCCCACAGCTCCCCATATGGCCACACTCCTTCTCCCCAGCCTCCATACGGAGTGAGTATATTCGTGTCCAGCAATTCTTCTGTAAACCCGCTCACAGAATCTTCAGCATCCTCCACCTCAACACCCCCCACACCAACCACCGCACCGTCCACCACCTTCGCCGGGCTATGGCCACTTGCCTCCTTCAACACCGAATAGCGGACCTGCCTTCCATGGGCAACCAGGTATGTGGGATAGAACCCTTCAACACCTATGCCTATATATCTCACACAGCACCCAGGCATTGCGACGGTGAGCAATAATGATTATGTCCATGGAAATCACAGCGCGCCGCCACCTCCCCCCTCCGGTTCCGTCGCGTTTGGCCATGGAGCTCCTCAGGGATATAGCTATCAGTACTCGAACTGCACTGGAAAACGGAAGGCATTGCTGATTGGCATAAATTACTTTGGTCAGCGAGGCCAGTTACGGGGCTGTATTAATGACGTCAAGAACATGTCAACCTATTTGAATCAGAGTTTCAACTACGCGAGAGAGGACATGGTGATCTTGACCGACGATCAACAAAACCCCATGAGTCAACCGACAAAGGCCAATATCTTACGCGCGATGCACTGGTTGGTGAAAGATGCTCGACCGAACGACTCATTGTTCTTCCATTACTCTGGTGAGTGGTAAATATAAGAGTTGCAATTCGGTATAGTGGTGCTAAAACATATTTCGTAGGACATGGTGGTCAGACACCAGATTTGGATGGCGATGAGGACGACGGGTACGACGAAGTTATCTATCCCGTTGACTTTAGAAACGCTGGTCACATCGTAGACGATGAAATGCACAGGATTATGGTTCGGCCATTACCGGCTGGTGTTCGTTTAACGGCGATCTTCGATTCGTGCCACTCCGGTTCCGCCCTGGACCTTCCTTACATCTACTCCACACAGGGTGTCCTCAAGGAACCCAATCTTGCCAAGGAAGCTGGTCAAGGCCTTCTTGGTGTTGTCTCTGCATATGCTCGCGGAGACATGGGAAGCATGGTCTCGACTGCTATGGGATTCATCAAAAAGGCAACTCGAGGAGAAGAAACGTACCAAAGAGCCAAACAAACAAAGACCAGCCCTGCCGATGTCATTATGTGGTCAGGTAGTAAAGATGTCCAGACTAGCGCAGATGCAACCATTAATGGCCAAGCAACTGGAGCACTCTCCTGGGCCTTCATTACGGCCTTGAAGAAGAACCCCCAACAGAGCTACGTTCAACTTCTCAACAGTATTCGAGATGAACTCGCCTCGAAATACTCGCAGAAACCTCAGTTAAGCTGCAGCCATCCGCTAGGTAAGTCCATCTTCACTTTGTGCTAAGATTTCCAGCTAATGGATGCTGATAGATACGAACCTCTTATACGTTATGTAAAGAGTACGACTCTTATGCGCAGCTGTGAATATTTCCGGGTCATATATGGACCATAAATACATGGTGTTTGGGGGCAGGCTTAAGTTCGCCGAGCAATATCTCCTAGAGCTTATCCTTTTCCATTACTATAACATGTACTTACGTTTATACGCTTTGCCGATTTGATACCTGCTTTCATATCTTTACGTCTACTTTCAACGCGTCTTCCGTTTTCGATCCTAGTGGTTTTACTCGAATGTTGGGTTGCATTTTGTGCATCTTTTTGCTCTATATGTTACGTTGGCTAATGGAGGACGGTTCATCGGGTTATGATCGTGTTTCCCCATTCTACTCAATCAGCTTGATTTTCGGCTCTTTCATATTTTCCTAGTGGCGTTTTTCCGCTCCAGGGCTATGATCAATGTGGGTGAAAGGCTGGTAAAAAAGCTGATGGATTCGTATCAATTAAAAATCATTGGGGGTAACTTTATATATCGTAAACAAGCCCAACATCGTTGTATGAGGAATTGTTAGGAAATACGGAGTAATGGTGGGTCTTTTGCGGTAGCATATTAGTGAAGTATAGAGCGACTTTCAAGTGCGGGCACGGAGTACATTCAAGGGTAGTCTCCTGGGAACCAATCCTGGGAGGCTGTGCCCGGAGAACCACCGTGAACACATCAACCTCACGGAGTCGGAGAACGAAAATTAATTTATAGTCGAGTGAATGCATTCCAATTATCTCATACAAGATTATCAATCCCATCACAAATTTCGATGCGGTGACCAATCTTTATAAGGCAAATGGAGATTTTTCCCCCGTCGTATGAACATGCTACCGCGAGAGACACCTGGGCCATCGTGGCACGCTACATACCCTCATCAGACCTCTGCGCTGCATGCCTAGTATCAAGGAAGTGGTACGAACTCTTCGTCCCGTCCCTGTGGGGAGCACCGGCCTTGCACTTTCGTGGGGATAGTGCTGATGTATATGGTGGGCAACCAAGCATCGAGAACTACTCCCGGATTCTTTCGATTGGAAAGGTTGACTAACCAGTTTATCTCTTGGGTCGCCTTCTATCAAGACGCCTTGACTCGATTCAGAAAAATTCTGAGGTATTCTCGCTGCTGGGTTAGAGAGCTTACGCACACATTGCATCTTCCTCCTGCGCCGTCAGAGATATATTATGGACCGGAGCGGGTCTGGCTTCTCGAGGTGCTGGAGTATTTGCCGAAATTACAGTCGTTGATTGTTTCAAGATTATCGTTTTTCGATCATGATTCCCTCCTTACTTTGGATGCAAAGTCCGGTCAGAGTAGACTTGATGCCGAGTTAAGATTACGGACATATGATTTGCGGTTGCTTCTTGCAGACCGTGAGCCAAACACGACGTCCGTAGCACTCCGCAGGGGGCTGCTACATTTCCCAAAGCTTGTATACTTGGATCTATCTTATACCACGTCGGCAAAGGACCACGGAGTGTTATCAGCGCTTTCGCACTTATTTCACCTGCAAGTACTGAAGCTACGAGGCATCGGACTCAGGGATCCTGACGCTGATGTTCTGGCGCGTGCCATCGGGATCCGGGTGCGGCTTTTGGACCTTCGTAATAACTTACTGAGTGATAGTGCAATTAGGGCCCTGATGCACAACTGTTTTCCTCCGTCTAACCATAGTAATGACTATACATTTAGGCGGATGGAAGAATGTCAATTCGAATGGCGACCTCCAACCGTCCCGCTTGGCAGTATATTGACATCAGATTCAATGAAGGATGAGCACCTTGACGGACACTTCCTCAAGCAGCTTACAATGCCGCTTGATGGTAGGTCCACATTGGAGGATATACCCCATGTTGGTATCACGCACTTATACGTTGCGGATAACAATATTTCAGTGGATGGTTTACTTGGAATTGTCGGTTTGGGGATGCTCCTTGTCCTCGATTGCGGGACAATTGGCGCAGCCCGTTTAATGAAAGAGAGTATGTCCCTACCGGCTTCTCGCAATAAAGATGACTCCCAGGCTGAGATGATTCCTGGTGCGGAGAGGCTGGTTCCTATTCTCTGTCAACCTGCGGGCAAGAGTCTCACTTACCTACGAATTCATCATGCTATGGTGACGAGCAGTACTCAGGTGTTGAAAGGGGTTGGGCCCTGGACTGCATCAGCACCAGAGGAGGAGATAGCACGAGACTGTCTTATCCAAGATCTTATTGCCCGACGTCCTACAATACCTGCGACGGATAACCAAAGCAGCGAAGGTGGCCACTTGCCGTTTCTTCATCCTTCGAATCTCTCACATCTTAAAACATTAATCCTTACAGACCTGCCGTCTTCCGTGCCCTCATCATCCCCTATTCTATCGTCCCTAAAAAGATTCATAACAGCCTGCGGCGACGAATCGTTACTCGCGTCCTTACGAGCTCAATCAGACTATTCCCTTCCACCAGGCCGGTATCGAGCCAAAGCAGAAAAACAACATGCAAAATCTCTCTTTGCGCTTGAGCGGCTCATTTTAGAAATCAGACCCGTTTCAAAACCAAGCAACTCCAGCTCCTGGTCTCCATCGGGCTACCACAACCCTAATAGTACTAAATCTAGCACCGGGGATGCGGACTCCGAAAATCTCTGGACAGCAGCCATGAATGATTTCAGCTTTTTTAGCGAGGATGTGAGCTGCACTCCGGCTAATTCTCAGAGATGCGGTGTTGGTTCTGTATTTGGTCAAGATCCGGGTAAGCATGAAATAGACCTGATAGCGGCGATAGCATCATTCCGTCGGGAAAAGAGGATTAAATACGATGATTTACGGAGCGCACAGCAACGTAAGGGCGGTAACAATGAGGAATCGGGCGGCATATCGTCTTCAACCCAGTCGACTACCCCTATCTACGTTGAAGGGCATTGGAATGGAGAGATAAGAGTTGTGAAATAACCGGGTTAAAGTGAGGATTAAGGGGGCCGGGACTATTCAAAAGAGAGACTGTCGCTTGATGATGGCTGGGAAATGCATGTCGAGTGCCGCGTTGGGAAAACGGAGATGTTGGCCCTAGTTTGTCGGTTGGTGTATGGATTGTAACTGTTACAGCTGAAGCGATCTAGAATGTCTTGAAATCAGTGATGCTTGACTTTAGGAGACTGGATAACCTGCACAGAACTCCTATCCATTACACATGTTAGGCATTGAATTGGACTATGGAGGGGCATCAAAACAAGTCATGCATTGTATGCGGGGAGGCTGGGTTTTTTTTAACCCAGTGCCGCCAATTGATACATATTCGTTCCCATTTAAAGAAGAAAATGATATCCGGGTGCGGAGAACAAAGCGTAGCACGATACATAGGACCCCTTCCATTCGCTTATATGTTGCTTTTTCGAAGCCCGGCTCGTCAAAACGCTCGTTTTCCCTACACATATCATGTTGATCCGGTGCCCCTCGCCCTAGACACCCCAGAACCCATCATACCCATAATGGAAGGGGAGAAAAAAGGCATTTACGCCTTAGCAGTCTTGGCAGCTTGTTGAGGGTTCAATTTCTTTGCGTCCTTCTGGAATCGGAGTCTTGGAGGAGGAGCACGGTTGCGGCGGCCCTCCCGGGATCGGACACTAAAAAAGAGCCCAGCATCAGTATCCTTTTGTAGTTTCTCCGCATTGATCTGCTCCGCGACACGTTAAGGATAGAAGGTCGATTCGTACCGCACAATCTTTCCGTGGATAGCGCAGGAAACGCAGTACTGGAGCTTCAGGTACATCTTTGGGACAGCGTATTCCTCAAAAACGGACGCTTCGGAGATATCCTCTATAAAATTTCAATGTATTCAAAGATTAGCCCACCCGGCTCTCCACAAAAGGTTCCCTTCCAGAGCCAGAGTCGCAAAGCGCAAAGTAGATAGGCGGGCGCGACGTACTGACGGCAGCAGACTCAACCATGTTGCGGATGGTGAATCTCTTGATGGCCTTGTCCTTTGGAGTGCATCTTGAGCAGTTGGAGCAGCGAATCGGCTTAACGTGACCGCGTCCCTTCTTGTTGCGTCCGCTGCACAGAGAGAAAAGCAGAACGAATAATCCGTTAGTTTTCGCAAATTTCTCGATCCCTTTAAATTGGAGGTTCTAGGGGATTGGTCACCTACTTCGACGCCCGCTTCTTGACCATTTTGGCAGTGGTGCTTTTGTTTTTGACTTGCTACGTCAAATTCGACAAACGAGGATCTTCGGGCGCGAAGACGACAAGAGCAGCCCTTCGGAGTGTTGGGGGGAGGGGGTTACTTGGTGTCTGTCGGGAGGGTCGAATCTTTCTCGGTTCTCTTCCCAACCAGCTCGGCTCGCGATGGCTGTCGTTGTGGGCGGCAGGGCTAGAGTTCCTAAGCGAGACTAGTGGGTCACGGGACATGACCCTCAGACCTATTTCGGGACTAGCGCGCCAAGCCTTCCCTGACTCCCGTTCACGTGATAAATGGTCCGTGCACCGGATACCCGAGCAACAAAACAAAAGGCAGGAGGACCGCTGGAGTGGATGGCACCACCTGACCTGTTGTTGCCCGCTCGGGGATTGTCGAGAGATCAGACGTTTCTCAGCCGACGGAGCCTCTCACGCCTGTCTTCACCTATCGAAGAGGCACGACCACGCTATCTTCTCTGTTAACTAATTGCTACATACTTCCGCAGTGACGACTCCCCTTTCCCAGTATGTCGTCCACAGGTACAATCCGAAATCGAACCATGGGTCGCGGCCAGCTCCCCTTTGAGGGTGCTCCGTCCGGTATACCTCGCAAGGTCGAACATTCAAGCACGCAGAGCATGCCATCGGATGTTGGAAGTTCCACATTGAGCGTTAGCAGGCAAAAACAATCAAAGCGAGATGAGGTACTTTTCGATTCGCCCGTATCTCACCTCCTAATGGATCCAATTTACCTACTCCCTGGGTAATTGTGTTTCCGCCATCGAGTCTATATCGCTGATAACATCAAACAGGCTATTAGGAAAAAGATGGAAGCGGACCTTAATAAGAAAAGATATAACCCCGCTAGAGCTCGATCGACTCGCAAAGCACCCCCTGGAACCGTTCTTGCCCTGAAGCCTAGCCAGGCGCTTCAGATTAAACCAAATACCACGGTAGCAGAGGCCGCACAATTGATGGCTGCCAAACGCGAGGATTGCGTTCTAGTAACTGACGATGATGACCGCATTGCTGGTATATTTACCGCTAAGGATTTGGCGTTTCGCGTTGTTGGAGCCGGCATTAGAGCGAGAGACGTTACAATTGCCGAGATCATGACCAAAAACCCGCTATGTGCCCGGACCGATACTAGTGCGACCGACGCCCTGGATTTGATGGTTCGGAAAGGCTTCCGCCACTTGCCCGTTATGGACGAAAATCAGGATATTTCTGGTATTTTGGATATTACCAAGTGTTTTTATGATGCTATGGAGAAGCTTGAACGGGCATACAGCTCCTCTCGCAAGTTGTATGATGCTTTGGAAGGTGTACAGTCTGAATTGGGCTCGTCTCAGCCTCAGCAAATTATACAGTATGTGGAGGCGTTGCGGCAGAAAATGTCTGGGCCTACCCTTGAGTCTGTCTTGAATGGGCTGCCCCCAATTACTGTCTCCGTAAGAACATCAGTGAAAGACGCAGCCGCTTTGATGAGGGAGCATCATACTACAGCTCTTTTGGTGCAAGATCAAGGATCGATCACTGGAATCTTTACAAGTAAAGATGTTGTATTGCGAGTCATTGCCCCTGGATTGGACCCGGCTACCTGCAGCGTTGTGAGAGTTATGACCCCTCACCCTGACTTCGCGCCCACTGATATGAGCATCCAAGCTGCCCTTCGGAAAATGCATGGTATGTGAATTGCTTTGTGCAATTGTTAACGCTGTATACTAACACATGCTCTAGATGGACACTATTTGAACCTCCCTGTCATGAATGAATCAGGAGAGATCGTTGGCATGGTTGATGTGCTCAAACTGACATACGCCACACTAGAGCAGGTGTGTATTTTGTGAATATATTCTTCAGACGCTCCCCAGCTTACGACCTTCCCAGATCAATACTATGCAAACAAACGAGAATGAAGGGCCAGCCTGGAACAAATTCTGGCTCTCAATGGACCAGGAATCTGATTCTATGGTCTCGGGGGGTGGCCATAGCCAGAACCCTCGTCGATCTATCCTCAGCACCGATCCAAGAGATCGTGGAGATAGTGTTCTCCCACACGAATCCGCGTCACACCACGGTGAAGATGCTACTTCTGAATTATTGGACACACGGCACCTTGCGAACGACGATTCTCCATTCCCATTCAAATTCAAGGCTCCGAGCGGCCGCGTCCACCGACTTCAGGTCATTGCGTCCGCCGGTGTTGCCGAGCTGGCTGCTAACGTTTCGAGTAAACTTGGATCCGAAGTTGAAGCTGTTGGCGGGGAGGCCGTTGTGGAGGACGGCAAACTTAGCAACAGCGGGTACGCCCTGAGTTATTTGGATAATGAAGGTGACACTGTCTCCATCACAACAGACCAAGACCTCCTTGATGCCATCGTGCAAGCTAGAAAAGCTGGTCGGGATAAAGTGGACCTCTTTGTTCATGACCCGGAAAGCCCCCCGGTGATCGCTCAAGAACCCCAACAGGCCACCACGCAGGCACCCCCAGAACCAGTGACGAGATCACCCATACCGGAAGAAGAAGAGCAAAGCATGGACCAAGCCCGCCCTCAAAAGAGCCTTTCTCAGACTCTTACACAATCGTCAGCGGAACAACAGCTAATAGCAGGTGTTCCCAACGAGCTGATTTTACCGGGCGCAATTGTAACTCTTGCCGCGGTTATTTTGGGTGTGTTTGTCTTGAGTCGGGCGGGTGGAAAGAGATGATAATTGAGGCTGTCTAAGTTGATACAAATTATTGGATGGTGCTCATTCAATCGATTCTTGATTTCATAGACCTTCCCCCTTTTACATATCAGTATGTTTTTTTCTAATACCCTATACATCTCTCCCATGACTTTAGAGCCAGCGCCTGAGTCGATTGATTTGAAGCCAAGCATGTTGTCACATAGAGCTCTTGTAGATCCAACAATGTGTCAGTAATGTCGAAGAGATGATTCAATGCTGAGATTTACTATCTATGTGCACCTGAAAACTGCCATGGATCTGGACTTTTAACAGTCACCAGCCAAACAAAGCAAACACACTAAGGACCATTGGGGAATAGCGCGAAACCTGGGGTTCAGCACCCTAAACTTTTTTCAAACAAATATTCAAACCTACCTATCACTTATCGTCCATCCCACTTTTGAGAGCTTTGCTGTGAAACAACCTCTCACATATTGTCTCTCTGTTTCTCAAGCTGAGCTGCAGTGGCTGAATGTACACTCTTGTTGTGTTTTTGTTGTCTTGAATTTCATTATCAAACATATTGCTTCTTTTCTCCTGATATTGTTAGCTGTCTCTTCCCTTTGACACGGTTGGGCGCGCCGCAGTCTTGGTGTATTCACTACCACGTATAGCGCGCGCTGCCCTGCTCCCTCACCCCTCTCATTTTACAGCTAATTAGTTTTTGTGTCTCTGGGAAAGCTTATTAGAGTGGACAAGATGTCAATCTTACCACAAGAGATCCACACTGCTTTATCGCAGTTGCTGTTGGGCCTTTCAACAGCCGACAATCTCGTGCGCACACAAGCTGAGGAGCAGTTGAATAATGAGTGGGTTCAGGGACGCCCGGATTTCTTGCTTATGGGGCTGGCAGAACAATTACAAGCTGCGGAGGATACAAACGTATGTGATGGGAGAGAGCGGGGTAACCCGCGTCATTCTTCGTTGTGCCCTTCTGCACCGATTTTTTCCTTTCCTAAGTCAGGATAGTTTATGCTAACATAGCTTCCGCTGTCGCTAGACACGGTCTTTTGCAGCAGTTCTTTTTCGACGGATAGCGGGACGATCGGTAAAGGATCCGAATTCGACTGATACAAGGAGATTATTCTTCACCCTGATGCCAGAGCAGAGATTGGCCATTCGTCAGAAATTGCTGCAAGCATTAAACGGTGAAACAGTATCTAGTGTGCGTAATAAAGTTGGAGATGCGGTGGCAGCTATCGCCGAACAGTACTCTGAGAGCGGTATGAATGAGCATTCGAAGTGGGGAGGATAATATTCGTTCTGAAGACAAGTATCTGATGGTATTCTGGGGTATAGGAGAGCCATGGCCAGAGCTGCTTGGTGTTCTCTTCCAAGCAAGCCAATCTTCTGATACGGGCCTTCGCGAATCGGCGTTCCGCATATTCTCCACCACACCACAAATCATTGAGAAGCAGCACGAAGAGACTGTCCTAGGTGTATTCTCGAAAGGATTCAAAGATGAGCACATTTCGGTACGTATGCCAAAATATCTCCCCCAAAATATGGCTTGCTAACGACGCACGGAAGGTCCGAATCTCTGCGATGGAAGCGTTTGCATCTTTCTTCGGATCCCTACATAAAAAGTCTCAGCCTAAATTCTTTTCTTTGGTGCCCGATCTTTTGAATATTCTCCCTCCACTTAAAGAAGCAGATGAAAGTGAGGAGCTGTCTAAGGCTTTCATAGCCCTCATAGATATTGCCGAGATTTGTCCCAGGATGTTCAAACCACTTTTCAATAACTTGGTTAAGTTCAGTATAAGTGTGATTAGCGACAAGGAACTTTCAGACCAAGTCAGGCAAAATGCACTGGAGCTTCTGGCAACATTTGCTGATTATGCACCAACAATGTGCAAGAAGGACGCGAACTATGCGCAGGATATGGTGACTCAATGCCTTAGTTTGATGACTGATGTTGGTCTTGATGATGATGATGCGTCCGAATGGGGAGCTTCAGAAAATGTGAGTTTCTTAATTATCATTGGTTTCGCCTTACTAACAACAATAAAAAGCTTGATCTTGAAGAGAGCGACAAGAATCATGTTGCTGGCGAGCAATGCATGGATCGACTTGCCAATAAACTAGGCGGACAGGTTATTCTTCCTCCAACGTTCAGCTGGGTGCCAAGAATGATTTCATCCTCCTCATGGCGCGATAGACATGCCGCCCTGATGGCTATCTCCGCTATTTCAGAGGGCTGTGGTGATCTGATGGTCGGTGAGCTGGATCAAGTTCTTGCGCTTGTTGTTCCAACACTACAGGACCAGCATCCTCGCGTGAAATTTGCAGGCTGCAATGCTCTAGGACAAATGAGCACTGATTTCGCTGGTACTATGCAAGAGAAGTATCATTCAGTGGTTCTTGGTTGCCTCATCCCTTCTTTGATGTCGGAACACCCACGAGTCCAAGCCCACGCCGCAGCTGCTCTGGTCAACTTCTGCGAGGAGGCGGAGCCCGCTATTCTGGAGCCATATCTTGAACAGTTGCTAGGACATCTCGTTCAACTGCTTCAAAGTCCGAAGAAGTTTGTTCAGGGACAGGCTCTCTGCACAATAGCCACCATCGCTGACTCGGCGGAAAGCACATTTGCCAATTACTACGACAGACTTATGCCAATGTTGTTTAATGTTCTAAGGGAAGAACAGTCTAAGGAGTACCGGGAAATCCGAGCCAAGGCTATGGAATGTGCTACGTTGATCGCATTAGCTGTTGGCAAGGAAAAGATGGGCCAAGATGCCTTGACGCTGGCTCAATTACTTGCCCATATCCAGCAAAATATAACTGATGCGGATGATCCACAGTCATCCTACCTCCTCCACTGCTGGGGTCGCATGTGCCGTGTCCTAGGTCCCGATTTTATTCCATATCTTCCTGGCGTTATGCCGCCTCTCCTTCAAGTTGCTGCTGCAAAGGCGGATGTCCAAATCCTCGATGATGAGACGCAAATTCAGGAAGTCGAGCAGGATGGAAAATGGGATCTACTCCCACTGAAGGATAAAGTTATTGGGATTAAAACCAGTGTCCTTGAAGACAAGAATATGGCAATTGACCTGATCACCATATACGCCCAAGTCCTTGAAGCCGCTTTTGAGCCATACGTTGTCGAACCGCTTGAAAAGATTGCGATACCCGGCCTTGCATTCTTCTTCCACGATCCTGTCAGGGTTTCTTGTGCCAAACTTATTCCCCATTTGTTGAATTCATATAAGAAGGCCCATGGCGACCGTTCACCAGAGTTTTTCCAGTTATGGTCCAAAACTGCTGAGAAAATTATTGAGTGCCTTAGTGCAGAACCTGCAGTTGATACCTTAGCGGAGATGTTTCAGTGTTTCTATGAATCTGTGGAGATTGCTGGCAAAAATAGTTTGACGCAGGATCACATGCAGGCGTTTATTGAGGCCACTAGATCAACGCTCGAGGACTATCAGATCCGTGTGAAGAAGCGTATGGAAGACAGGGCTGAAGCTGAGGAAGGGGACGACGAGACGCTTTCATTTGACTACGAAGCCGAAGAGGACCAAAATCTGCTGAGTGACATGAACAAAGCTTTCCATACAATCTTCAAAAATCACGGCGCATCATTTTTACCGGCCTGGGAACGCATCCTTCCCTTCTATGACGCCTTTGTTGTGACCTCTGAACCAACTCAGAGACAATGGGCTCTTTGTGTGATCGACGACGTCCTCGAATTCTGCGGCGAGCGGTCTTGGAACTACAAAGATCACATCATACAGCCATTGATAAATGGAATGCGAGACGACAACGCAGCCAACAGACAGGCTGCTTCATATGGTGTTGGTATTGCAGCTCAAAAAGGTGGTATCGCATGGAGCGAATTCGTAGCCGCCAGTATCCCAACTCTATTCCAAGTAACACAGCACAGAGAAGCTAGAGCCGAGGACCATGTGTTTGCTACAGAAAATGCTTGCGCCAGCATTGCCAAAATTCTACATTTCAATGCCAGCAAAGTGCAGAACCCACAGGAAGTGGCCGAGAATTGGATCAACACACTCCCAATTCTAAACGACGAGGAGGCAGCTCCTTATGGCTATTCCTTCCTTGCACAGTTAATTGATCAGTACGTTCTCCCTCTCTTCGTCCTGTATTCTTACACTCGCTGACTTGCTTTCTTAGACGAAACCCGGCCGTCTTCGCAAATGCTGAAAAGGCATTCACCTACGTTGTTCAGGCACTTGATGCTGAGAGTATTCAAGGTGCAGTTGCCAATAGAATTGTTGCTTCGGTGAAGCAACTCGTTGCGTCAACCAATGTGAACGCGGAGCAGGTTCTATCAATCGTCAAACCCGAGAAACAGATGATTGTGCGCCGATTCTTCCAATGATCCATCGGCCATTTTGATGAAAGTCTTTAACATTTTTTGACTCTGATGCGAACGAATCCCAATGTTACCCCCAGTCTGCATTTTTCGCCCTTCTAGCACCATCCTACTTTAAGCCCACCCCATTGTTCTTGTTATATCATGTCTACATTTCCACCTCACCGAAATTCCAATTGTCCCATGATGTTTAGCCTCCCGAGTTAGATAGAGCTCATACTACCAAATGACCGAATTGCCTTCGACTGGTATATGATGATCCCGCCTGAAAACCGAAACATGTTCTTCATTAGCATTCCGCTATAGCGCGATCTAGAAATAGCATAAATCTAGTTAATGTCCACGGGATCCTTCAAACCCATTGCAAAAGATATCAAAGCTGCTACCCGACGGGTGTCCTCTTAGAGTCCCCAACATCGTCCCTCCATCCACGCTTTCTAGGATTAAAAGTTTAACCCCGCAATTACCCACCTGCATAGACTTATACCACACAGGTTTGGTATTTGGCTGAAGTTCAGAACAGGAGCTTTTAAGTCGATCTAATACTCATTGAAACATGGCTCAAGAATCAGACGCTCCGCAGCTCAAGGCGCGGAATCTCCTACTCCTCGGTGCAAGCGGCCTCATTGGTTCCAGGATTCTAAATGCCGTGGTTGCGGCAAGGTCGAACTTTGAGTCTATCGCGGTGTTTACCTCCGCATCGAATCTCGAAAAGAAACCAGGATTATTCGAACCTCTTAAGGCTCAAGGCATTCGTATCATTACTGGCGATGTCAACAGTGAAAATGATGTCCGTGCTGCTTATCAAGGTGCGTTGGATCAATAACTTCACTCCCGTGCCCGGCCGTGTAGTCACACAAGATCTATGCCGTGCGACAACATCCATTTAAATACTGACACATTTCGCATAAAAAGGTGTTGACACTGTCGTGAGTGCGCTTGGCCGTGATGTTCTCGCCTCCCAGATTCCTCTAATTCACCTTGCCGCCTCCCCTTCTTCGTCCGTAAAATGGTTTTTCCCATCAGAATACGGGACGGACATTGAGTACTCACCAGCCTCTGCGCATGAGAAGCCCCACCAGCAGAAACTCAAAGTGAGGGCAGCATTAAACGAAGTGAAAGATAGATTAGTACATACGTATGTCGTCACCGGCCCATTCTCTGACCTCTATCTGGGCCCGGGATTGCCGGACATCAGGGGTGGAGCATTCAGGGTGAAAGAGAGAAGAGCGGATTTGCTAGGCGACGGCAATGGTAGCATCAGCCTGACAACCATGGATGAGTATGTCTGGTTTTGATTTATGTATAACTGAGCAAAGAGCTAACAATCGCTGCAAGTGTTGGTAAGCTCGTGGTCGCTGCGCTCCTCCACCCAACGGCAGCCAGAAACCGTGCGCTGAAGGTCAACTCTTTCACCACGACACCTGCGGAAATTCTTCATGAATTCGAGCGCCAAACCGGTGGCCAGGGATGGGATAACGTTACATATACTCCGCTTGATGAGCTACGCAAGTTAGAAGAGGATGCTTGGAAGAATGGTCCGCCTGGCAGGGCTACTGTCCTGACTTTGAGGCGCATTTGGACAGAAGGAGGAACGCTATACGAGAAGAGGGATAACGAAATTATCGGGGAACCACAAATGGCGACACTGGAGCAAGCTGTGAGCCAAGCCATCAAGGAGCAGGAGTAGGTTAGACGGTCAAAGTAGATGCTCGTTTTCGATGACCACTCTATAAAACAAATATACGAAGTAAATATGCAGCTTCGAACGCGGTTCTGTGGTTATTTTTATTAAATGCGTTCCACTATTAGGCCCAAACTTTTCTACACCTTTATCGAGTAACATAGAAGGGTATAACCGCCTTATATAACTACAAGCAGGATCTATACACCATAACCGAAACAATTTATTCCAACCCGAAACTCCGAACAAGCGACGTAGAAATGGCGTCTACCAGTGAGTTTACCTTCACCCGAACAAAACCTTTACGATCTCGCCTGAGCGGCCAAAAGGTTCAGTGCGCTGCCTGCAAGAATGAAGCCACACTGATCCTTGCTCAGGGTGTGCTTCACGGCGATATCCATGACCTCTCCATTCCTCTTGGTGACCCTCAACTTGACTTCTCCCTGTCCACCGTTTTGCAGTAGATCGTACAAGCCAACCGTGTCGACGGAGTCGCAAGCATCAATCTTGTCATAATCAGCCTTATCCGCGAAATTTAGTGGGACAACACCCTGTTTCTTCAGATTGGTTTCGTGGATGCGGGCAAAGCTCTTGGCCACGATGATACGGCCACCCAAGTAGCGCGGCTGCAAGGCGGCGTGCTCTCGAGCACTACCTTCACCGTAGTTATCCTCAGCGATGACGAGCCATTCGATCCCTTGGTCTTTCCATCTGCTTGCAAGATCTGGAATGGAGTAGGTCTTGCCATCCATATCGTAGGCTACGTTGGTTTCGCCCGTGGCGGCGTTGACTGCGCCAATCAATGTGTTGGCGGAGATGTTGGGGAGATGTCCCTTGTACTTGAGCCAGGGACCGGCCGCAGAGATTGTGTCCGTGGTGCACTGGCCTTTGACTTTGTAAAGGACACGTAGTGAGTTGAGCTCACTCTTAGGGAAGGGAGCAAAAGGTTCCAAAACTGCAAGGCGGTCGGAGGTTGGGGAGATGACAACTTCGCAGGAGGGATCAGGAACAGCCACAGAGGGCTGGAAGTCAGGATTTCCGGATTCAAAACCAGCCTTGGGGAGATCCGAGCCCTTAGGAGGGCTGAATTTGAAAGATGTACCATCTGGAGTGCTAAGACTGTCGGTCATAGGATTGAAAGTGGTGCTGCCTGCATAGGATAGGGCTGTCACAACCTCGGGGGAAGCAAGGAAATTCATTGTTCCAGGGTTTCCGTCGTTACGGCCGCGGAAATTTCTGTTGTATGACGTGAAAATAGCATTGGTCTCGCCCTTTTTCACGCCATCTGTTCGCTTCCACTGGCCAATGCAAGGGCCACACGCATTCGCAAGGACGGTACCGCCGGCTGACGAAAATGTATTCAGAGTCTGATCACGATCCAAGGTTGCGCGAATCTGCTCGCTGCCAGGAGTAATAAAGAAGTCGGCCTTTGGACGAAGACCAGCCTTGGAAGCTTGTTTAACAAGATCTTCCGCACGGGTCATGTCTTCGTAAGAACTATTAGTGCAACTTCCAATTAATCCAGCTCCAAAGGTTTCTGGCCAGTTATTCTTGCGCACCGTCTCTGCAAAGGACGAAAGAGGAACCGAAAGATCCGGGGTAAAGGGGCCGTTAATGTGAGGCTCAAGCGTAGAAAGATCAATTGTGATGTGTTGATCGTATTCGGCCTTAGGATCTGCTCGAAGTAAATTATTAGGGCCAGACGATGCGATCTCGGAGGCAGCCTCAGCAATGTCTGCTCGGTTGGTCGCTCTGAGGTAGGGGACCATGCTGGGAGAGAATGGGAAAATCGAGGTAGTAGCTCCGACTTCAGCGCCCATGTTGCAAATTGTAGCCATTCCTGTGCAGCTGAGGGTCTCCACACCAGGTCCATAATACTCAATGATATATCCAGTTCCCCCCCTGACTGTTAGTTTCCCGGCAAGGTGAAGAATAATATCCTTAGGAGCTGTCCAGCCGCTCAGGGCTCCCTCCAGCTTTACACCGAGGATCTTTGGGGCCTTCAGTTCCCACGGCGCATCCACAAGTGCGTCCACAGCGTCTGCTCCACCGACGCCAATGGCAATTGCGCCCAATCCACCACCATTAGGAGTGTGACTGTCAGTCCCCAGCATGAACAGTCCCGGAGAAGCGTAATTCTCCAGCACAGTCTGATGAATAATGCCAGCGCCTGGGGGCCAGAACTCAATACCATATCTCTTGGCCGCGGATTCTAAGAAATCAAAGACCTCCTTATTTCCCTGAATTGAGGCTGGAAGGTCAACGTCCGCACCCTTCTGGCCGACAATCATGTGGTCACAATGAATGCTGGCGGGAACCGCGGTCGAAGGAAGTCCGCAGGACATGAATTGAAGCAGAGCCATTTGTGCAGAGGCATCTTGCATCGCCACCCGATCCGGCTTAAGTTTCAGATTGGCTTGACCACGAATGCTCTTCCCATTCTGAGTGCCCGTGAGGAGTGACTCCTCCACATTGTCAAGATGAGAATAGACGACTTTCTCAGCAAGGGTGAGGGGCCTGTCTGACCCCAGAACTCGTCGGACTTCGTTTAATTTGTTCAGAATCTTAGGATAAGGGGGTGAACGACTGGGAACCTGCGGTCTGGCGGGGGTGGTGGCCTCCGTCGCAAAGCTGCGATATCGGCCGAAGGGAGAACATTGGGCAATCTGGGAATGTTGGTTAGAAACGGCAATTGGCGAATTGTGGCTTTCAACTTACAGCCCGAGCTGTGCCTGCGCTATGCCTCCACATCATCTTGAATCAGCCCGGAATTACTCGCGGTGTGACGAGAGAATGGTTTGAGCAATTTGAGCGCGAAGCTCCCATCTTGCATACTTTTGTCCTCCGTACGGCCATTACCAATTGGTTCTTTATCTCACCTCTGATTGGCTGCATGATGCATAACACTAAATAATCAGTCCAGTGCCGCCTTGGCCGATGAGTCAGCCTCGTTGGAGCCCACAGGCAATTCGGGTGCATCAGGATTGAGGCCCTGATCAGAACGATTTCCCTCGCCCGTCGCGCCTGAGAAAAGCCGATCCAAACCCATTTGGTACATGGGTAGGCGAGTCCGAGGCTTACAGATGCTCTCGATTTGCATTACCAAAACATGGGAGTCTTATCTTGATAGATTATGGTCCATCGTAGAATACATTGCCATATCCAAGCTAGCATGCGGGACCCGAGACAAAAATACTCGAGGCCAGAAGATAGCTGCTTTCAAATTAATCCTAAAGGTAGCATCCCTTCGAGTGTTAGATTATGATAAGTCGTTCGGCTTCGCCGAGTTCTCTTCTTCAGCCGCAGCCCGTAATTCATAACATAGATCGTAACATTGGGCGAGTAGTTCGTTAACGCTGCCTTGACCTTCTGGAAGGTCAGATCCTATGTAAAATTTGCCATCCACCCGCATGTTATCAATTGAATTTAGCTAAAAAGAGAATCAGCATCCAAAGTTCGCAAATTTCCGCGCGAATTACTGTTTTACCTTCATGCTATATGGGTATAGTTCTCTCGAGTTAGAAACTCCGCCAGATTCTTTGACTTCCATGAGGCATTTCCGAAGGGTCTGGAGCTGGTTATATATCGGTAGGAGCGCTTCTGATACTGGTTCAGAAGAAATAAGAAGGCCATATATCAACGCATAGCTTCGTCGAATCAGATAAAGTAAAGTCTAGGACATCATTAGCTCTCTCTCATTGGAACGTGCAAGGCATGGCTCCAGCGTTACCCTTTGCGCATGAAGATCGGCTGGTTGGCCAGATACATCCAAAAAATTGCCGTTGACACGACACTCGTCTATGTGATTGAGTTTTCTCTGGAACATATAAAGATCAGTTTCTCTTAAGGACCATGCTTGGGTCATCGCAAGCCGGTCAAGTTGGTTCCTAATCTCTACTAGCTTATCGTACTGATCTTTGAAGCGTTCATCAATCTTTCCTTGCCTGAAATGGGAATTAGCTAGGGAATAAACCATGAGTGGTAAGGAGTTTGATACCGATCCAATACAATATCCACCCATTTTAAACATCTGTCCAAAAGGGTTTTTACAATCTCCTGGCCTTCAGGGATAGACCCATCAGATGCGAGAAAGTTTCCATCTTTCATACCTGCCTTAATTTCGTTCAATCTTTCTTTGAAGCCTATAACCTCGGATGACGAAAACTGCAACCCAGCTTGGCATCAGCTTTATCGATTCCCAGAAAGTTTCGATGTAGACGGAAGTATTCTTTGAAACTTACATTGGACCGCGTATTAGCAGCAGCGGTAGATCTTAATATTGAAACAAGAGTTTCATGCGTGGGAGCCAATTGAGCGGAGAGGAAGCAAAGTTCATGTTGTAATTCTGCCAACTGTTTCTCGCAATTATCCAATCGAGTCCGCAGAAGTGCGACAAGTTGTGGAGAGTATGTTTCTTTACCCCTCTCCACAGTTTCTCCCATTTTTCCGAGAGTTTTTGCTATGGAATCGAGATCCTTTTGGCTGTAGAAAGCAGCCTCTTTAAGATGATCGAGCAGCCGCTGAGCCAGCAGATTAGCCAAAAATAGCGGCATAAATAGGGTTAAAGTTGCTCACCTTAATTGTTGAAGCCATTGAATAGCTTCAAGTTATCTCCGCTGTCAGCTATAGAGTCATACACATAAGAGATCCAGAGGGAAGTACTTACGTTGCAGGAGCTTCATTATTCCTGCCGACAGTGAGAAACAAAAGAGAAATAAGTTGAAAGCAGTCATCCAAGACATTATCCACTGTGCGATTGACTGGTCAGACATGGTAATCCAGGAGCATTGGTATAAGGCCGTTTGGCACACCTCTATTATGTTCTTTACTCTCCCCTCTACCTGAACGGATACTGTTCAGCAGCTGGACTTGCTCAATGACTCTATCATAATAGGGGAGAACATCTTGGGACTTGATATAGGTGGATTTGTCCTGTTTTAGGAGAAGTAAAGCATCCCGGATGAGCAACAACTGATCCAGGATTGGCTGTTCCTGGGGATCCAGCGGCACAGTAACAGCAGGGGAGTCCATATTGTGCTGCTCTACCTGATGAACCGGATGGGCTGTCCACGAATCCTAGCCTGGCCAAGAAGGCAAGAAGAGCAGGTGAAAGCCGAAAATGAAGAGCAATGGGGAATGCAGTTTGATGATATGCTTCTCGAAGCTCCTATCAGGGCGGCGGGGCGAGCGCCCAAGAAGTCAAAGACACATGACGCTTTCGGGGCAGCGCACGGGCCACCCTCCGGCGCGGATTAAGCGAGGGTCGCTTTTGCACACACTGGGCGATTATTAAGAAAATCAAACAGCACTTGAAGATCGAACAGTCGACAACCTCTTCCCCAACGACGTCTTCCGCCTCCATTTTCGTATCCCATCTCCACGTCGGATATCATCTTCAAAATGTCTAACCCTGAGCTCGCTGTTTCCTATGCCGCCTTGATCCTCGCGGATGACGGTGTCGAGATCTCGGTACGATGATAATTGCCAGCATCCCACCTTTCGATCAGCCACCAAGGGCGAAACCTGCTGGTTTCGTTCCTTTTTTGTTGCAAGAGACTGATTGGTTTTTTTTTCTTCTCTACGAATTTTTTAGGCCGACAAGCTTCAGGCCCTCTTGAAGGCTGCCAACGTGCAAGATGTTGAACCAATCTGGACTTCTCTTTTCTCTAAGGTACACACACACGGATTCAAACGCGTGGACCGTTCGAACAACGACATAGAGGCTAACTTGCTGGATGTAAAAAGGCTCTCGAGGGCAAGGATGTTAAGGATATCCTAACAAACGTCGGCTCCGCCGGTGCTGCCGCTCCTGCTGCTGGTGTCGCTGCCGCTGCTGGTGGCGCTGCTCCCACCGAAGCTGCACCAGCCGCCGAGGAGAAGAAGGAGGAAGGTACGTGAAATAGGAATTTTCGCCTTGCAAGCGACTGGCGATAGAATCGTCATATTAGGCGATCTAGCTGGAATTGTGGCTGATGATATGTTTCTTTTTCGTTCTTATAGAGGAAGAATCCGACGAGGACATGGGTTTCGGCCTTTTCGACTAAGCGGCGCACCTTCGTTTTTTTCCTTGTACACAATATTCCAAAAGGGATGCACGTCTTGGGCGCATGCGGGCAGTTCTGCTACGATTTTCCGATGGGGATCATAAGAGGGCCAATTGTCGGGTAGCACAACATTTTCATATTATGATATGATTACTTGTTTTATGTCATGTCGTTATGAGCTAGCACTATCGCCAAATAAAAGTGAATGTGCACCGTCGCTGGTTTCCCTTCTATGCCGCCTTTTTTCTTTTTTTTAATGATACACATATATACAAGGTAAAGGAATCAAGAGAAACCCGCTTTGCATTATACAATGGCCGAGGATCCATTGGGGTTGGCATATATACGGAACTGCACGAAAATTGTGATGTCCTCCACCATGGTACCTAGAGATCCGATAAGCCACGGGAGATTGGTGATGAAATATTCCTTTTCGGTTGAATGAAATAAAATCTAACTCATACGTCAGTTTGCATTGGTTTCGAAGGCGGAAGCGATGTCAACTCACCCCTGCGCCATATGATGCGTTGCCTAACAAAGAGAATAAAAAAAATAATAATGAAAGCCCTATTGCACATTAGCGACAGCTTGTAAAAGAGTACTTAAAATGTAAACTGTTTTACCTTCACAGGATTTCTCCCTGTAATTCTTAATAATTTGTGGAATTCTCGCACTATTTGCAGTCAGCGTGGTATGTCTCGGGAAGAGGGCGAGAAAGACGGCATACCCTAAATAGCAAATCGCACTGATATATCCCAAAATTGTCGCTCCTAGCGCAACTTCTCCAGAACGTTCAGGTCCAGTTTGCGCAACGGGTTTCCACACCCCCGTTTGCCACGCAATAGCCCAGCCTACGACACCCGTCGCGCAGATTCCCAAAACGCTGGATATATTCTTCAGCCAAACGCTTCTTGGTTCCGTCTCCTCCAAAATCTTTGCCAACGAATCTCTCCGTTGGACCGCAGAGCGGTGGCTACTCATTCGTTGCAATGAGGCAGACGATCTTCGCCGCGACCCGGGAAGGCCCATGTTTTCACTCATCCGTCGGCTCAGCAGGGGCGTAGTCGGATCAGGGGTGTCGGAAACTGTGCTCGATAAGCGGCGGTAGCGAGCAGCTCTGCGTGCATTCTGAATATTATAGTAGACGCACTGGCTTATCAGGACGCCGTCTGCTATGCAAAAATAGACCGCAATGGCGATGACGACGGGGACCAAGTGAGCCCACAGCGCGCCGATCAGGTTTGTCAAGTCGCCTAGGAACCATACAAGAAGGAATGTGATTGATATGGCTTCTGCGCTCCCGCATCTGTAGTTTTCTATCAATTGTGGGACCTAGTGGTTGCCATATCGGTTAGAGAGCAAGGTTCCAAATCCCACGGGCGATTACTCCGTATCAAGAAAAGGGGGAACGAACTAGGAGAAATATCCAACAAGCCAAAGATATTGATCCAAGGATGCCTGATGCTGCCTCCCGAAACGTCAAGGGTACCGAGTTCGTGAGAACTCCCTCCATCGTTGCCCCTCCTTGTTTTTGGATGTATATAACGGACGTGCTTCTTATAAGGCTTGCGAGCCACACTCTCAGGGGAGGGGGGAAAACCGAGATTTTAAACAAGGGTGTCTCGCATGGGGACGAAAGGCATAGTTTTCTGAGATTGCTTCCAATTCAGACGAAAAACAAAAAGAAAAGAAAATTCTTCCCTGTAAAAGCTTGGAATTCTGTAACATCCCAGTTAATTTTTTTTTGCCCTCCTCGCCGGCCTGATACATGGCGGAACTAGGAGGCGCCACAAAACCAAAATGCATGCAGTGAAGATAAAGTTTTCTGCCGCGGGCTAATGGGCGTCATGGAAAACCTTAATCCGACCCTATGGGGCTGAATAGCGAACTGCGAACGAGACCAACAAAACACCCGGCCGTCCACACACGGAGCTGAGCTGGCCGGCGCCATTGGCCTGCCGACATCCACGCAGCAGCCCAGAAAACGCCCGTTCTTCATATTGCGCCGAGAATACCCGTTGATGAACAGCATGTTTTCTCCTATTCTGAAATCCCCTACGGAGTATATTTTGTTTGTTTTGTCTACGGAGCAGTCGTTTTACTTCTCTTTTCGATCATCCGGCGAGCTGGCGGCCAAAACTGGCCAGTTCTGGGGCTGCTTTCGGCCCTCAACTCGCCAAAACTTCTCTCCACGCACCACACCTCGCGATCCACGAACGATCGACCTTCTTTGATGCTCCACCAGTCACCCTGCTTCACCCCTGGGCACTCTCTCAACATTGTACTTTCCGCAAGCTGGAAATGGCGTCGCATCCCTTTCTGCCTGCCTGGCCACGGTCACCGCGATCTGCCGTGGCCTGTACCCTCGTCCGCTCACCCAGCGGCTACATCATGATACATCCTGGCTCGTAGGCAAAATGTGAGCAAAAGGGGGGCAACAAGAATGGTGCCCTTTTGCTCATCAGTCAGACCTCACCATGGTCTGCTGGTGACCATTTCTTTTCTTCTCTCACTGGGATATTTTATTCTGTCCTCACCGTTTTCTTTGGATGATAGCAACCAGCTATACCCATTGCTTTTTGACCAGGCCTTTGATGCTCACTCTGTGATAAATCTCTCTCTTCCACACTGTCTCCATCTCTCCCAAGGCAGCTGACAGGATGACCATCTCTGGTGCAGAGGATGACCCTCTTGCTTCAATCAGTGGTGCGGATGTTGGTTTAGATGACAAATCCTTCTCAGACAATGGAGGCAATGAAACAGATTGTACCTCCATTTGTGATGAAGGCAAAGATGGCCTACCTGATGTGCTGGAGGGCGACTGTTCCTGGCTCCTTAGAGACCTAGCTGATGCACTGAAGGATATGGTGACTGACTTCACAATAAGGAGGAGCATCCGCCAGAGCACTACCTTGAAGAGGGAGCCAACCTCAACCCATCCTGTCTTTGACAGCAACAGTACAATCCAAGGACCCAGGAGAAACTCAACTGGGTCAAAGAGCATTGGGAGCAGTAAGTACTTTTTGAACTATTGCTCTATCTAAGCTCTGTAAGCTAACTAATTGCCTGTCACTGCAGGTACTGCAAGTTTGTTGGTCAGGATCTTGTTCAAGCGTATGAGGATCTCACCATACAGTCCCTGAAAGACTCCCTCAGCTGAGTGTGTGACACTGGTGTTGACAAAAGAATGGAAGGTGTTGAGAGATCAAGCGCCTCAGCTTTCTTGAGACATTCTGGAAATGGTACCAATGGTACTGAACTGACAGTTTCCCAGTTATTGAAACTCATCACTGATGAAAAGCATCCCAGCCATCAGAAATGAAAGAAGATAACTATATATGTTCAGAATCTAGTGAGGTTGTGCTGTGTACTTCTGACAATAGCAGACATATTGTTTCTGATCAGCTAACTGTACATTCAAGTAATTCTCTTCTGCCAACTTATCAGATATATGAAGAATTGGTCACACGCCTTGCTGAAGCTTCACTATTAATATTTACAGTGTACTCTTGTTAGAGATCCAGAGAGTAAATATTCTTGTCTTGTAATTAAGCTTACTGCTGAGTTCACAAAAAGATTTCTGAGAATGAAGAATGCATACAAGCTCTCTTGATTATCTTAATATAATAATTCTGACTGGTTAATATACAGTAATATATTTCTGCTTTTAGAGATCATATATAATCTCATACTTATTCTGAGTCTACATGCCTTACTACTGAGAATGCGCTTCCATATTGATACATTCAGATCACCAAATATTGACTGTCCAGAAAATCTCTACAGTCTAAATATTCTACAGTCTAAATAAACAGAGACTATTACTCTGAGATAATTTGACTAATAAATATTTCTTCTATAAGACAATTTAACAGAGGGAGGTTGCTCAGCTTGTCTATGAGATGCTGTATTCCTATAACAAACTGAAGTACTGAATGAAGAAAGGCTGTGAGATCACAGGCTTTTCACAAGTTGCCAAGCCATATGTGCTCTGTAATGGTGCAGCAAAAGCGGGCAATGCAATTATTTTATTTTTTATTTTATATTATATTTTCTTTTCCAGCTCTATAGACAGCATTATCCGTTCCTCACTTCTATTAATTTCACGGGCAAGCCTGTACCCCGTAAAAGCAGCCATCAAACAGCCCTAGAGAGTGACACAGTGCTGTTATCTGGAACAAAGTTAAATCAGCCCTCCTCAGTTTGCCGCGCTAGTTCTTCTCTCAATAATTCAAGCATGATATCTGGGTTCGATGTCGTGGCTGCAAACTGCATAAAAAAGTTCTGTGGTTCCGGGTCAAGCCGGCGCAATGTTTCGACCCAGGAGGCTAAAGGCGTACGATCTCGGTCAATCTGCCAGTTACCCGGGTCGATACCGTGGACATCCAAGAATTGACAGAGTTCTTGCCAACCCTCATCCAGAAGGTATGTAACGGTGCCTTCTTCGCTTCCTTCAGGCCATTCAGCACCCTCGGAGCCTGAGTCATCTCGCCCTGGAGGTGCAAATCCGCCACGGAGGTGTTCGGCGTTATCGAGGCCAATTGCATTTCGCACAGCATCGAAGAACCATGAAGAGGCAGATTGTTCTTCAGGTAACCCATTCGGCGGTAATGGATCGGACGCTGAAATATGCCTGGTTGTGAAGGTCCTTGGCAGGTGTGTTGTGACCGCTGGGATATCAGAGAGAATGATATGACGGGCGACGTTCAACGATATTTCTGGGGCCTTTGCTGCGGGTTCCGGAGCGCTAATGTTGCCGGCTACTTCCACTAGAAGAGATATTGCTTCTGGCGTGTTCCATATATCCTTGGCACGGTTGATGTACAGCTCGGTTAACAACCTAAAAGCATTGTCGGGAGCTTGCGCTCCCCAGATGGACTTCGGTACGGAGTTAACATTTAGTTCCTGAACAAGCCGACAAAACACCCATGGGTATCGGGACATGGCGAAACGGAGTTGCGCTCTCGACTCCTTTGCATTTCCCTTTTGGAAATGCGCCAGAGCTAGGGAGCACTGAATATTTGGGAATAATTCCCAGCGACTTTTGAAAGTAGGATGCGAGCAGAGTTGGATGAAGTGTTCATGCTCTCTGGCTTTTATTGCAATCTGATCAATCGTCAAGCTCACACAATACGGATCTTCGTCACCCAGGCTCAGAAGAAGCTTTGCCCACTCGTACGCAGTTTTCCATGTGCCCTTCATCCCTAGGTTTATGATATACCTCCACCCAGCAAGCCAAAGCTCGCGGTTCTCTTTCAGATTAAAGTCCAGCCTTGCCTTCCCTTCTTTTATGCAAGAGGCGAAGGACGACTGGACGGACCGGCCAATATTAAACAATGCCCTTTCTAACAGGTCGCCGGAGACAGCATGATCGCCTTGGTGTTTGGCGATCTCTGATACTTGTAGCAAGGTAGATATGTGGTATGCTTCAAAGGCGTTAGTATTAAGCCCGCACGTAGGCCCAGAAAGTATAAGAAACTCACGATTAAATTGCAGGTGCTCTATCATTCTCTCCGCTTGCATTGACTGCACACACATGTCAAATTGTCTTTGAGCATCAACGTATGCTGCGTTATGAACAAGCTTATATTCAGTCACTCCAGAAGGCCGTTTTTCTACAACCTCCATCCCAAGACCACCACTGTTTGCTCGGGGCCATTCGTCTTTACCTTGCATGAGTACATTTTTCCGAAGAGTCGTTCCGGAGAGATCCTGCCCTCGACTCGCGGGGCTGAACCTCCCAGTTAACGCTCTGCCCAAGTCAAGCGCCTGCCGATTTCTCTCCCGCCTGCGAGCTGGAAACTGTTGTCCACCATTTGAATGTCTACTTTCTACAGCAGCATTGCCAAACAGTCTCTTCATTTCATTCATCGCATTCAGCCTTTTGGAATCAACCGCCAGCAGCGCACAAAGCATGTTTTCGGTTTCATCGTTCGCAATTCGTGATTGTCTGTCGGCAAGATTATCCGGTCCTTCTCCAGCATTCTTCGTAGAGAGTTCTTGCAAGGCTCGATCGATATCGTCCAGATCTTCATGCTTGGGTGTAGCTGAGCCGGAGGGTTTAACGTCCTTCGTGACTGTGCCATTTTTTCCCTTTTGCTTTTTCTGTTTCTTCTTCTTGCTTCCGCCAGTCTTTGGCGTAGGTGCCGGCTCTGGTTTAGCCTCTAAAGGCGCCTCCTCAATGTCTGATTGCTGCTCATCCGCTTCTTCGGTTTCCAAGAGGTCAAAGGCGTTGAATTTCGAGGTGGATGGCTTCAGGTCCTGTGAATCATCGTCAGATGCATTGTCTTGCTCAGCTTTCTGCTGTTCAAGTTCGCGCTGCTTCTGTAGTCTCTTGAAAGCCCTGAAAGACATGTCTTGTGGTTCAGGGAAAGAGGGTAAAACGAGACAGACAAGCTATGAATTGCGAGACAAATGGGATGGCTTTGGCCGAGAGATAAGCCTTATCGCAGGCAGCTACAGATCACGTGGGAAGCGGATAGAGTTTTAGGCTTAGCGTTGCCTGCCGCCGTTGTCACCGCAAAAGACCCCGGATAGCCTCAGTAAGGGATCTTCCTACACTGAGCAAAAGGCCCTTGCATTGTCTGCTTTTCTCAGTTTGGGTTGATATCCGCCACCTCGATGCGTCGAGCGGCAATCCAGGCCTTCCGTACAGCCCGGTTCCATCCTGTGCGGAGGGTTGCTGGCCCTCCCCCAGCTCCGCTCTTCTCGAGCAATCATGCACTGACGTCTCGAGTTGCATTTTCCTCCCGGTCCACCGCTACCTTCATACCGGCGGTACTACAGTCATCAATGTTTTTCCGTAACTTTTCTTTAGCTTTCATTTCGACACTCGTGGCATCTGGCGCCTGGTATGCATACAAGGGCAATCCGAATCAACAGGAGCTTGCACCTACTGCAGCTTTAAATGCGACTCCTTCACTCATCCAGCAAAATACAAACGGTGTCTATTCAGGTACGGCAGGCCATCATACTTCGGCAGTAGCAGGCGACAATCCGACACTTCAGTCGGACAGTTCACTCGTTGTGGAGGACCAGCAATATACCGCCACCTCTGTCAGCGAACAGCCCGTCTCGAAACAAACGAGCGAGACCGGCAATAGAGTGGTAGGAATGTTAACTCCGGAACAAGCAACCGAGAAGCTTCGCAGAAACGAAGAATCATACCTGGTTGGCCGCGGAAAGGGTGTCGTTCGGTATGATGTCGTTCAACTTCCTAGCAATGACCCGATTGAAGATGATCATGCCGAAAAGATCGTTGTCTCTTCTACAGCGGATGGATCATCGAGTGATTGGATGTTTTGGGGTGTCTTCGATGGCCATTCGTACGTGCTAATACATTGAGACTGGCCGAGAGTGGGACTAGTTGAGCTAACAAATTGTAGCGGCTGGACTACCTCTGCAAAGCTTAGGCAAGCTTTGATCTCTTTTGTGACACGTGAACTAAATTCCACCTACAAAACTGCCTCCTCCAAGCCAGGTTTCCCGTATCCTTCTCCCGAAGCCATCGATGCTGCTATAAAAAGGGGTTTCGTCAATCTCGACAATGAAATTGTGCACAAGAGCGTGGATAGAGTCTTGAAGGCCAATTCAAAAAGAGTTGCTGCAGAACTTCTAGCGCCTGCACTCTCCGGTTCATGTGCTCTCCTAGCCTTCTATGATAGCAGCTCCAAATTGCTGCATGTTGCTTGTACTGGAGATTCCAGAGCAGTTTTAGGTCGCAGAACACCAAACGGGAAATGGACTGCTACTCCCCTCTCCGAAGACCAGACGGGATCTACGGTGTCTGAGGCTCAGCGGCTACGTCGAGAGCACCCTGGAGAAGATAATGTTGTGCGCAATGGACGCGTGTTGGGTAACCTCGAGCCTACTCGTGCTTTTGGCGACGCATTCTACAAATGGAAGCGAGACACTCAAGACAAGATCAAGCGTCACTTTTTCGGACGTACACCACATCAATATCTGAAGACACCACCCTACGTTACGGCGGAACCTGTCGTAACGTCAACTAAGATTGAGCCTCAGAAAGGAGATTTCCTTGTATTGGCATCGGATGGGCTATGGGAAATGCTTAGCAACGAAGAAGTCATTGGGCTTGTCGGTCAATGGATCGAACAGCAGCGTGCAAGCGCACAAGGTAAAGATGGTGTTAAACGCTGGCTTCAGAGTTGGTGGAGTTCAGTGGACCAGTTGCCAATTGAAAAACCTTCGCGTGACGATGCAACTGGACAGCGTGCACCATTCCGTCAAATGCAATATAACATCCTTCAAAATGAAAACCGCTTCGTAGTTGAGGACAAGAACGCGGCGACACATTTGGTTAGAAATGCCCTTGGAGGAAAGGATAAGGACACGGTGTGCGCACTGCTCACCCTTCCCAGTCCTTATTCGAGAAGATATCGGTATGCCCTTCGAGCCCTAATACCCGGAAATGCAAATTTTGGCTAACGATTTATCAGTGACGACCTTACTGTTGAAGTAATTTTTTTCGGCGAGAGTGAAGATACCGGTGCTGTGACGATCAATACAGAAGCTAGCTCCTCCACCCACGAAATACCTGCTAAACTTTGACGGGATTCGATTACGTGACTTTTTTGCATGAAGTGATTTCTCTTGCAGTCACTACTCACTTTTCAATGCGGGCCAATGTCCCGACGCGACGTAATTGATTTCTATTTTTCTCCTCTCGATGGCTTTAGCCCTTCCTTGACGCCCAAATACCCGCGTCCGTGCCTTTTAAAGCGTGGTTTTGGGGGCTTTTTCTTGAATGTGGTTGTGTCTTTCTCTTATACGTAGCATGGAAGAATACCCAAGGGAAAATGTTGGCATCATTCATCTCATTTTTTTCCCGAAATTTGGGGTTTAAGAACGTGGTCTCATGGCCAAGGATTTGCAGGGTGATCATCAGAGGCTTTGGATAGCTGCTAATTGTAATCTGGTATTCTCTAGAGTAGTTTATACCCCTTTCAAAAGATATGTTATGTCTGCATCATTATTTACACACAGCGTATCCGAACTCAGCTCTTTTTCAATGAGCTAGTTCATATATTCATTTGCGGCGGCCCAAGAAGGTAAAAGCTTTTCTGCAATGAACCGTAAACTGCTCCGGTTTTATGCGAATCGCATGATCGGTGCGGCGACGAAATGTTGGTGATCAGCATATACATTTCTCATTGCCGTTTGGATTCCTACAGGAGCAATTGCCGATGAGGAGCTCTCCTTGGATCATATTATTGGACTATGAGCCATAAGTGGACTCCACCCTATGGCTTAGACCCCCTCAGGAAGGGAAAAGCGAAAGATTCTTTTCTCTATGGCACTGATAACCCGCAGGGCTGGCCATTTGTCGTCTTAGAGGGCTCCAAGGAATTATGATCCGATTGGTCATTTCTCCAGATATGGACCAAAACAAAACGATAATCAGCGGCCTGTAAAAGTCTTGATTTTCGTCGGTTTTTCACCCAGGTTTTCAAATCCGGAAAGTTGAGTTTTTGCTTCCCCTCCGATTACGACTGCAACGGCTTTCTCCTTGCATGGAGCCGGTATTGACTTTGTACTGATTATTTTCGGTAGAGCTTTCGTCTGTGCCGTCGCAAAGAGGGTACTAGAGATCCAGTATATCAACATTCCGGCAGGGACTTCTGACGCGATCATAACCGGACATAGGAACAAAGCTGAAGCTTGGAAAGTTCGCTTCAAAACTCTCATTGTATGAGCTGCTATTCTCTCTTTCCGAGTGGGCAACTTAGGAATGTCTTCACGCTTTTTTATCTTCCATCCCCATGTCACGTTGGTAAACACCGCCGCAGATAGAATTACCGGAAGCGCACAATAAGGATCAGCGGCAAGAAGATCAGGGAACCACAATGCGCCTTCAGTAGATAGAGATGGAACCATGGGAACATTGGGCGCCTCCGGATGTTTCTCTAACCATCCCTGAACGATGCTCAGTAGGCCACCGGTCATTCCAACCATTCTACGCATACTCTCCATCATTGTTAACCACACCGGGAGCTGAAATAAAGGGGCAAATCGAGTCCACGGTCGTATCTTCCACCGCTTGTAGAGCTCCTTAGTTTTTTTCCGAAGTAGCAGTTGGGACTGAATTTCAGCCGCATTGGGGCTGATATAGGCCCTGTTCACAGCAGCTTTTGTAAGGACGGCACCCTGGAAGTAGCGACCCCATCCAACCACCAATGGGTTTAACTTCTTCATTTTGCTGGAATGTGATAACGACCAGATCTGGAGAGGCATTGCGATGGTAAGTCGGACAAGGACGGCTGTGAGAGGAATTGACACTGCCCAGGGAAGGCCAGTCACAGAGTGAACGCTTTCCAACGCATTATGTGCCAAAACGACCGTTTCGTTTATGATTTGATTCGGCCGGGAAGAATGAAGGTGACGGACGCGGTCTCTGTATGATCTGCATCGGTACGCGCCAGAAAAGGACGGCGTGGGCGCACAGCGGAAAAGTGATCTCATCGCAAAGTAATCTCCAGGAAAGAGAATATACGTGAGTAGTTTCAGCGAGTGGACGAAAAGAGAGTCAATTGGCTCCGACTTTCTCCTCGATATATCGTTTCCTCGCTTTTTCTTGGGATGGAACTGATTATGCAAACATAGCAAACAAGGTGCTGCTTCACGTGACAAGAGATAAGATCGAGATAAGCTCCTGGGCTTTTGTCATCAGCCAGTTCCTGAGCCGCCCAACGGGTTCTCCCTTTGTCTTTTATCACACGAACCTTCTACCCGGCCTGGTCGAAGGTGAAGCTGGTGCTGAGTATGAATTCATAAACTGAGTGTTCCATGCTTGTCCATCGCTCGAAATGCTCGCTTTCATTTCCTCCTCGATCGCCACTCTCGTTTCACTCCTTGCTCTCGCCGTCATCTTTCCGACTGTAGCCGGCTATCCCATACGTCTTGTGCTACGAGGACTCGGCTGCCGTATCAAGAAGAGAACAGAGGCAAAGCGGAAACTGATACGTGCTAGAGTTCGAGTTGAAGAAGAGGATTATCAATCGCAAAGAAATAGGCAGTCGAAAGCTGAAGATGAAGATTGGGAAAAAGTTGAGAGCTACGGGTCCCAAACCGCGACTGATGGGAAGGTCAAGGACTCAGCCTGGGACGGAGTTGTAGGGTTTTTTCACCCATTTTGGTAAGAAGGTGATATGTTATCCTTGGGATGATGGCATAGTTACTGAACGTGAGTCTAGCAATGCGGGTGGCGGTGGAGAACGAGTCCTCTGGGTCGCAGTCAGAGCAACGCAGAAAAGGTGGCCCAAAGCTATTTGCATCATATATACCGGTGATCAGGATGTAGATAAGGCCACTATGCTTAAAAATATTGAAGTACGTTACGAAAGACGTCCATTTCATTTTGAAATTCGCTAACACATCACCCCAAAGAGACGTTTTAATATCCAACTCCACCCTCCTACGGTGGTATTTTGCTACCTATCGAACCGGAAATATGTTCTGAGCAACACTTATCCTCATTTTACCCTTCTTGGACAATCGTTGGGATCCTTGGTTCTCGCATACGATGCGTTCACGAATTTGGTACCAGACATCTTCGTTGATACAATGGGTTACGCGTTCGCGCTAGCACTATCCCACTTCCTATTTCCGTCTGTCCCCACGGGAGCCTATGTACACTATCCAACGATATCAACGGACATGCTGGAGTCTCTTGATGATAAGACCGGCCAAAGAGGTCTAAATGCTGGTGCCGGAACAGGTTGGAAAGGCATGGTCAAAAGGAAGTACTGGCATGCTTTCGCGAAACTGTACGGATGGGTTGGAGGTACGATTGACGTTGTCATGTGCAACTCTTCCTGGACATCGGGGCATATAAAAGCTCTGTGGCTCCCATCAAGGAAGAATAGAAAGCAGTACCAAGAACCCACAGTTATCTTTCCTCCAGTGGCAGTATCGGATCTCGAGGGGATAAAAATTGACCTAGCAAGCGAACGCGAATCTCGAGAGCCCTCGATTCTCTACATCGCCCAATTCCGTCCGGAGAAAAATCACGCCCTTATACTACGGTCATATGCCCGTTTCTTAAAACAACTCAGGATAAAACATTCTCATTCGGATACCTCAACCGATCTGCCTTCCCCTTGCATCTCTAAGCCAGAACCAAAGCTCATCCTCATCGGCTCCGTCCGCCAATCCAGTCCGGACGAAACTCATATCTACAACCTGCGCCTCCTCGCCCACGAGCTCAAAATCCGCGACAACACTACCTTTATCTGTGATGCTACCTGGCCTACTGTCCTCGAGCATCTGCGCCACGCCTCCATCGGCACAAACGCAATGTGGAATGAGCATTTTGGTATTGGTGTCGTCGAGTACCAGGCGGCTGGCTTAATCAGCGTCGTGCACGATTCGGGTGGACCGAAGATGGATATCGTGGTCGATTTGGAGGAGGGTGCGACTGGATTCAGGGCTACAACGGAAGTCGAGTATGCAGCTGCGTTCGAAGCAGCACTAGCACTGCCGGATGAAGAGAAGATTACGATGAGGATGCGGGCAAGGAAGTCGGCACAGAGGTTCACAGAGGAGGAATTCGAGAAGAAATGGCTGGGAGATATGGAGAAGTTGGTGGACTTGCGCGTCCAGAGAGCCGGGAGATAGCAAGCGGCTGCCGGCACCTTTTTTGTTCGAGGAGTTTTGGGGAACGCATCGTCCTTTTTTGTTTCTTCCTATATGGCCATTATTACTGAGTACGAAATGTGAAGATGTGAATTTGTACTGCCATGTAACTTGTATCTGTATATATATGCTCTCGATACCCTTTGCCTTCTCCCTTTTTCTTGCTATATGCTATCTTATATCCATATATATTTCTTTCATGTTACCTTCAGAGAAAACAAGGACATCATTTCATCATCTGCTGTACGGAGAATATTCGCCTGTACACCCCCCATCCAGGTCCAAAATTCGCCATTTGCAAGATTCGGGATCGAAATCCACGAGACCAACATATCTCCCACCCAAAGAAAATGAAAAGGCTGAATAGCATTAGAAAAAGTCATCGTGGTAGCACCAGTCCCTCCTCGGCTCTCTGTTCTTTTGTTCTCTTCTTTTCTGCACTACCCTGCGCTGTCTTAAACAATTTGGTGTCAGCAGCAAACTGAAACTTGCATAAACCCGGTAATCCCTAATTTCATTCAGAGTAATTCAGAGCCCATGGGTATTTTGCTATCAGCAATAAGCAGATATGAGAGAGCCCCGCACACAGAGAGAGAGAGAAGGAGAGGGGGGGTAAAACCGCGGAAGATGGCAAAGTCAAGAAGTATTAAGCGTTAGAAGCATCAATTATCAACACAAAACAGTTAAAATAAACGCAGAAAGAAAAGTACAAAGTTGTACAAGATCGTGGGCTTGAAAGCAGAAAAAGCATCCGAGGTTTCGGTATATATATATCAGCAAGAAGCCACCAAAAATAATGAAACCTGACTGAGACACATGTAGAATGATCATGGGGCAGGCCATACCATACCATGCCATTTTTTAAGTGAACAGCGAAAACAACTGTCCCTCGCATCGAGAACAAAAACCGCATAGATTGGATCGTCAAGAGGTACGGTGGGAAATGCATGTCGATAAAGCAAAATGGTTGGTAGGCGAAGATTGAAAAGAAAAAGAGAAAAACAGAAAAAAGAAAAAAGAGAAAGAGAAAAAGAAAGAAAAGGCGAAAGGTATGAAGGAACCGACTAGACGCGAGATGGAAGGGAAGAGAGGTAAAGAAGAGGTTAGAGAGGGTTAAGAGTTAAAAAAGGGTGTTGGCAAATGCAAAGAAGAGGTGTCAGTACGACGGCCTATTTAACTCCATCGTAGTCACTGCTCCATCGTCCGGCATGGGGATGCCAGCCTCCGCCGCTCGAACTAACACCCAGCAGCTGATCCTGTGATGAGGCGGCACGGCCCGGCCCAGGGCCACTCACATACCCGCTACTCAATCCAGTGTCGTCATCATCACCAAATCCAAACTCGCCACCAGAACTGGCATCGAAGCTGCTGCGTCCACCACCCCGAAGGTCACCGTTATCGTCAGGTTGGGTGGCTATTTGGTCCCATTGCAATGTCTGGAGGGCAGGATATTGAGCCAGGAGTGCAGCAGGAAGAGTAAATGCCGGATGCTGGCCGTCCATGCCTTGTACAGTCATTGTTTGTGAAACAGGTTGCAAATGCCCCGTAACTCGTTGCTGCTGCTGCTGCTGCGGCTCTTGCTGCTGTTGATCTTGTTGACTCATGAACGTGCGCTCTCGCTCGGCAGCTTCTTCATCTAAAAGAGGTTTGATGCAGACTCTACCGGCTTCAGACCTGAAATGCCTTCCCAAGGCGTCAGCCCTAGCAAATCGGCGCCCACAGCCCCACTGTCCACCTCGTGTTAGGTCTCCACGGCAAACAAACTTCTTCTCCCCGGAGTGTAGTCCTTCGTGCCGCTTTCTGTCATGCTGGCGAGCAAAGGCTTTACCACACACAGTACACACGAATGGTCGTTCATCAGTATGTGTTCGGAGATGAGAGCGTAGGTTATAAGCTCGTGTGAATCGTTTTGGGCAAAGATTACACTGGAAAGTAGCCGGGTGCTTTTGTACCCGCTTAGAATCACCTGCGTTTGAACCTGGTCGCTGAGGATCCGCGAGATCAAGTATATAGTTGCGGCTATCTATCGATGAAGTAGATTGTCTTCGATTCTTCGCTGCCGGTGAAACTTCACGAGATGACGGAGTGCTGAGAGTTCCAGTGCTACGAGGGAACGGAGACAGCGAACGGGGGTCATGTGGCATGCTAGGAAAAGGTGCAGTGAGTGCAGAAGCAGATAAAGAGCGTGACATGGACTGCGCGAACGGGTCGGATTTACTTCTACCTCGCCCTATTCAACGTACAATTAGTGACGATAGATCATCGTTGCAAGGCGATTAACGGTGGCTTACGACTAATGGGTGGGCTCAGAGTATCTTTGCCTCCTTCTCCCTTAGTAGACGTCTCAAAGGTCGATGTTCTTGATGGCGGCGCAAACTCCACGCTGATCACGGGTGGTGTCATCTGGGCAGCCTGTCCCATTTCACCTGGGCTATTTTGCGATTGAAAGGGCGGTGGACCAGACGTCTCCGTCTTCATAGCATATGCTTCCGAGGGTCCTGAACTGAATTGACTGGTCAAAGTCTGAGTAGTGAGAAATGTGGGGTCAGGTCCGAGGTCCCCGCCAGGTTGTTGTGGCATGAGTCGGGGGGACATATTATAAGGACTGTGGGCGGGACTGAAGGCTTGGTCTTGATCTGAGATGGTAAAGGATCCGATGCCCAGGGCGTTTTCATATATTGCCGGGTCGGGTTGAGCCATTAAAAGTGGAGAGTGGTTATTCTCCGAAATATCAAAGGCATTCTCTTGTGGCAGGTATGGGGAATGGGCAACAGAAGAAACGTCAGAGTGTTCCGACGGAGCCCTCCTGTGACCTTGGAAAGATGGGTTTCCGAGCATTCCTTGCCAATCAGAGTGCCCATGTCCTGTGATGTATGCCGCACTCGAGGGATCTAGAGAGGTGTGGCGTGAATGCTGTGGCGTATAGTAGGTTCCGGGTGTTGACACCGGCGATGTAGGGCGCGGTGATGGGTGCGATTCTGGAGGCGCTAGATGGGGCGGGGTGGGATTGTGAGGAGAGGACATCCTGCTAAGGTCGGCTGGGTTGATGGACTGGTTAAGGTGAGGTGACGACTGGGCCACCTGGGGATCAAGAAGGAGCGAAGAGCCAAACTCAGAAGCCTGGTTGTTGTTCGAATACATGCCAAAATCCTCGAAGCCAAGCTGATCTGATGGGAGGAGATTGGTGACGTTGTTATTTCCCGAGTGTGCCTTCAGGTTCGAGGAGTGCTCAAGCTGCTGGATGAAGCTCGCCTCGAATGATTGGGAGTACGACTGCGGCTGGTTGAACAAAGGGTCAGAGGGGATGTTCGCGCGAAGGAGATTGTCATCCAGCGTGGTAGAATTATGTATGAACGAGTTGTTGATCGCGTAGGCATCGGCGGCGCCACTCGTCGTAGGATTCGAGCCAGGGAAGCCAGACGGCGAAGGGGAGACGTTGGAGAGCGCAGGGTCTAAGGTGAGGGTCGCAGCTCGATCTTGATACGTCTGGGCCGCTGGGTTCATGGGATCGGAGGGATTTATGTGCTGGTTTTCGTCTCCGGCGACCGAGGGGGACCTGCCCCGGCCCTGGTGCGGGACGTCCATCGTCACGCGAAGGAAAGCCAACGAAGGATTCCAGAAATAGATCGAACAAGGGTCGAAGCTGTCAACCCGCCCAGATGGGTCCCACACTAGGGCAAGACGATCTGGGTCGATTTCGGGAGAGCCAGACGCAGTTGGAGGCGGGAGTGAACCCAGTTGCGGCAGTGTGTGGCAGTGACCTGGAGCTCCTCTAATTTGCTTGTGCCTGACAGATCTATCGTGGCGCAAGCAGGGCGGAAGAAGCGTCAGTGCCTTGCCAACAGGTGGGTGCAGGAAACGTGCAGAGGACAGCTGGAGAGAGCAGTGGACGTCCGCTGATGATGACGCTGATGATGATGGTGATGCGCAGGAGAGATGGTGGACTGGTCAGGGGGTCGGTCGCTGTTCTGCAGGCGATTTAAAACACCCCGCCTATGCCCGAAGCGTTTAGCTAGACTGAACTGAACCGCATACTATGGAGGGAGGCAAAACGCGAGAGATAGCGGACCAGAGCATATAACAGCGCGCTGGTGGTTAAATCGTTCGATGCACGCAGTGAGAGGCGAGTGCAGCGAGGAGAAGGGGGGAGAGAGAGAGGATGGCAGCGATACCCGTGGGTTGAGTCTGTTGGTGGTTGGGCTTGGTGGCCCATTGATTCACCACCGCCAAACTTCACCAGAACTAGCTGGACTTGGCGTCTTCAGCACCAGCAGCGCATAGGTTGGGGGCCAAGCAGCCCTGTCGCGAGCTACGTACGTCTTCAAATACATGGGGAAATGGTTATTGATCTAGCCTTGCGCATGGGCGGTTGCCAGCGTTCCGGTTTGATTGACTGCCGATGATCAATCCCATTCTGCCTGTTATGACATTCGCTAACTAGTCGTCGCTCTCGCACCTTTCATCCCCCAACCTGCAGCCACGGACGAGAATCCTTCTCTGCAGACTAAGAGCTAGCTTCTACATGATGCGATTTACGCTCCAATTCATCATATGGCCCACCCTTTTAGGGCTGGATTGCCACCGAGACCCTTTGGCAACCAAGCACATAAATTCAGCGTACTCTTACACAGCTGCTATCACAGTGCATTCAGCCAGGTGCTCCTTGAGATCGTGAGTCGACACGCTTGGCTGGGCCGTGCCGAATCTGGGCTCTGGGCGCTGTTACCTACTGCGGTGTTACGACGTCGATTACATCTTTGACACGGTGATGGAGCCCGTTCCAGACTATTCTACCCGCTCGACGCGATCTGGCTACATATGTAATCGACAATAATGAACAAACCCGTAGCAGACTAAGTACCAACAAAGTTCCATCAAATATGAACTCGACAGGCACTGCGAATCCTAAGAGTCTGTACAGATTGATGCAGCTACTGTTGTTCCTTGGAACCTTGCCGGCTCGAGGAAGGATTTAGCAATGAGACATATATAATTTATACAATATATACCCTAGGGGGAGGCCTCATACCCAGAGGAAACGGAGGGGTCCTCAGAGCTCGTGGTGATGCATGGAGATTTGATACAACCTACGGAGTACTCCGTATAGCGATGCGATACTGACTCCACGACCGTCGTAAACAAAAGATTCTGGATCTTGAGTGGAATTCGACGATACCAGTCTTACCGCTACAATCAAGCATGAGCTGATTCCCTCAATGGCCGGCTTCCTCGAAAATATCAAGCCTACGACCAGCAACCAAGTTGGTTAACGCCAACCATAAAACAATCCTCGCCGTAAAGGATCGGGTTCTGAAGCGGAGGACAGGGTGCCACATTACAAGAATATCATAAGAAACCCGTAAAAAGGGTCCTGGTGGGCATGGGCGTCAGTGCCAGTCCCTTTTCCGACGACTCTCCAAGATTCCTTTCCACCGTCGAGCAATCAGGGCCCAGCGGGAGTGTTGGGAGCCCTAGGCGATGGATGAAACAGCTAAAAATAGCAGCCTTGGTTAACCGCCCAGGCGCAAAAACAACCATAAAAGAACCCAAAATAATATGTTAAAAGCAAAAAGGTGCCTTACGGGGAGTCCAAGCTGACAGTCCTCACCTCAGCCCATCACCGTCCGCAATAGGGATGGAAAGACGGTCCCCCGTGCATGAATAGGTGGGCTGTGTTTCTGCAGGACAAGTTATTCTCCGCCCGACCTTATCGCCCGCAGGAGTTGCAATCAGGATACACATCAACTCCTCAGTGTCCTGAGCTCATCAAACCATATGACTAAGCAAAGTTCATCCGACTAAGTTAACTACCCTGTAGATATGGAGTATAGAGGGGATTATTAGGGAATGGCTAGGGAGTATGGAAATGAATTTTTTTTTAGGGATCAGTTAGTGACCGGGAAATAAATTTTTAAGCAGTATTCACTCTGGGGAAGGATATTGTGTGTCCTATTATTGGTTTGCTGCCATGCTCTCTGAGCTGAGTGAAGGCCCTGGCTGATGTGTATGGGATGTCCAATAGGGATATAGATGGCCTAGTTCGCAGGAAGGCTGTGACACGGAAGGAGGAATAACATGAGAGGTGGTTCGGGTTTGGACCTTTGGAATGTACTATTGGGCTGAGATTTAATACTTTGTACAATTTCACACTTCCACAATTGATTTACCTGAAATGCTCTCAAAAAATATATAGACAACTAGATGCAAAACAACGAAGAGGTATCCAACTTCCAAAATGCCAGACGTCGAACGCAAAATGAAAAAAAAAAAAAAAAAAAAATGAAAGGCAATTCAAAGAAGTTTATGCCCAATGATGATGCTCCAAGTCCGATCACAGAAGATAATATAACCCGCCCCAAACCTTCTTCCGTCTTCCAACTAAAAAGAAAGGGAATCCGGACAAAAATAGGACCTCCGAATAGAAGCGGGGAATAAACAGGGCCAAAGAGAATTTGAACCACCCGGATCCACTTTTTCTTATTGGCTTGATCGAGAAATTAAGGCGATAAAATATGTAATATGTCTAGAAGGAAAGAAAAAGTGGAAAAATCCACAGGAGGACACATCGCCCAGCTTTTTTTTAAGTATTTCGAAACCGCTTTGGCGACTTTAACCGGAGTGGGTATGTAGACTGGGGCCGAGCGGGGAGGTAAGGGTCGATGATGGTAGATGAGAGGTCGGGAGATGACGAGAAACGGCCATCTGCAAGGTGAAAAACGTATACACGGCAGCGAAATTATGAATAGCAAAAACGCTGTGAATCGGCCACATAGAAAGCAAAAGGAGTGAGTGGATCATTATGTCATGCAGTCATCTGTCGATCTCTCGACAGTGGATTTGGACCTTTTCCTGCCGAAGGTGATTCCTTCGTCGCTGCTGTCTCCGTCGCCTTCATCGTCGCAATCGTACTTCAGTTCATCTTCATGGGGACGTTCATACGAGCGCTTTGAAGTCGTGACCGTCTCTGCAGTGCGAAGAAGGGGAGGTACTTTGTCAGGATCCCTTTCGTATTCTCCACCGTACGCGTGAAACCCATCATTTGAAATAGACGATGCCCCGGAGACAACAGACGGTATGCTGGGATGGGACGCGCAATAAGACATCCCACTTGTCAAATCATCTGCCGATGACGAAGAAATGGTGATAGCAGAAGGAGGCGAGGTCATTGGTCGCAGAGGCTTATCTGTGCCCGCTTGCTCTCGTTCCCCTTGGTCGGAATCAGTCTCCTTCGGAAAAAATATTTGACCACGATTCTTATTCTGCGAGTCGAGAGCCAATCCCGTGTTCACATGAAGGGCAGTGTTCCCTTGGGCACGATGCCGTTGAAGCGAATCTGAAGTCAGTCGAAAAGGCTCAACTGGAGCTCCTTGGATACACTGGTGTGATACGCTTCGTCTGTGTCGAGCGGGTGGCCGAACGGTAGCGCTCCAATCTTCGATGATGTCGGCGTGGGCCAATGTAGAGTCTCGGATATCGGGGGATTCCACATGGCCAGTTGCAGAAGCAGTAGTGACAGCTACACTTGGAGAGCCATGGCCATCACCATCAAATGAAGAGGTGTCCGAAAAGGGCGACTTGTCTCGGCGCCTTTCACTAAGGTGCAGACTCCTGACGAGCTTTCGACCCGCTCCACCAAATATCCCGCTTATATTCGCCGATGCGCTTGGTTCAGAAATGAACGAAGAGGACATATCATGTTGGGCGGGCATTGGCTCAGGTTTTGTGGGCCTAATCGTTTTTATGGACGCGGCATTGGAGAAGGTGGATGTGCTGCGTTCTGGTAGGTCCGGCCGCGAGTCTCGATCTGGAGAGCGACGGTCGGAAGATCTAGCATGATCTTGGCTAAAGTATCCATCACCGCTTTCACGAACAGGGCTGGCGACTACACTCTGAGACAGAGGATGGTCGCTCTCTCTGCTAAGTTTCGGCGTCCGCGATGTAACTTCATCGCCTTTCAGGCTCGATCGCCGCAATTCTCGTATTATATCTTTGCCAATTGTCAAACTCGAAGATGAAGCGGACTGAACATCGGGAGAAGTCACGGAACTCGGAGCCCTTCTTCTACTTTCCCTCGAACGACCAAAGATATTGCCTCCCCAGCGTGCGACATTTGATCTTACTCGTTCTATAAACGGTAGCTTCGTGACAGCTCGTGTCACTTCCTCGTTAGAAACTTCAATCCTCTTGCCCTTGCTCTGATACCCAGGGTCGGTCTGCTCCACCCAGACTCTCGGATCTTGTATATCTTGAAGTACCCAAGGGTGATGCTTGATCTCTTTCAATGTGATACGTTTCGTAGGATCTTTCTCAAGAAGGCGTCTGAGAAGGTCTCGGAGTTCACCATCTATCGGTTCATAGGTAAGCTCGTCTTCAGTCCGCTTATTACTGTTCATAACCGTAGGCAACTCGGTTGAACAGATTTCGGCCTCGACGGGTTTCAGACGTTGCCTTGGGATGAAAACATCGTTTTTCACAATGTTGTGAAAGAGGCCAAACTCGTCATCAGCAAGAAAGGGGAGCCTTCCAAAAACCATTCCGTACAGAGTAACACCCAACGACCAAACATCTATTGCGCCTGTGATCCTAGGCACCTTGCCGATTGTATCCTCAAATTCGGTACCTGTATAGCAAAGCTCGGGTGCGTAGAAAGCGGGGGTTCCAACAGTCTTTGACAGTTCACGGGCATCATCCAGCTCAGTGGCATCAGTTTCTGCGACTTGTTCTTCATCGTCGTCCCTGATGGGCCGGCCAAGATAGGAGACGCCAAAGTCCGATATCTTTACAACATGGGTTGATGTCACCAGAAGGTTGGCTGGCTTGATATCTCGATGTATGATTCCTTGATAATGGAGATATTCCAAACCCAAAACTGCATCTCGAAAAGCGGAACGTGCTTCGGAAATGGTAAGACAAGGAACATAGGCCATATCATCATCGTCGGATAACCAATCTGATTCCGAGGACTGATAAGCTAAAATACTCGATGTTGTGCTAAACCTCCTTTCCAAAGAAGGATCTGATGCGTAGGCCCCGTACATGCTACCCTCAACGGCGGCTAAAGCAGACTCGCGAATACGTCTCTCGAGTTCGCTTGTAGACGAGAGTGACTGGCTAGGAGAAAGTGATGTACTTGGGCGTTCCTGGGCAGTGGAAGTGGCCGTAAGGGAAGGCATCGAGTATTCGGGTCCCAGTTCATCATCAGATTCGCCTCCGTGTTCCAGGCTCCACGCGGGAATTCCGGCCATTTTTGTCGATAGTGACCGTTTCTTCTTGCGTATCGCTTCCCTCCGCTGCCGGCGCATTTGCATTGTCTTCACATACTGTTGGCTCTCTTCAAGGAAAGAGGGAGATTCCGCTAGGCCTTGCTTCTCTCGGTGTAGCCGACGTTTATCAACATTTACGATTTCTCTGAGCCCCTTTTTTCGCCAGACGATCTCGCCGTTTTCAACATATTCGAGCACGATGTAGACCTTTTGCCGGTTTGGATCATCGATGACCTCTAGAAGGCTTACAACGTTCGGGTGACGGGCCTTCTTGAGAATGGCGACTTCTTTCTTCACCTTGTCCTCCGGATTTCCGAGTTTCCCCAAGCGGCGACGTTTTGAATAACGCTGAACGATCTTAATTGCGACCCTCTGTCCGGTTTTCATGTGACGACCGAGTTTGACTTTGCCATGCTCGCCTCTGCCTAGCTCATCAAGGATCTCGTACTCGTTGATCAGTTTATTTCCTGTAAGCAGGTCACGGTCGACCTCAACTGTATGGGTTCTAATTTATCATCAGACCATGATTAGTAAAGCACGAAGATAAAAGCAACCAGTTGAAAATACAGGAGCTTACTCTTTAGGTTCCTGAAGATGAGTAGGGTGGAGGTGTGAGGTGTGGATACCACCATCTTCGGACCCCATAGACGAAGAGAGGTGAGTAGAGAAGAGTCCAGGGCTTGATATGGGTGTATTCCCTGCTGTTCGTGATGTTTGTCCGCGGTCGGTGAATTCCTGAGCCCAAATCTGGCCTTGTGATTGAGACGATCTGGTGTGATGGGAAGGATAGGAACTGCGGGAGCGAAGGAGAGGAGGTGGGTGGGGTGGAGGGTATTGCTGTCTTTGCAGGACTGCATAGGATTGATCAGGATATACGGGAAAATCGTCTGTATATACATCATTAGGACGGGAGGAGGGCGGGATCTCGGACAATGGGCTAAGTGGCACCGGTTGGCTTCCTTCGATAGCTCGAGGGGTGCTCGAGTTGGGCGATGAACCTGTCGTCGGGATCGATCGATTATCAGGGCGCCCATCGACGCCCACCGGGTCGGTCAGGGAACGGAGAGAACTCGAGGAGGTGCTTGTCGAAGCGGGTCTTGAGGTGTTGGAGGAATGGGGTCGGTACGGAAAAAGATTAAATTTCTGCGATAAACCCCTGCGTTCCTCTGGACGTGCCTCGGACTGCAGGCTTCTCTGTCTCGTTATCGTGTTGGAAATCTGCCTTGAGATTGGACTCATAATCGACGATTGCCACGTCGACAGGTTTCTGTCGGAAGTGTCCAACGCCTCGTTCTCTGACTCACTACGGGCGTGGCGGGAGGCTCGCTGCCTTCGAGGCCTTCCTCGACCATCCCATTCATCACCAGGCTTTCTGGCGGGCCCCTGCCGTGGCTCCATGATGTCGGTGCGCCGTGGTGTGGGTTCGGTTGATGCCGATATCGAAATGACTCGCAGTCCAGGTCAACGATGCAAGAAGATCATTGGCGAAAGGGCTCCGGCACAAACGGGACTGCTGCCACTGTTCGCTGTATTACCTTCCAGGAACATCTACTATGGTCCTCATCTCCACAAGACTGCTATCTATGCGTGCCTTCGTGCACTCAGTTTGGGAGAGCTTGGGCGTCCATCGCATGCAGGTCAAGTGGCGTCTGGAGCCCCTCTCGATCCCAATGCCCCAATTTGGCCAAGACACGAACGGTGGTGGACAATTGAATCGAAGACGGCATACAATGGAATAAACGTGCGGTGGAGCAATGGAGTGAGGGTTGGTCGAGCTGCGCTGATCGGCGGATGGTCGAAGCTGTTGGGCAGGGAGGTGGTCTGCAACACACAATCGAAAGAAGGGGGAAAAAAAGGACAGAAAGGAGATGATAAAGTAAGATGGGGAATGTGTAAGTTAAGAAAACAGTATGTGAAAGGACCACAAAATTTACAGTGAAGGTGAAGGAGGAAATGTTCTTGGAGGTTCGGGCAATACTCGAGGTTACTCCTGGAATTAAGAGTGGGCGTTATGAATCTTGATGTACTTTTTTTTCCCGCTGCGACGAGGTCTGCTGCTGCGAGAGGGGATCCCCAGCCCGGTTCCTCGTCGCCATTGGCACGGTGGGTGGGCACCGGGCAGCGCGCCATGATTGGCTGCCTGTGACCAACCCTGTTCCCGCTAGTAATGCTGGTACGGGTCTGTAACGCTAGTAACCATGCTCGGTAAAGGGGGTTACCGGGCGTCACAGCACCGCGGACGGCTTGGGATTGGGGAGGCCTCTCCTCCTGTGCTCAGCCGTTGCCTTGCGTCTGGCGAACGATGAGGAACTGGCAGTCTGGGCAGATGACAGTATGAGCAGAACGATGGCCAGTTTTCAGTTCCCTCCACATTCTCTCCGATCTGCCCTTGAGAGACAACGAAAAGTGTTGGGCAGTCTGGAGGGTATCCATATCCTCAAGCCGCGGAGGGGAGGGAAGAAGGGGATTCATCGGCTTCTCCTGACGTAGTTGTGCATTTATCAGTCCAGACACACGGCAGGGGCAAGTTATTCGACCCTTGGCTCCGGAACACTTCGTTCTCTACGGAATTCTCGTGCTCATATCATCAAGCAACCGGCCCGTCCACCCAACGCACAATGGCATCGTGAGCCACTCCATCCGGGCGTTACTCGGTGTTCGATCCTCTCAAAAGTGGTGGTGGTGGTTGAGCGCTTTCTCAAACTCGACGTGGGTGGACACCAGATGGTGTGGAAGTTTAGACTTGTTTCGACTTGCTGATCTGAATTCCATCTCAAATTTGTGAGCAGGGGCCAACCAAAAAAGCAACCAGTCAGGATCAACGGAGCCAAGACAAGTGACTTGCAGGAGACCGGGTCTGGCAAGTGGCTAGTATGGACCCTCTCGCTCGGACTCGCGGCGCGGAATCACCACCTTGCCGGGCTGCTGGGGCATCCTTGCTGAAGGATACCGATAAGGACGGACCCAAGACATATACATCAAGTCGCAAGTTCCTAATGACTCGCCTATTCCTCTTTTCACACGCACTCTTACATGTTTCGGCAGCCGTCAGATCTGGTTGAACTGAAAAACCGTGGGTGTGTAGTCTGCATATGTGGGTGTGTGTCCAGGTAGGAACTTGGAGCCGAATGCTCTGTACATATGCAAGTTGGGCGGCCCAAGCACCCCCAAGACCTCACCAAAGTTCCAACCAGTCGCCCGCGAGGAAAGATGGCCTGCCCCCTTGATCCCTGTCCCGACATCAAGCAAACTTTTGGTTTTTGAGAAAATACTCATACCGCGTCCTTTTCTGTAAGAAGGCGCAAATCTCAAATATCGTGATCCGTGGGCTAATTTTTATGGGTTCCTGCCCCTGTTCCAGTCTTTGGACTTGAAACAAAGTGGCCTTTCTCCACCAGGACCCATGAGCAAGAGCCAGATCGTCAAGGTTATTTCAACCACACGAAAGGCTTTTCGCCCTGATCGGGAGGACCTCCTTTCCACAAATTTGGCTCCTAATAACTCCTACACGGTCAAGAATGAAACCCTTGAAAGGATCAGGCCGTGCACAATGCGGAAACACGCGAAATGAATATCTCAACTTCATCTTCCCAGTGCGAGCTTTCCATATGCGGCGAAAAGACATTTCCGGGCTTTTGAATCCAGGCCGTTGGAACAAAATTCAGAATCTCACGTCTTGGCTCCAAGCCCTCCGGTCTCCGGTGCTCGGGGTGGCACTTAAGCCCGAGGCCACGCTTAATGGGCGCCTGTCTCCGAACGGGGCGCCTCATGATTGATCTGTTGAGCCTGTGGCTCATGAAAGCTAACTCGCTGCTGTTGGCGAAACTAGTTGTGTGGAATAGCGGATATATCTACGGAGTAAAGAGCCAACGGCCTTTCACTACCTTTTGCCTTGAAGGCCTTTTTATTTATTGAGATATTTATTTCCAGAGAGACCCTTGAAAGAAATAGCTACACTGAGACTTTTGCGCTGTGATGGCTCTTTTGTTTTTTTTTCTTTATTCTGTAAAGCCCTTCGCGAGGAAGATTTTCACGGGGAGTTCACTTCAAGCATCTTGCCTCCGTGTTCGACATCTTAAGAGAAACAAGCAGGAGAAGATACCCTGTGAGTATCTTCGCTCACTCTCAAAGGCTCATCCCAAAAGGCGCAGGGTTGGTTCGGATCCAACTTCCAAGGAAAAGATCCACTCCCAACAAAGTAGATTACCCAGAAACGGCGCTAGTAACATGGTTTGAGATAGCCCGTCACACGGTTACAAGCTCCCGAATCTTCCAACTCGACTTGCGGTCGCGCTAGTCCACATGGAGACAAGCCTGCCTCCCACCTGAGTTTTGACCTCGTTCCATATTTTCTTTTTTGGCGGTTCAGCCGCCACCGAAATGAATTGGCGGGTCCAATGTCCAGCACGGACATTAGCCATGCGTCAAAACATTGTCAAGCGTTGGAAATCATTCGATTCCGCACGGATACTTTGCTTCTGATCGTCCCGTCGTAATAATGTGAGATGGAGAAAATGGTGGACGATGGGGAAATTGTTAGCACTAAAACAGTAGAGCACTAAGACCTCAATTTTACCCCGGGAGGCGAGGTCGTTCTATGCGATAGTCTGGGGGATGATAAAATTCGTCTTGTGACGAATCAGCTCAATAGCAAGGTTAAAAATAAAGTCGAGGCGCTACGTCGGTAAAGTTTTAGAAGTCTCTACTCCGCAAAGCTCGGGGTTACAACATCTCTGTACTCTCGCATGGCCTGTTCTGACATTCAGCCCTGGGGGACTAGAAGTATGTCAGTGGCTGCCGCAAAGGAAAAAGAGAGGAATGTCAGCGGTGATTGGAGGGAGTGTATTTTGCACCACGCGGTCCACATGTGAAATTTGGTGGCAATGGACGGAGTACACGCTCGCAATGAGGAAAATGGGCCGGCCCATACCAGCCCAAGCCGCCCACGGCAAGCCAACTCCACAGGTTCATGTATGTATTCCGTACGGAGTGTACCTTTCTAGTTACGGGAGTTGCTCGCAGCTCACTCCAAATCCTGCCCGGCCTATCAGCACTGTCCTCACTCGGGTGCAATTCTCTACATACTTGTGAGTGGGTAACCACGCGTTGCCCTTGCATAAGGGTCATAGGGAGCGTGCAGTACTATTTAACAGGGCCTTCTCCGTACTTCTGAAGATATCCCAGTGCCCCAAAGTCCATCATCACCAGAAAGATGTTATCAGATACGAGTCCCACTGAGTATGTGTAATCTGACTCTCAGGTGTTGAACGGACGGATGCGGAAGTTTCATGAGCATAAGATGTACGAGAACCTTAACGGCAACTCGGATAAGTTATCAGGGCGGATCTGGATGGAAGCGACTGCGGTTCCACTGACGTCAGCGAGGTTGTTTAAAAAGATTTATCAGCAGAAGCTTTCTGCCTATTAGGCGAAATGAGGAGAATACGTTCACATAGTTACCACGCCACACAAGGCATTCGTTGACGGCAGCCTTCTCGCGGGGATGATGAAGCGCTCAAGATCAAGGTTTCTGACCACATTGAAGGAGGGGTGGGCAACCGACACCATCAAAGCCTCTTCAAGTGAATATGCGCGCCGGCACGGAATTCTATTCACCCTTGCCACCAGGAGCTAGGATCAAGTCATTCTAGACGACGGCACGATCATCTGCCAGCTGCAGCGAGCCAGCGACCTTTCCACCACCAAAGGGCCCTGCTGGTGTCACTCGCCGAATTACATAACCAGTCCTGGTCTAACCATATATGGATTAGCGTAAGATTTGAGACCGGAGTCCACCGTTCGTGTCGAGAATGTCTTGGCGCTCTCCGTTGCTGCGCAACATCTCCCCCGGTTGTTGACAGCAAACAATTGCATTGGACCGTCGGGAGCACGCTATGATACATCTTCACGGAGCTGAGCCGGCGGGTTTCCGCTCGAAGAGAAGTTATCGAGCGCTGGACACTACTGCCGCCCACATCTTCCTCTCTACTAAATGCCCCGCTTCAATCGTCCTAAGAATACTCGCATCCCATCCCCTTGTTTCTTGATAACAAGTTGTTGAAGGGCATAGTTACATGCCAAACATCTTTTACTTTCTTGGAATAACTGTCAGTTAGTCAAAGGCGCTATTGGCGAAGGTCTCATATGGGGCTCGAGACACTTCATAGATCCACTGGACTGGTTTTGCTTTCGATACAGTTCAACTGTGTTTGATACCAACTCTGTCTTATCTACTGTCGCGCCTCCGGTCGCCACCCGATAATGGCGTAGCAACGCAGTAAATGGGCCAGAAATTCTCCCCTTAAAACAATGATGGTCAAGTATATCTATCCCGGAGCTTTGATTCAGCTTTTCGCTGGTATAGCACGCAGTACGACCCCGGATCTACCTTACAATCC